GAAAAATCAGATGAATTTATTTTTGTTCATGGGGGCCAGGCCGGGTGGGCCAAGAAAAAATTGGGCCCAAAAAATGGCCCAAAAATCTAAATGCATGAATTACAGCTTTATGTAAAAATCCATTTTATTACATTGACGCTCCGTTGAGGTAACTAGTTGTGAAACAGTGCATACCGTGCGCCCATTGTAAACTTTCCGTCCCATTTTCCCTATCACCCGGCGTAATTTTATATGAATGTTATATCACATTAATTTGAAATTGAAGGTCAAATCTCAAAGGATTGGTATCGATATGATGAACTTTTTGACCACACATTTCTCTTAAACCAGTCATCAAAAAAAATATAAAAATGTTACACATCGTCAATTCAATGGTCATCTTTTAATGTTCACAATATAATTTGGAAAATATATACATACTATTTTCTATATTGTTTTAGAAAACATATCAAATACTTATTTTGTTCTTGGTATCATATGTTTAGAATGAAATGAAACAACTTTACGAATCTCATTGGAACAAAACAACATAAACACAACATGTTTAGGTATCTCAATATTGTAATTATACAAAAAAACTTTGTTGATTAAAAAAATGAATGAAAAAAATGAAATAAAAGGTTTATCTTGATTTTTATCTTTTTTGGGGGGTTTGTTTTAATTTTTGAATACTTTTTTAATCAACCAAAAATTCTTTTGTATAACTATAATAATGAGAGGTCTAAGAAAATGTTGTATATGCTATTTTGTTCCAACAAGGTTCGGGAAGACATTTTATTTCATTCTCAAGAAATGGTAGAAAGGAGCAAAAACTAAAAAAGAAATGTTAACAAAAACGGTTATACAAGTATTAAATATCTCTAAATAATTTTCGCATTGAATTGTTGTCAATCAGTCAACATTACATAAAGGACCGTAATTTTTACAGAATGTTTCAATTATTGGTTTAAGAGAAAAACATTGTGGAATTCAGTTCAGCATATCGATACCTATCCTTTGAAGTCAGTAAGTTCCTGGGATCTTGTACATGATTTAAAAAAATTTGGTCAATTTAAAGCAAGTTGAAATATGTTTTAAACAAAAAACTACAATCGATTGTTTTTCATCGTGATTTAAAATTGTTAAACACATTTTAATCACGACATTGTAAAGGTCCTACAGTCATTAGATTCCTAGTTTTAGTTTTAATTTCCTCTTCTAATTTTTAATCTATTCATGTTCATGTAACATTTGACCATCTAATTTAATCTGAGGAATACTATGTTTTCGTCATCAATCACGTGGTTTGATTGACAAGTCATATATATCGAAGAGGCTCAGGAAATGTTATAACAGCGCCACGGAGCATTAAAGGACACACCTAAAACGCGCTAAGTAGTATATAGAGTATATTCGCATTATATCATGGACTTTTCAAAACGATGTTTCATAATTATGTACAATGTCACATTGTGGGCATCATTAATCATAATAGGGGATCTTTTTCCCCACGACTCAGTGACTTTCGCAAACACCAATGATAGAAACCAGTTGTTGATTCCAGGTCACAGATGGCATATTGTCATGAAAATGAAAATATGACATATTGTCATGAAAGAAAATATTTTTTGTGAAATACTAGAAAACACTGCGAGTGACATTTTTCCTGGAAATAATATTTCAAGATAGTGCAAGTGATAGAAAGAGTAAAGAAAACAAGCCCCAACTATCCCAAAATCATAATTCAACGTGAAGAAAAACATTGTCTAATACCCCTCAGCAGCTACTATTCCATTCAAGTATAGTATACAATATAAAAATATCGATCAGTCTTTGCGACGTCGCAAAACAGTTCTACGACATAGTTCTATCATACATCCACTCATGTTCATAAGTTCTGCAATAGGAAATTTTCATTGGGTAGCATTGCAAAACCTGCCAATGTTTAAATCTTAAACTTAATTACAATAGTTCGAAAGACGTATGATTTGATGATTTTATGAATCGCAAAACATAACGTGACAGGTTTGGATAAGTTATCCAGTTGCCATACTTATGGCGGGTAGTGTACGTTCCTCTGCTATATTTCATCTAATTAAGAGTAATAAAACATGTGAAAATGATACCACATACAGGCTTGCGTTAATATCTAATGACACTGACAATATAACACAATGGCTATTATAGACTGTTTGAACAGTTACTAAAAGAAATGATTATATGATAACCATCAGACTTGACGCCAATTGTAGCTCTTCTTATCACTGTGAGCTGAAAATGAAAGAATATGTGCCATAATATCAGAGGATGTTTTTTAGTGAATCAATAAGATGAAGAGTGAGAGAAACAAATTTTGTGATCACAAAAATATTTTTTCTTCTTTTCACTACCTTTATTTTACCAAACAGGACGTTTCGGATCCTGTTTAGTAAAATAAAGGTTGTGAAAAGAAGAAAAAAATATTTTTGTGATTTGATAATCCAACCTGAAGAACATGTTTAAGAAAATTTTGTAATGTTTATCAACCTAATATGGATATTATAATAAAAATAATTAGAGCGATGATATTTCCGGTTGCCATGGGGATTTTAATGATGATAATTAGAATAATATTTTCCGGTAACCATTGGGGATTATAATGATGCTAATTAGAAGAAACCCCCATGCCCTTGAAAGAAGCTAAACTGAGCTCTTTATAATGATGTGACAACGTGAATAATAACAGTGAACGCCATCTTCATAGCAAGTTTGTAAATTTGGTTGTCACACACTGTTACAAAGATACAAGTTCAAGTTACATTTAACTCTCAGAGGGCATTAGCTGTAATTGCCAATTACTAATTGGTACCTACAAGAAGTCGATTATTCTTAAACTGCCCCATTACCCTATCAGATTTAAATGCTAGTGTCAGATTCCGGCAGAGATCACAGTCAGCATGGCCTTATCCAAGGGTGGGAAAAACGACAGGGTAATTAAAGAAGACATACGTCTCTTCTCTATGATGTCAATGTATATTGAGAAGACATCGTCGCCGATTGGTCAAATCGACAATTACGTCTGTCATCTCTAAGCCAGTCTAGAGTGCTCCCTCCTCTTGCCGTAGCCAACTAGGTATGAAATGAGACTATAACATTGTCTCAGGTATGAGACAGGCGAGGCAACCGCCTTGCAAAGTTCTCAGAAAAAATCACAGATACATACAATGGGCGTAGCTGGGCACAAGGCAAAAAGTAATACCACTACTAATAATACAGTAATTAAGGTTAGAAATCTACTTTTTGAATAAAAACTTGAAATGAAACATGATTTTACCTTGGTTATATGAAAATAAACACAATGACGTAAATAAATGTTTTATGTATAGCTTACACAAGCACATGTCAATAATAAGGTAAGAATTGTGTAATTACATTATTTAAACTAAAAAGTAACGACAGCTACAAATTCTGATTTGAAAATTATAAACAATAACATGATGACATTATTACCCATTGTGGCGTTGCATGTTACTAAAAAGTGTCATACTCTTTTAACAGATAGGAATTTAATGCAATTTTAACGCCATTTCCCTTTGATTAATCATGTCATCATGCAAAATATGGTTCACTAATGAAATCCGTTTTACAAAATTAGAAAATCGTACTACCGAGATAGAACATGTCATTCAAAGGGAGCATTCTTTGAAAATGACTAATGAAGAGAATTTTAGCCAAGAAACCATTCGAATTCAATAAAAGCAATAAGACATTAACATGCAAAATGTCACCACTTGCCATTTGTTATAGACGCCGACCGTCGGACGCTAACCGCTAGACGCCGTCACAAAAAAGGAGACCATAACAATATGTCACCACTTTTGGTCAAATTTTAAGTATTAGGTCGGTTGGGTGATCCGATATTTTACCCCAGCACTGATGTACAGTAATTGCTTGTGATGTCTACTGATGATATTTTAAAACGGCAATGTCACATACGTACATTCGTTTACCTCTACGTACTTTGAAACCTAGACGCGATAATAAAATACGCAGGAGAATCAAAGCTGAAAAGTGTTATAAAACCAATTTCTCAATTAAGATTATATTTATGCTATCACTCTTAAAAAATATTACTTGGATTTCCTTATATTGAGAACTTGTTCTACTCATTTTAAGTAAAAAATTACTTAAATAATCTTGAACTACTGAATAATTTTTAAGTAATTCAAAGTAATTACAAGTAATTATAAGTAATTTAAAACAATGATATTAATTAAAAAAAATTAAAATGACTTCACAGGCACACTGAATTTATGGTGAATTTACTAATACAAGGAGAGAAATTGAAATACTTACTATAGTAATTGTAATACTCATTTACATAATTAAGCAATTAAAAAACTAAAAATGACAATATAAGTAAAGCCTAAGTAAAATGAAGTAAAACTAAGTATTTAACTTTAAGTAATTTTTATACTTGGAAAATACTCAAGTAATTCATTTTTTAGAGTGATCTTGTATGGAGGCGATCGGTGACATCAGTCCGTCAATGATACATTTGTGGGGAAATCAATTTGCCGCAAAATACGATTTTGTAAATAAAAATAAAACCCTGGCCTTAAAAATGAGTTATTCACTCTTACAACGAGCCAAATCATTGCATGATTTGAGGCTATTTTCTTCAATTTCGGGAAGGGTGTACAACTTGTAGTTAAGTGAGTGAATCAATCGAGTTTAAACGCTTGTAAAAGCATAGTTATATAATTCAATTAAATGATTTTTTGTGCGGTTCTAACTTCAAAGTAGGGATATAGCGTTGGGTGAAAAGTAAAATATCTTTACTTTAAAGGTTTAAATTAAGAAATATCAAAGGCAACATTCCATTTTCGATTTTAATTAATTTTGACATTTTTGCACCTCAAATCAGTTATACTTTGATCAGACATCACATTTTCAGAAAAATTAGAAATATAGGAAATTATGATTTACACAAGATCTAACCCCTTTACACGTGATTCCCTCTCAGGGTTTGCCCCATTGCACATGCCCAGAGATTCGATTTACAAAATATCATAAAAATATTTCGAGATTGTGTGTCCAGATTGTCCTCATCCAAATTTATTCTTGGACAAATATTTAAATAATTCTTTTTGAGAAATGGGTATTAATAGTATTTTTTGTTACAGAAAAAACTGAATCTAGGATTTGATTTCTGACAATCACAGACACAAGATGAACAACAGGACGGGATTCGATATTCAGCTCAATAATACTGATATAGGAAACAACATTACAAATTCACTAAACTATGGAGGACGCCAACTTGTATGGGTGTTTTTGTCTATTAACATCCTCGTCAGTCTTTTCATTATCGTCAGTAATGGGCTCGTTCTGTGGACGGTTTACAAAATAGAGGCTCTGCGCACTGTTACAAGCATGTTTATCGTCAACCTTTCCGTAGTTGATCTTTTGGTGGGGGTATTTATACTGTTTATAATCGTGACAGATACTATAATGCCGCTTGCATATGACACCTATACACCAAAAAAGTTCTTATGTATAGGCAGAGCATTTTTCTTGGGATTCCTGTTCATGGCATCCCTTTTCGGGTTGATAGGGGTCGCCGTAGACCGCTACGTAGCGATTGTGCATCCATTACGTTACGTATCCATAATGAACGTCACAAAAGCGAAGATCATGCTAGTGTGCAAATGGGCCTACATACTGTCAATCACGGCCGTGATGTTTATAGATGGCGTCAATGTCTATCAACCTGGACAAGGCTGTGCAATGGGCGATACTCTCAATTCATCTTATTTCATTTTCATTAAACTAAACCTTTTAATCCCGGTTTTCATAATCTTTGTCCTTAACGGGAAGATCTTGTATGTAGCATTTAAACAAAGAACAAAGATTATTAATGAACTTGCTAGTATCGACAATGCTAGTGCCGTTGCATATAAAAATGAACACTCTATAATGAAAGCTACAACCATCGTAAATGTTATTTTCATAATCATGTATGGCCAGTATATGGTAATAGATCCGCTCAAACTTGACACCGAATGGTTCACGACAATTTGGCAGATATCCGCGATAATAATGCGACTAAACAGTGGGGTCAACCCGTGGATCTTTGTCATGTTTCATAAGAAGTACAAAAAAGCATTTCTGGTTGCTTTAAAACTGAAAACGATTGGGGCTTCAATGGACTAGCTCACTACAGATATTGGAAACAAACGAATGTTTCACAACAATACAGTTCTTTTAAAACGGAACTGCAAGTGATGGTTTCATTTGACTGATTTCCAGGACGATCGAGACTGTGAGCGTCTGATTGAACGCGACTGTCCGCGGATACTCAGTCAAGTATCCCAGGCCGTCTTTACAAAAATGTCTTACCTAAATAGATTCCAATCTAGAGCATGATCCTAGTATTTCTAATGGATTGATAAGAACTCGAACTATTATTTGACACCAAAGGCGGGTGAAATCATGAAATGGGACATTTCGGAGCTTAAAAATTACTCATCGAAAACATTTCATTTATTTTCACGCTTATTAAAGTAGACATTATAGACAACCCGCGGTGAATAACTAGCGGTATTCACCGATCTCAGGAATTTTCGAAACATAATGCTGTTCAGTGTAGATTAAGATGATGATATAGTATAGAACACGATGTAAGATATATTACATGCATAAATGTTGTTATCAATATAAACATGTAATGGTGATATACAGGGTGGGCCAAAAAAACAATACCCAAATTTAAGGATGACTATCATATGATATAACGTTAAACTATGCCATGTATTGTATATCATTTTAAAAATAAATCATTCCCTAACAATATGACACCATCTGATTGAAAAGCTGTTGTTTTCTTGCGGAGTTTAAAGTTGACACCGGGGATGTCATGAGCGACCAAAAAATTATTCACTGCTGATTTCCAAGTTGTGGAAAATGGAGGGAAATTTGAACTCGGGCACCTTCAAAAGAGGTACATTTATACAGGTATAGTGCAAAATTCAGCAATAATACTTATATATTTGCAACATGGAAGGAAATTTGGGATTTTTCATTATTTGATTTTTGGTCGCACACGGCACCCCTGGTGTCAATTTTAGTCTCTAACTTCACGAGAAAAACAAAGGTGATTCATTTGGATGGTGTCAATTTCTTAGGAAATGATTTATCTTTAAAATGATATATATTATTCACGGCATGGCTTAATATATATAATATGAATCATTCATCTTTAAACTTTGGTATTGTATTTTTTGCCCACCCTGTATATATGTGTATGTCAGTTTCTCGTAATTTATGCTTCAGTATGAATTTATATTTGTGCAGTATGGCATTGTAATTTGTATTTAGTAACTGAACATTTTATGGCATGACTGCATTGGCCAGGGCTCCAAATAAAATAAAAAACGAATCCTCTACATTAGTAGTTTATTGCATAAATTGTATGAGACCAAATTGAAATACATTTCATTGTATACAGACTCCTTTTCGTCGAATTTTATCAATATTGAATGAAGTAGAACAAAAACATTTATATCATCATGAATATTTAATGATATCAGTTTTTTGGGCCATTATCATCACATTTGCCTACTTTTTCTACAGGCCTTTGTTCGACATTTGCTCCTTGGTGGAACACTTTGTTTTTGTAGATAGCCCCATCCTGAATACATCTTGTAAAATAAGAAGTAAAGGGGGACTCTATTACTGATGTAGTGGTTCAGTGCTTTTTTGAGAATCTAAATAAACAAAAAAGTCAACGCTGTTTTAGCTGTTTATACATTCACTGTTATCCACGTCTGTCCACTACTCTAGTACTAGTCATAGCTTTGCCGCAGTAGCTAAATTCAAATTTTGACTAACATAAGGTTGATTTTGAAATACAAAGGCAGATCACACTTTAATATTGATGATTTTCTCATGAAAAATCTCTTATAAATACTCTAAAAGCGACTGTATCTGGTTTTGGAACTTTATGCGTGGTCATAGATTCAGTAGTGGGTTATGTTGTAGGTTCAGTTGTAATTGGTGGTTTAGTGGTAAGTCCACAGTCAAAGTTAATCAAATTCACTTTCTTCCCGCTATCATCACAATATGTTCCATAGCACCAGATTTTGCCATTAGACAGAGCTGACTTTACTTCACTTTCACTTCACAAAAACTGAATGAAAACAATATATAATATCCAATTATGAAAGACTCATGACAATTTTGCAATTTTTAACTTAACAGTAAAATTTGGTAGAAATAGGCTATTGTTCGCAAAATCGCTGAAAATAGAAAAGGTGTTTTTTGACCCCCATGTCACATAATTGATTATATTTCTATATGGGGCTGTTGAAAATGATGCTATTATATATCATTTTGTTGCAAATCAAATTATCTTTAAAATGATATATCATTGTTGGTGTACATGTTAAAAAATAAATATTTATCAGAAATAATGGCTAGGGGGTGGTTTCTTTTGGCCCACCCTGTATATTGTTTTAGAAAACACACCAAACACTTGTTTTGTTCTTGGTATCATGTTTCCAGAGTGAAATGAAACATCTTTCTGAACCTCATTGGAACAAAACGTCATAAACACAAAATGTTTAGGTCTCTCAATATTGTAATTGTACAAAGGAAATTTTGGTTGATTTTTAAAAAGTATCTTGTTAATGAAATAAAAGGCTTATCTTGATTTTTATCTATTTTGGGGGGGATTTTGTTTTAATTTTTTGAATACTTTTTTTAAAATCAACCAAAAATTCCTTTGTATAACTATAATATTGAGAGGTCTGAAAACATGTTGTATATGCTATTTTACTTCACTTTCACTTCACAAAAACTGAATGAAAACAATATATAATATCCAATTATGAAAGACTCATGACAATTTTGCAATTTTTAACTTAACAGTAAAATTTGGTAGAAATAGGCTATTGTTCGCAAAATCGATGAAAATAGAAAAGGTGTTTTTTGACCCCCGTGTCACATAATTGGTTATATTTCTATATGGGGTTGTTGAAAATGATGCTATTATATATCATTTTGTTGCAAATTAAATTATCTTTAAAATGATATATCATTGTTGGTGTACATGTTAAAAAATAAATATTTATCAGAAATAATGGCTAGGGGGTGGTTTTTTTGGCCCGCCCTGTATATTGTTTTAGAAAACACACCAAACACTTGTTTTGTTCTTGGTATCATGTTTCCAGAGTGAAATGAAACATCTTTCTGAACCTCATTGGAACAAAACGACATAAACACAACATGTTTAGGTCTCTCAATATTGTAATTGTACAAAGGAAATTTTGGTTGATTTTTAAAAAGTATCTTGTTAATGAAATAAAAGGCTTATCTTGATTTTTATCTATTTTGGGGGGGTTTTGTTTTAATTTTTTGAATACTTTTTTAAAATCAACCAAAAATTCCTTTGAATAACTATAATATTGAGAGGTCTGAAAACATGTTGTATATGCTATTTCGTTCCAACAAGGTTCGGAAAGACATTTTATTTCATTTTCAAGACTTGGTAGAAAGGGGCAAAAACAATTGCACTAAAAAAAACAAAAAATGTTAACAAAAACATTGTTGAATTCAGTTCTCCATTTCGATACCACTCCTTTACGAATTGTTAGCTATAGTTGGTGAATAATAAAGTAATAGTTACAAATATTTCTAGTCCTTACAAATATAAAATGCACCCATTTTAGGATAGATTTTTAGATCTTACATTAACGATATTCGTATAAGGGAATTTATTACAAACGGATAATGAAGCAGTTAGAACGCTATACGCAGGGAGATTGCAGAGGGGTATTTCGTCAAGCTGTCGCAGTCACTGCGACGTCAAAGTCATCGCGACTGCCGTGCGACGTCTGCCGTGCGACGACTGCCGTGCGACGTCGCACTGACTGCGACTACAACCTACATGTATTCATTAATAATAATTTCGTGCATATGCAATTGCTCTTATATTTGTTCCGTGGTAGAAAGCTTCACGTTAGATCACGGTTTCGGGATATATGGGGTTCGTTTTTCTTATGACTGGTATTTGCCTTTTCTTTGTGGGATCCATTACAGAATTTAACCCATTCTCTTTGACACTTGTGCATAGATATTTTTCCTCGGATAGGTATTCTGGCATATCCACCTCTTGGTCATCCAGTATTAATTTTATTATGCACCTATGGTGTCAGAAATGGCTCAAAATTCAATGTTAGTTTCACATTTGATATAGTCAAAATATATTTAAAACATCAAATAAAAAATATATATTTCAAATTGAAAAATATCTGTTATCAAAGCAATTTTTTCAAAAACATCAAATAAGGAAAAAAATCAAAGTAAATGTTGAGAACTTCAAATTAGAAAAACGTATTTTGAATAAGAAAAAATAATGTTAAATTCAATGTTCTATAGTTCAAAGCACCTCCCTGGGTTAACATAATATTCCTACTATTAATTTACTGTAGATAAATAAAAGATGGTGTTAAATTGTCAAGAAATACTTTATTTTAAAGAATGGGTCTACTAAAACAGAAGCCGAGCCTAGTATTTTTTTCGAAGATAGGTACTCTGGCATACGGGATGGTTGGAGATCTCGTTGCTTCAATACTGGATAGAACTAGATCTCTCTGCCACATATGGCAATAGACCCTGCAGCTCATAACCAATCAGATTTGAGTATTTTAATGAGGTGCATAATAATCTTTGTTACTTTAGATAACCCCCGGAGATAACCCCATCATCGATAATTTGCTGCAAGTTAAAGGAGGATCGGTTCACCTTCACTGCTGCACTGATTCGGTGCATTTTGGAGAAACTAAATAAACACAACATCACTCAATGTTCAACACTGATTTTTCATGATATCAAAACTTTTGGAAAAGAATTCCAATAATCTCAATTACAATGGGGCCGTATTTCAAATTACCGGATTGTCATAAAGCTATGTGATCAAAAGAACTATAGATATATATTGAGAATATTATACAAATATTTAATTCTGTTGAGGTGAATACCTGTGCATCTTTCACAAGTCCTATTCCATGAAGCCCGGGGGGGGGGGCTAGTGGACTATCATCTAGTTAAAGTGTCACACGTATTCCCCGAAAATAGAATTGAACATTAGTTTTATTTCACTGTTATATTCCCCATATTTTTATTCCACTAAAAATAAATTTCCGCTTGAGTGTCTGGAACAAAATGATACTACCAAACCTATTTTCCCAGCCGGGCACCGAAATCACAGATATGCATATCATTAAAACATACATTTGGAAAACAATACATATATTCTAATGATACAGAAGGTCTTCTCGTTAAGACCTGATTGCTCCGGCGAAGTCCAAGATATTTCCATTATAAAAAGGTTTTGATTTGTAAATGTAAATAACAAAACAAGCTCATATCTATTCAATACCAATGGATATTTATTTATATATTAAATCAGTCAATGTACCTAAAAATACATTTTGCAAATATGGTACATAACGCTTAAAGTACATTATTTTACACAATGTAGATGTAGTATAGAAATACTCAGTAATCATTGTACATATCTATGTACATTAAAACAGCACATGTAATGTTAAGAAAATATTTTATTTGACATTTATAAAATAATTCTTTATAACCCAATAATAATATCCAAAATTCGATACAATCTCATGATTACATAATTGCATTAATTCATACTAATTAATCTATAACACACAGTTGTCGCTAATATGACAATTGGTTTCATACGTTGTTTCATTAATTCCCAGCAAAACAGCACGTGGCAAACTGGCCATTATAACACATGTTAATACTATGATTTCATTCCAATTTGATTTCATAATAATATTAAATTTTGATTTATTTCTAATATCGTAATTGTAAGTTGATTTCATAAAGTTGATTTTCCTCTCAGAACTTCAGTTTTGTTAATACTGAAATATAGTCCATTGTGTCTTCATTTTAGCATGTCTTAATCCAAAATTTGAGCTTGGATAGGTCAAAATAACCCCATTATAAAGTTATCCCATGAAGAATTGACCCAAAAAATTAATGGATTTCCTTAAGAGAAGACATTTTCCCATTGAGCATTTTTCATAAAATTTGAGACTAAATGCATTAAGTACAGAATTAGAAATAAAAAGTAAATATTTCATGAAGGTAGTTCCTTTTTGAATGGGAGCCAGGACTCATATAGATGGCAGTTAACTACTAGGTTGTTCTCCACAACTGGCCCATTGGTTTATGTGTAAATATTGCTGTTTTGAAACTTCAAATTCTCTACATATATCAAATAAATATCATATTTTCCTTCATCATTATTTACAAACATGTTTTAAGATTCAAAATTAGAAGTTTTGGATATTTTCAATAAAATTTATCTTTGGAGATTTTTCGAACATTTTTTACATGTTAAAGTATGCTATTAAACCTACTGAATTTTTCGCCATCTATTGACAGTCCTGAAGGCCATTCTGGGTAATTGCCTACTCTTTGTAAATATTGAAAACAATGGAAAGGACTGACTTAAATTAATAAAAATTGATTGTAGTTAGACTTTAATCTAACCAGTTATCTATGATATAATACATGAAGTACCAGCAATATACCCTGGTAAAAAGCTTTAAATCTAAGCTACAGCGACTAATAGACTAAAAATACTTGATTGTTAAAAGATCTGAATTATGGGAAAGCACCTCCTTTGCCCATTTATCACAGCTTGCTACAAAGAGAGAAAATCGAGTACACTCCCCTCCATAAATCTAGACAAATGTCACCACCTACCTTTTGTTACAGACGCCAATGGCTGAATGCCGACTGCCGACCACCAACTGCCAAACACCAATCACTGAATATAGTTCACAAAAAGTTGATGAATATAACAATTGTCGCATCCAAAGTGGATTTTGTGTAAAACCTATTTGAATACTGATCTACAAAACCTCTCGTTGCTGTCAATTTTATTGAGAAGAGTGTACATTCAGTCCTCATCTCACTTTCCGATCATAAGGAATGACATACATATTGCTCTACATTTACCATACATTATTTTGCAATCTCTTTACAATAGTGAATCACACAAATGAAATGCTTAAGTCTAACAACTTAGTCTACATGATTAACATACATGTACGAGTAGGGTGAAACATGTGGAACAGCTCTAGAAGTGGAACACCTCTGTTAGTGGAACATTTTTCAGAGTCCCGAGACCAACTGATAAATGAACCTCTATAAATGAAACATCACCCAAGTGGAACACTTTTAAAGGTTCCAATTGTGTTCCACTTGAACAGGTTTTCCTGTTTATTCATTATTTCATTTTAGCTCGAATGGTTACATTGTAGGGTGTGATATAAGTGCGAGTTCAGACCCAAATTATAAAATGCAACTTTCTTCGATTTGAATGGGCTTCCTTTTCAGCATGTTTAGGAAAATAAAGACCTCAACATGGCAATTTCTGAAAGTGATTTTGGAAATAAAACCTTCGTGTTTATAAATATTATATCTAATAAGTGGTGGCTAATGGCCCTTGATTTTTCTACGAGGCCTAAAAACAATAAGAATGCAGTAAAACTATGCATGGTCTAAGTCAAATACATGGCTCCATCAATATTACATGGTACTGAATGTTGTTTGTGTACATTTGTTTTCATGCATGGTCCCCACTATACATGTAGGTCCACGTGCTTAAATACTTTAATTCATCATCATTATGTAGAATTCAATGACATTTCTTTCAAACTTGTCAAGATGCGATTCCTGTGCTCTAAATTGAATATTTTGATCTGCACCAAGTCCTGTGCTGTTATCCCTGTGCAAAATTGCAACTGGTCCCAGCCTGATTGAAGGAAGTTATTGATGTATTGGGGCAATCCTAAGTTCAAAAGCCATTCATTGATAGTCGCAGGGGCCTCTAGGGTTTCATATGATGCTATCTCTTCACTCTTTTCCTGCAATAAGATTAGCAAATGTTCAAATTCCCCCCCAGAAATTATTAATAATTCAGAACAAAAGATGTACAGTTGCATAACGACCTGCACCCTCCTGCGCAGAAACGTAATTAATTTTTTCCAAACATTTTTTTAAAAATTATTCATCAAATGAAACATGATAAATTTCAAATGTTTTCTATGAATAAAAAAGTAATAAAAAAAAAATAAATAAAAAATACATTTTAAGCTCAACCACTTTCACATTGCCTTCATTCATAAAGACATTTGTAATGTTCAAACCAAAAAACAGATAAAAACATGGATGTTCTGAATTGAACCTGAAGTTATATCTTTTTAAAAACACAGTGTACGAGATATTGAGAATTGAAAAATACTAATACCTGTGTTGGCTTTCTTTGAGTTGGTGGCAAGGGGTTTGAGGGTTGGGGTCTGGTTTCCACAGCAACCTCTGAATAAACTGCACTCTCTGGGATAACTTCTGCTGCATCATTATACAGAGGCACCCCAGAGGGAACATCTTGGTACAAAACTGAATCAGAAATTGTTGAATTAGCGGGAGTTTTAACTACTGTAATTGAATCACAACTTTGGCTTGTGACGATTTTTTTCCCGCTGGGTGGAACTTTTGGTAATGGTCCGCTCGGGGATGACTTTGGCGAAGCACTAGGTGAAGACACAGGAAAGACACTTGATTGGTTGAGACTTGATTGTCCAAGGCGTGGTTTGCGTGGTGGTGGGGCTGGTTTTGCGTGATCTGGAACTGGTGGTGTAGACTGAATGTCAAGGTCATTCTTCTGTCTTGATATGTTTGATGGAGGAGAATCGTCGGGAGTTGAATACAACCTGAAAAGGGAAAAAGAATCACATAAAAATACTCTTACAAAGCTATGGAGTTCTAGAGTACTTTTTAGTGGCTGGTGAAGAAGTATAATGAGATTTCTCTAATTAAAATTAGTCAGCCAACTAAAATACAAAAATAATCTGAAGATAAAGCTTCAGATCTGTTTTTAAATATGTTCTTCTGTGTTTCATCTCTTCATGAAACCATTGGACCTCTCTTGGTTAAAACTATCATTAAACAGACGATTGCTTGCAGAACACAGAAAAAGGTGAAGGACCAACTGTCTTTATCTGTTAGGAATATAACATTAACATACTCATTTGAAGTCATTGATCCTGGCCTTGGCACAGGAGGTCTCCGGCCCAGTGAGGACTCATGGGAAATGGATTTACTGAGAGACTTGTGGGTATTTCCCTCATGTAGTGTTGGAAGAGGAGCAATGACTTCTGGGTCACTCTTGATTTGGAAGTCCATGTATATAAGCTCTGAAAAATAATATAATCAGATTATTTAAAGATCAAGTTTTGAGTAACAGTCATGCTATTACACACTACTATACCTAACACCTAGAAATGCATAAGATACTTTGTTTGTCTAATTGAATTGTTTAATATATTTTTGAAAGTGCCTTACTAGCATCTAATTTTCAACCGATAAACCATTCATAAGGAACAGACAAATAAAAACAAATACATAATCATTACTAATAAGCCAAATGGGTTGCTCATGAACACCAAATGCAAGGTATAGTAGTGTGTATTAATAATCATCATGTTTTTAATTCCAAACTCATAGGCCCGGGAACATGTATAATAAAAAATCGGTGTGAGTTCTGTATGGAACGCCATACAGAACAGAACTTGTACAGTACTCAACATGATTTTTATACATGTTTATACATGTTCCCGGGCCTATGTGCATGAGTAGAATTAGAAATGAACAAAGAAAACAGTCATTTGTTAGCTGTAAAAATAAATCAAAATAAAAAATAGTTGTTTATTTATATCTGAGAGAGGAAATGTGAATTAATCAAGTGAAGACGGTATGAATTAATCAAGTGAACAAGAATAACAATATAAATGACTCACCATAACTTCTCCTTCCTGGGTTAGAGGTCCTCATAGAATCTGACTTCACATGCATGTAGCCTCTAAAATTATATAAATACTGTCATGATTACAGGGAATATGCGATGGATAAAAATAATGCTATATCTCGTGTAGACAGTCACACTGTAGTAAAATTATGAATGATCACATTTGGAAAGGGGATGTAAAAATAATTTTGCTTTGTGACACCTTGGAATTCAAGTTATATTCAACTGACGCCTTCTATTCCAACTTAAAGCAGATATGAAATGGTATTTTTAACCTAGAGGAATCACTATAATTTTTTGATAGATGTATTGCTATTTGGACATGTTTTCTAATCAGTAGTGTGAAAATTATTTCACTCTAACGATCGTTATAGCTGCTTAATAAGCAATATTCGAATTGGTTGTGACGTTATTGGCCCCCACGTGATCTCTCACTGGTCCCCACGTGGCCCGTTTTGGTCCATTAGATAATGGCGTCATAATGCCAAAATGTTTTGTTATTTGTTTACACAACAATCCTATGGTTGCCGTGACGTTGTGATTACTAAGACACCAATAAACCAAAGCTATATTTTGTATGACGTTACTAATCACGTGGGGGCCAATTTGATTGATCAGTTAGTTTTTATTTCGTTATCTATGACCGTTAGCAGTTATCTAACATTTATTTTATAATGGCCATCGCAAGAACTCTACGTTGGGCTTACAATGGAGAAAACCGCATTTTTGTAGCTGCAAGTTGAGAAAAGCTATTTCAGTTGTCCTTTAATGGTTTGATTTCTGAAAAATAATTTAGTCACCCTTTTATTGGCCATTTTGAACTGAGAATAAGTATTCCCTAAACTACCATCAGAAACGCCCCTTTACAATTCAGAGCAATATTTTCTTTAAAAATTACTGAATTCTTCACATCTCCCCCTTGGTGTATCAAACATTTTGAAAATGACTTACGTGAGACTCCATGTACATGTACAATTCCCCTTAGTTCATCAATCATTTTGAAAATGACTTACTTGATTCTCCCCGTCTCCTCCCCTTGGTGCATCAAACATGCTTCAAACCTCTGGGGAGTAATACTGAACTTTGACCTCAGGGATAAAACACTTTCCCCTACAAGTAAAACAACATTTTAGTACTTATAAATATATCTCTAATGTAGTAAATTAGAGGTACACCAAATCCGAAGTCTGTCTTAAAGTGCCCGATAAACTATAAAATGTGCATGCGTCCAGGTGTTGATAAACTATAAATAGCGAAAATCCAGGGTTTGTCACCACAAGGTAAGCCAGGGCGTGTTGAAAGAACAGCTAGTGTTGATATTGAATTTACATGTAGCCAGATAAGTTTCCTTATTGAAATTACATATGGTTATTAGCAATACTTTGTAGGTGCTAAATAATAAAATATTTAGAGTATATATGAGAGAAATTGGCCATTTCGAAGCTGTTGAAAAGTTTGTGGCTCTCGGCTACACCGGGGAATTTACTTCCATGAGTACACACATAAATGTGGGGCTCCCCAAGAGGTACGCGACAAGGTGACTTGGCATCAAATGTGCGACTAAATGCTACTATCGAGAAGATAAAATAACGAATACGACAATAAGTTATTGCATGTGACAATTCCGAGCATTCATCTCACTGAAGTATTTTGAAGTGAAAATAAGATTTTTGTTTTGATACATGGATTCAGATGAACGTAACTTTATTCTGACAACTTATCAAAACTGAACAAAATTGATTGTACGTAACAGACAATTTATTGTTTTACAATGTTTTGATTGGCTAAACGAATGAAACCAACAAATTATGACATGTAAAATGACAATTTTGAAATGTAAAATTTAAAAGTGACAAACACAACCTCCCTATCCACTCTTTGGGAGCCCTACTAATATGTACATGCAGCAGTGGTAGTGTACAGCTTATTATCACACTACTGGGCTTTGTATTCTAAAGCCTGTTGTTTGTAATAACACTGTTCACTCAACGTATGTTTTGTGTGTGGGCAGTCAACGATAATCATTGTTTCATCCCGGTTATATGACCTCGGCAATTATAACAAAACCGTACTAAACGAAAAAACGCAAATAAGAGAAAGCTTTCACACACATATAAAAAATGAACTAGTCTAATCCGCCAGTATAAACTCTGTGCTATACGTAGCCGGGTCAGGCGCACACTTTAAAAGTGTTCTGTTTTTATTGGTCAACCCGAGGTGTACTCCCTCTTTTAAAACCATATGAATTGAAAGGTAATAATAAATTCTCTACAATCAACCATGTCTGCAAATATAATGTTGTATAAATAATATCATTCTAAATTCAAATTATTCCAACTTAGGTCCTCCCTCAATTACATTGATGTCCAAAGGGGGATTTCATTCATGGCACTAAGGAGACGCTTCAAAGGAAAGAAGACTTCAAGTGCAAACTATGATAATGGAGACTGTCTCTTTTGTTTAAATGTAGATGCCCCCTTGGAAAAATCCTGGGGACACCCCTGAATTATAGGCGAAAGCACCATTTTTCAATTGCTTCAACACCTGTATTTCTTACCATAATATTCATCTCCATCTGCACAGCATACAGCCACTGTAATATACTGGTCTGCCAGGTAGTCACAGTCAGTTATTATTGGGTGTAACTGAAACAAAGTAATAGAAATGTCATGTTCTGTTATACAGCCACTGTAATATACTGATCTGCTAGGTAGTCACAGTCAGTTATTATTGGGTGTAACTGAAACAAAGTAATAGAAATGTCATGTTCTGTTATACAGCCACTGTAATATACTGATCTGCTAGGTAGTCACAGTCAGTTATTATTGTGTGCAACTGAAACAAAGTAATAGAAATGTCATGTTCTGTTATACAGCCACTGTAATATACTGATCTGCTAGGTAGTCACAGTCAGTTATTATTGGGTGCAACTGAAACAAAGTAATAGAAATGTCATGTTCTGTTATACAGCCACTGTAATATACTGATCTGCCAGGTAGTCACAGTCAGTTATTATTGGGTGCAACTGAAACAAAGTTATAGAAATGTCATGTTCTGTTATACTACCCTGAAATTTCAACTTTATCCTCATCAATCATATTCATATGTATGAAGTTGATTAACTGTAATAGTGGTCTGCCAGGTAGTCACAGTCAGTTATTATTGGGTGCAACTGAAACAAAGTTATAGAAATGTCATTTTCTGTTATACAGCCACTGTAATAGTGATCTGCCAGGTAGTCACAGTCAGTTATAATTGGGTGTAACTGAAAGGCACAAATAGAAATGTCATGTTCTGTTATACAGCCACTGTAATATAATGGTTTGCCAGATAGTCAGTCTGTTATTATTGGGTGCAACTGAAAGGCAAATAATAGAAATGTCATGTTCTGTTATACAGCCACTGTAATATAATGGTTTGCCAGATAGTCAGTCTGTAATTATTGGGTGCAACTGAAAGGCAAATAATAGAAATGTCATGTTCTGTTACATGAGTTTAAGGCAGCATATACATGTACTTTGAGAATTGCATCTGACAAAATATTTTAGAATAGTCTGTATATAATCTACATAAACCATCAAGATCTACAATTAATGCTGATGTGGCTGGAAAATTATCCCATGGAAACTCTACCACCAATTGCCATTTAAAATATGGAAAAATGTTCATAAGTAAAAACTCAAATTAAGTTGAAACAAATTTATGATTAATGCAGTACATTTAAGCATGTATTTTGCAAATGAGATATAGAGGATATCTTATGATTTATGAGTGATTTATTTATGAATGGATATCATGAAATCCGCAAAAGCTTGTCAAACATTTCCAAATGTCCATTGCTACTCATCAGACTAGTTTTGAGTCAAGTATAAAAAAACTGTTAACCATCAAATATGGTACCATACCATCATGCTTTAACATATTTGATATTTTCCCAATGGATACAAAATGTACATACATGTGCATCAATAGATACATCATTAATACAAGTTATACTTACAGTTGGTAATATCTGTGAAGGGCTGAGCCATTTTGGACAACAATAGCCTGGTTTACTGCCATAAGACAGGTTTGGCTTGCTCGATACTGGGGCTTGAATGTAAAATTAAACATGAATATCTTATACTCCTAGTATTAAGATATGGTTTTTATCCCATGACAACTAATACATGGAATAACAACAATGATATCTAATTGAAATAGCAAATAATGAAAACAGCATTTTCATGATGCTTTTTGGACATAACAAGCTATAACAGGCATGTAAATCATATATATTTCTTGACATTTTGTCTCCTTAAAACTTTTGAAAATAGTTCAATATAAGCAAGCTCTGTAGTATGTTCAGCTAAATGTGGATTCTCAAATGCTCATGGTATTCATGTAATATAATTATGATCAAGTATTACATTTACACACTAGATACCCATAGGGGGCATATCAGTGCATTATCAAAATTTGAAAAACCATAAAGGTGTACAATTTATGAGTTGAGCATGAAGACATACCATACAATAGATACAATACAATGCAATACAATAGAAGACATATACAATAGATCTGGTTGCCTTGTGGTCAACTTACCTTCCAAACAATCAGAGTGGAATTCCAACACAAATGTCTGTTTACAACTGGTTTTTATCTGGAAGATACACAAAGTGTAAGTCAAAATCAAATATTCCTGTAAAACCTTTTCATGATACCTCAGAGCAAAACTGTTTTCATGAAAAATGAATTAAAATATTGTTTTTGTGGAGCCTTTAAATTTAACTACAATTCAATTAGTTACACACCCCTTACTAATTGTTATCAGTTCAAAAGTATGAAGTTCTCATTAAACATCAAACTAATAAGTGAGTAAAGCCAATCCCCTCTATGATTCACCTTATATAAAATAAGAATTGTGAATGATAACATGAGCTCTACATTTGAGGACGTCACAGGTTAACTTAGTAACACATCATATTTTACCTCTGTTTCTACGTTTTCAAAGTATATCTGGACACTCTTATCGCCAGCCTCTGTTTGAGATGAGGCACACACCGGGGCCAGCCCGATGTCAAAACTGGCAAAAACTGGTTTATGGTCACTGGTACTAATGTCTTCGGCACATCCTGAAAGAGAAGATTTAACGAAATGGAACGAGGCTAAACTTTTTTGATAATCAAAAGCATTTCAATCCCACTTCTTAACATCTTAATTAATATGCTGAATTTTAAAGTATGCATTTGCAGAATCAATAAAAATTTCAAACGATAAGGAAGGACAATTTGAAATTACGAAATGCTGACTAATCTGAACATCTCAGTTAATATGTTTGCTTTATGGTCACATTTTTTATGCTTCATATACTTTCACGTTAAACACATCAAAATGTGAACATATGCCAATCTGATCACTTTCCGCATTCTTATTATACAGGTTTGACTGTAATCATGTTATTTTAAATAAACAGCATACCATAAGATGTACTGAGTATGTATTTTCCGCATTCTTATTATACAGGTTTGAATGTAATCATGTTAATGTATTTTAAATAAACAGCATACCAAAAGAGGTACTGAATATGTATTTTCCGCATTCTTATTATACAGGTTTGAATGTAATCATGTTAATGTATTTTAAATAAACAGCATACCATAAGATGAACTGAGTATGTATTTTCCGCATTCTTATTATACAGGTTTGAATGTAATCATGTTAATGTATTTTAAATAAACAGCATACCATAAGATGTACTGAGTATGTATTTTCCGCATTCTTATTATACAGGTTTGAATGTAATCATGTTAATGTATTTTAAATAAACAGCATACCAAAAGATGAACTGAGTATGTATTTTCCGCATTCTTATTATACAGGTTTGAATGTAATCATGTTAATGTATTTTAAATAAACAGCATACCATAAGATGTACTGAATATGTATTTTCCGCATTCTTATTATACAGGTTTGAATGTAATCATGTTAATGTATTTTAAATAAACAGCATACCAAAAGATGAACTGAGTATGTATTTTCCGCATTCTTATTATACAGGTTTGACTGTAATCATGTTATTTTAAATAAACAGCATACCAAAAGAGGTACTGAATATGTATTTTCCGCATTCTTATTATACAGGTTTGACTGTAATCATGTTATTTTAAATAAACAGCATACCAAAAGAGGTACTGAATATGTATTTTCCGCATTCTTATTATACAGGTTTGACTGTAATCATGTTATTTTAATTAACAGCATACCATAAGATGTACTGAGTATGTATTTTCCGCATTCTTATTATTCAGGTTTGACTGTAACCATGTTATTTAAAATAAACAGCATACCATAAGATGTACTGAATATGTATTTTCCGCATTCTTATTATACAGGTTTGACTGTAATCATGTTATTTTAAATAAACAGCATACCATAAGATGTACTGAATATGTATTTTCCGCATTCTTATTATACAGGTTTGACTGTAATCATGTTATTTTAAATAAACAGCATACCAAAAGAGGTACTGAATATGTATTTTCCGCATTCTTATTATACAGGTTTGACTGTAATCATGTTATTTTAAATAAACAGCATACCATAAGATGTACTGAGTATGTATTTTCCGCATTCTTATTATACAGGTTTGACTGTAATCATGTTATTTTAATTAACAGCATACCATAAGATGTACTGAGTATGTATTTTCCGCATTCTTATTATACAGGTTTGACTGTAATCATGTTATTTTAATAAACAGCATACCATAAGATGTACTTAGTATGTATGTCTCTGGGTGACTCTTCCAAAGTATCCTATCACACCAGGATGGTACATTAATCCTCACCTGAAATCACATAGACATACATCCTATTAAATGTTATGGCCTTAAATGGGGATAACATCAGACTTTAATTTACATGATAGGCTAATAACATTGTATTTTTGCTTATCAGACTCTTATTATTACACAATACAATACCAAGATGGTACATTGATCTGTACCTGGAAGCTCATGGAGATTCATCCTATTTTATGTTATGGTGATAAATGTTATTTAATTTTCTATCTGCAGTGTTTTAAACCTCTTGGATACCAGGATATTTATCATATTTTGACACATTTGTTGTTAGCATAGATAATTACAAACATTTAAAACATGAATTATATTTACAATGACAACGCTAGAGAAAAATGTTGTGACTAGTTTTCCTGTTGCTCTAAGTAATAGAGGTTAAATAACAAAATACATCATACAATTTAGATGTGAAAAGCCAGGTGTTAACATCAACATGTGCAATATTCATATATCTTTGTTTTGTTCAGTGCATGTAACATACTGTTTCATTTTCTTTTTGTACAGCTATTCCTATATACAGGCATGAATGTACAAGGCATACTAATTGGACCTAAATATTGTTGGGTGGCCTAAAGTGGGACTGAAATATCATGGCATATGAAAATTTCAGATGAATTCCTCAAATGGTTTGGCTGGAAACCTGAAGACAAGATTTTGGAACACCCACCCACAGTACTGTCAACCCCTAAAGATTTTCTCGCAGGACAGAGTTTTTAGACCCAGTGCCCAAAATTCGCGGGATTTTGCGGGACATCTACTAAATTCGCGGGATTTCGCGGGACATTTAAGGGATTTGCGTGATTGCGCTAATAGGCCAACTTTTTTTCTTCAAATTTGCGGGATGTCCCGGGACATTCAAGGATTTGCGTGATTGGGACTTATGTAAAAGCGTGTAAAAGTACTTAAATCAAACTTCCAAATACTGATTAATCAAATACAATGCACCGTTGTATTGTAACTTAAATAAACGTCAACACAATTTCACAAAATACATATAGGAATATTATTAAACTTTATTGTAATTTTTCAAAAGCAAAAACCATGCTTCAGGTGTGAGTACCGTAATCTAACACGAAATTCAAAAATTCGGAACAATACTTTGCATTTCTGGCGTCGTGAACAATTATGAAACGCTTACCCCCATAATGTTATATATTAAAATGTACCTATTCATATACTGTAGGCATTTTCTTTCAATACTCCTATTCGCGATAAGAGTCCAGGTGGTAATTTACATAAATATCTCCCATGATGCATCGCTTTGGAAGGGACAAATTTTCATTGGCCCGCCGAACGAGTCGATTACTCTGAACGTTTCTCAGCTTCTGATCTTCCATCAGCGCCTCAAGCATAGTTATATGATCCAATCTATTCAATAATCAGAAAGATAATCGGAGATTCAAAGTAACATTATTTATATTTTTTTCGATCTTCGGTGATGTCTGAGCAATTTCTGGGATATAAGCAGGCCTGTCAACTGTCCCGCAATTTGCGTATTTGTCACGCATTTGCTGAAGAATTTGAAGTCACGCCAGTTATTTTTGCGTGACAGAAAATGTCACGCAAATACGCATTTTACCTGGTAATTGTCAAGCAAAAATTTTTCTGTAGAAAAATTTCTAAAAAAGATCGTCTACACAGCAAAAATACGAAAGCCGGGAAAAAATGTACTCATTTCGTTCGGACTTTTCACGCGAATTACGTGTATGTCACGCATTCCGTTCGAAATTTTTCGTACCTACCTGAAGAATTTGAAGTCACGCCAGTAATTTTTGCGTGACAGAAAATGTCACGCAAATACGCATTTTACCTGGTAATTGTCAAGCAAAAATTTTTCTGTAGAAAAATTTCTAAAAAAGATCGTCTACACAGCAAAAATACGAAAGCCGGGAAAAAATGTACTCATTTCGTTCGGACTTTTCACGCGAATTACGTGTATGTCACGCATTCCGTTCGAAATTTTTCGTACCTACCCCCCCCCCCCCCCCCCCCCCCCCCCCGTTGATGGATGTACGAAACGCGGACGTAGCGAGCGCGAAAAATTTGAGGTGTTCAAAATTTGGCAAGATGTAATAAAATTTAAACCAAGGTGTTCAAAATTTGGATCAAGTTGTTCAGATTTGGACCAAGGTGTCCACATTTTGAGGGGAGGTGTTCAACATTTCCAAGTCACTCATGTTAGGGGTTCCCAAGTTGACAGGCCTGTATAAGTGACGTCATTGGAATTGGACGGCATTTTCAACTACAGATTTCTTCGGATTTGGGGATTATGGTTCAAAAAACGTTGTCATATATCTTAATTACATACATACCTATCGTTTGTGCAAATGAAACGCTACATAAATGTTTAATATAGTCGCAGTGCGGCTTTGAAAATAGCATCCCTGTGTAATCCAATGGGAAAGAACCCGGATGTAGACGAAGTTGTACCATATATGAGAGCTCTTCAAACGGGAGGTAGCTAAACTGAACTAAATTAAACGTTATCGCGTATTGGTATATTGAAAGCCCATGATATAGGGGTTCGATTAATCTACATCAAATTATAGGGAATGGGGTTACTTTTCTAGATAGGGTTTGTAGAAAAAAATGGGTACCGGGTAGTAAATCCTCCATGCTGGGTTCAAACTTGGTACCCGGTCGAAAAAAACGGGTACCCAAAAAACGAAATATACGAATATACAACATAATTAGATCATTAGAAAACGTGTAAGATTTGTTTTGAATTTACAAAAATGCATGTAACTTCCTTCAAAATTGAGCTAGAAGCTTCAAAGAAAAAGCATTTTAAGGCTCTTTTCGTCCTCTATCATCATGGTCATATTTCCATTGGTTATGAAGGGGGGGGGGTGCGATCGCACCCCCTCCTGGCTACGCCAATGACATTGTAAGACGATTTGAAAAACAAGACAAATCAATCTTACTCTATTTTCAATAGTTCGTTTGTTGGTACGTGAATTGTTTTGATTATGATTTAAATCTGTAAATAGCTATCGTTGCTTTAGCAGGGAGGTGACGTGTGTTAATTTACATGATTTTGATTATTAATCATAATTTAATTCGACAAAATGTCCACTGAATTGTAAATTGTTATGTCTTACAATGTCATAGGCGTAGCCAGGAGATGGTGCGATCGCACCCCCCCCCCCTTAACCAATGAAAATATGGCCATGACGATAGAGGAAGAAAAGAGCCTTAAATATGCTTTTTATTTGAAGCTTCTAGCTCAATTTTGAAGGATACATACATTTTTGTGAATTCAAAACAAATCTTACACGTTTTCTCATAATCTAATTATGTTATATATTCGTATTTTTCGTTTTTTGGGTACCCGTTTTTTTGACCGGGTACCGGGTACCAGGCCCGCAGCCAGAGGGGGAGATGGGGGAGCGGAAGCTCCCCCCCTGGCCAGAAATTCTTTCAAAATCATGCAGTTTTTCACCATTCTGAGAATTTTTTGCATGATTTTTAGCCTAAATTGTGAAAAAGCTCCCCCCCCTGGAAAAAAGCTCCCCCCCTGGTAAAAGCTGGCTACGGGCAAGGGGTACCAAGTTTGAACCCAGCATGGATGATTTACTACCCGGTACCCGGTTTTTCTACAAACCCTTTCTAGATATCAGCGTCCATTTATTGTAACTCGCGTTTGCTAACATTTGCTCAGTTCTGAGATGAAGGCCACACGGATAGTAAAAAGGCCAACCTTAGAACTATTTTTGACCTACATCCCTATTTTCGTAATTAAAATGAAAGTTGAACCCTTCCTCTTTATTTTGATACCAAACAACAGCATGCAAGGTACTTAAAATTAGGTAAACTTTACTCCTCAAAAGTGCAAAATCTTGGCTTCTTATATAAGATAAGATAACCACAATATAGGGGATTGCAACAATTTCGGAAATTCTCGGAGGTCAAAACCACATTTGCGGGACTTCGCGGGACATTGCGGGACACGCGAATTAGCCTAATTTTGATCAAATTCGCGGGATAATCCCGCCATTCGCGGGACACTTGACAGCTCTGCACCCAACAAACTGATCACAATAATAAAATATAGAAATTTATGCTTTTTGACTTAAAGCTTTCAGTTACAATGAAGTTGCCCAATTTGGATTGCTTAGGACAGTACAGTTGAGCTAGTGTGCTTTGTCATGGTGTATAAGTGTGGTAATACAAGGGGCGATCCATATATTCTGATAAAAATGCTCTCATTTTGTGATTTTTCACATATCCTTTTCATTTTTTCAGAACATGTAGATTATGTAATTACACATATACCTCCATCATCTATAGATTTGTGACATACTTGTATATGTATCACAGTGTGTTGTTCAATTCAAACTTGTGATATCAATCATCCAGTATGTGAATTTATCCCTGAAAGAGCACCACATTATTATTACACAATAGAGTACTATGCTATTGATATAACCCCTAAGTAAAATTCTGACAATTGTTTATGGTCTAACCGATAAAGGTTATAATTCAACTGCCTAACTGGTTTCGTCTTTGTACAATTCCCGAGTACATACATTACATGCATTAGCAAAGAATCTTGAGTGAAACAATGTTGTTTCTGATTTATACCTTCCTGTTTGGACAGATGATCTCAGGAGAATGTCTGGAAACAAATATTGGCTCAATGCAGTGGAGAGGACAGAATATTGAGTTCTTCAACAGACCTACAGCATTATTTGGTAACTTATAGTATTTAGATATCAAATTACTTCTTTTTTCGACACAAATATCTGAAAATTTGTTAAAAACCATGTGATGACAAAAATACTAAGACTTGTTGTCTATTTGTACACCACATGTACAAAAAGGGATCCATTTCTATAATCTCCCTTCAAACAATTCACTTATTTTATTGAATACAGTATAACCATAGATCACACCATACAAATCACATCATCATATTGTATCTAAATCAATCCTGTATATAAAAATACATGTACCTCTCTAACCTGGACCGACTTTCTTGGTGTCAATTTTGTTATCTCCCAATAACACATTAACAATCTTTGGATGTGATCACCTCCTAATCTGAAAAGTGTTATCTAGTCCCAGTGGTATTAAGATAAGGCAGATTCTATTGTGTTAAAACATCAATCTTTTAGTTCAATCTGATGATTGCCTACCAGGATTCTTCAAGGGATTCTGGTAGAATGAGAGCTGTTATATGTTTGTGATCAGTCGACAGACCAGAAGTGAAGCAAGTGCAATCTGCACAGAAGCTGCACTTGGAAATGGTCTGGTTGCTATACCGACTGAGTTACATCATGCATACATTGTTAGCCAAATTGCTATGCAACCAGGTAACAATCACATTAGGTCATGGGCTTCTGAAAGAGGAAATCCCATAATTGAATTAAAGTGATATTCAAAATAAAAATAATATTTCATTGTAAATCCATGTTTATCTTTATTTCAAAAATACACATCAGAGACCATGAGACTTTACAAGATATTAATTTTCTTAAGAAACATGTAGCAAAATGTATGCCAGAACTGTTCAGTTAAAAAATGTTAGACGTAGCCCCCGGGATGCAGCCTTTGCACAGAAAGAAAAAGCTTTGTAATAACCTTTCCAACAAACCCTGACACTTTTTGCTTCGTCAAAGATGATTTATGAATTATAGAACTCAGGGTAAACTCATCTACCTCATACAATGACTATTGGACCAGTGGAGAGAATGTGATTGATGGAGTTTGGACATGGTCAACCACACTTCAACCCTTCAACTACACAAAATTTTGGCCAGAACACAACCCCTCAACTGGTTATGTGTCATTGTATGACAACCGTAATATTAATCCCTCTCCTTACTATGACTGGGATAGCAGGCTGAGTCCAGAAACTTCACAGAGATCTATATGCCAGCATTTTGTTTTGAGTTCTTAGTGTATAAATTGCATTCAAATAAAACAGAAGCTTGTTATAACTAACTATGTTGTTTGTTTTATCACATATATGTGCTCTTGCATTATTCTTTTTGTTGACTATGTCTTTGGACATTTTTTGATCATGTCAGATTATATGGCAGCCACACTAGTATCTATCCTAGCTTTGAAACAATTTTTGATATTCATAAAAGGCTATTTATTATGTCTCCAGTTCTGTTAACATTATTATTTAAATTGTCCTCCCACTATGAAACATTGCGAAAAGGAACAATGAATAATAGAAATGCCAACTTAATATCTCATATCATCTTGCTTCATCAACCTTCGGACCTATCCTCATAGTGATTGAGCGTGGGAACCGACGATGATCTCATATAGGAACTAAAATGTTATTGATTTGAATACTTACTACTCCAGAAGCACCATTCGCATTATATTTTACGCATTCATTGTTAGGCTTTTTTGTGCCTTTTTCTCAGCTAATTTACAAAAACATACATAATTTACTAAAACTGCTTTACCTGAAGATGAACTCCATTTATCACTAGGGCAGATCATTTGTGTTAAAAGGAGCATTTCAGTACAAATTTGTACTGAAAAATGTACTTGTTTTTACTCGAAATTTAAGTATATTTATATACTGAAAAAATATACTGATTTTTTTTCAGTACAAATTCATACACTGAAAAATACACTGAATTTTAAGTACAAAAAATTGGTATCGATATGGCGAACTGAATTGAACACATGTTTCTCTTAAACCTGAGTTATCAGAAAATGATCATCTTTTGAATGGTATCAATTAAATTTGAAAAAAACACTTTTCTCTTCGCTCTATTGTTTTAGAAAACACACCAGGAAAAACACCAGACGTTTTTTTTGTTCTCGGTATTATATGTTTGGAATGAAATGGAACATCTATCCGAACCTTACTGGAACAAAACGTGTTTAGATTTCTCAATATTGTAATTGTTCAAAGGAAAGTGTGGTTCATTTTAAAAAAGTATCTTGTTAATGAAACAAAAGGTTTACTTTAATTTGTATCTATTTTGGGGTTTTTGTTTTAATCTTTTTAATAGATTTTGCTTAATTGTATACCTATAATACTGAGAGCTCTAAGAAAATGTTGTACATGTATATGCTATTTTGTTCCAACAAGGTTCGAAAATATCTTTTATTTCATTCTCAAGAATTGGTAGAATAATAAATATTGATTTAATTGATGCAAACATGTCATATCATAAACCAGTGGATAGGGAATTTACTTTTTTATTTAATTTGGTATATCATAAGTTCAAATTGATTATAATGTCTGTCAACCAGAGTCCATAATATAAATGACATCATTTTCGTTTTAAAACAGGTTTTCCAAAACTTGCAAAAACCATGTTTTGTCAATTTTTTTTACATAAACAGACATTCAATATGTCCACAATTTTGATCAATTATCACACCAGGCCAGATTGCAACATATTGTACTGCAAACTATAATTTTGCGCCAAATATAACGTTGATGCCATATTGGATTCTAAGCAGTCATAATACTTATCATGAAACTCTGGTTAATTCGCATTGAAATCACTCAGCTATGTATTTGAAATTTTTACCAGTTGTGCAAAACATATTGATTGATTCATTGGTCTCCCCAATGGAGTTTTGAACTTCTTAAAGAATTAGTTTGAGCCGTCAACTGTCAACAATTCTACCACAAAAAATCATTATTTTCAGAAAGGTCTAACAGCGCTAAAATATTGAATTGGAAAACAAAAGAGGAAGGTGGGGACTCCAAGGAAACTCTTCTAAAGGGCCTTAAAAAGGTTATAAGAGAATTTCAAAATAGCACACTTTTATTTGAAGCCCTTTTAAGGTCATATCCGCAAATAATTGTTGCTGTTAACATGACAGAACATTCTGACTAAACTATATTTTGAAATTCCTGTTACTCTTTCTCATTTTTGCGTCGAACCATGATACTTGGCAAATCAATGTAACTTTGGATAAGCTTAAAAGCTGCCTTTTTTGAAAAAACGCAATCTTGGGTTGTTCCAGGGGTCCTGAGTGATATTTTGAGCTATAAAGAGAGAATATACAATAATAAACAAATGGGGAAAATGCTATGCAAAAATACTCATGATAAAGGTGTTATTATGATGATTGGTACTTCGATTGCTCGGATGATAGGCTGGCTATTTGATTTTTCAGCACGCGGACGTCCCAGGTTCGAATCCCGCCCCAATTTTGAATTTTTTCTAGTTATATTGTTGGCTTTGATTTACGCTTAAAAACCTTTATAACTACATCAACTTTTTATTAAAAGATTTATTATCTTGTCAGTTGTATTAAAATGTAAAAAGTTATATATGTCAGCTTATTGCCTTTTCGAAAACAGTCAAGGTTTAAGATGTCATTTGACACATACTATGGAGACATTGGTATATGCCTGCCTAGAGTGGGGGGTTGCATTCTTTCGAGACACCCTATATTCCCTCAACTAGGTAAAGCAGTAATTTGTCAGACCAATTTTGGCATGGTGATAAATTCAAAACTAATAAAAATGAAGTATCCAGTTAGATATGATTTTAGAAGTGCATACCAAAATTATCTTTTGTTGTTATCCCTATATATATTTAGTATCCATAGGATAATTTAAGATTACTTTTGATTTGAAAAAAGAGTTTTTCTTGATATATTTTTGCTATCTCATTAAACAATAAATGAACAAATCTAATTATTTATGTATGCACTACTAAGAACTTGTATAGACATATGTGCACTTTATTTGGCATTGATATCATGGTGCAAAAACATTTTCAGTTATTGATATGCCCCCTGATTATTCTGAAACTTACAGTTTATGGTCCAACTGATAAACTATCATAACTTTTTCATCAAAATCAGTCTCTGTTGCAAAACTTTACTGAAAAGAGCTCAGCAGAAAATCGAATATGGAAATGATGTTGTCTCTGACTCCAATCTTTGTGTTGGGGCTAGTTGTGACATTATGTATAGGAACAGACATCGCCACGATGCAGTGGAATGGAAAGAAAATCCAGTACTTCGACAGAGCAACAGCATTATTTGGTAATTTCTAGATATTAAGGGCTAATTGTCAATGAAAGAAGAAAACCTGATGTGCTATTTTCAATATATTTTGTGGTACATGAACTATTGTTGGAAGTGTCCTTAAATTTATTCTTTATTAATTTACCTTCTGTATGTCTTCAAAGGTTTCATCTTATATGATTCATTGTTGCAAACTTGCAACTTTAAAATTTAAGAGCAATCTGAGGACTGCCTACCTGGATTCTTCAAAGGAGTTTGGCAAAATGAAACTTGCTACATGTTTGTGACAGCTGAACTAACCAGGAGTGAAGCAAGTACATTTTGCACAGAAGGCGCACTTGGAAATGGTCTTGTTGCTATACCAACTGAGTTACATCATGCACACATTGTTGGCCAAATTGTTATGCAAACAGGTATGAACTATAAAAATACAAAAATAGTCCATAAAATTCCAGTCCAGTACATAACTATTATATAATAATGGCTTTTTCAAAATGGTTCTTGCTTGTAAATGCTCCAATCCCATGACAACATAATAATGTTTAGTATTTGATTAATGTTCTGTAGAACTCCGAGCATCATCCAGTTCAAGCCAGTACTATTGGACCAGTGGAGAGAATTTCTCAGGTCTTTGGACATGGGGTACATCACTTGAACCTTTTAACTACACAAAATTTTGGACAGGGAGTACCCCTAGTACTGGTTTTCTAGCCTTGTATGAAAGCCGTAGTGCTAGTCCCTCTCCGTACTATGACTGGATAAGCACAACCTCAATTACTAATGCATACAGATCAATTTGCCAACACTTCATTGTGTCTCGTTAAGTGTATTAACTCATAAAAATTACAATAAAAAGTAGAAATGCAAATATTGTTGCAAACCCTAATAATATTTGAGTTATGTTCTTTTGTTAATATATTGGTGTGTCAATGTGTCATTAAGGTTATTGTGTTTGTACATTGTAAATACATGTGTGTAAGATCATAGTTTTGGGATACTAGGGTTTTATTTTCCCTAATGACTGGCTACCATCTTGCTGTTTTGTTTGCAAAATGCAAATATTATTAAATATGCAGATATTAAGAATATCTATCAAACCAAAATAATTTCAAGCCAAGATGCTCAAAGACTTCAGAGATAATTTATTCCAAATTAATTCAGAATCTAGAATGTTTCTTTCTCTCCTCAAATGCATACACTTGCCTGAGAATTAGCTGACTTAAGCCAGCATAGATAGAATGTTACCATGCAAAGTCCTAAAATGACCACCTTAAAAATGCACCCATCATATGAAAAAATAACTTGTTCGAGACATTTATGCTCTGGAAGATTCCGTGAAATCTAAAATCAATCTTTGAAACTGAAACTGTTTGTATTGAAACCATCAGGCAAGGTGCCAATGGGATGTCTATCAACCAACATCCATAACCTGTTGTCCTGCTTGCCTGGCAAACTGATCACAATATACCAGCCAATGTTTTGACATAAGATCAAACAACTGAACACAAGACCCCGGTAGATTATGATTACAATCATCTGATGGTTGCAGGAGTTGCACTGAACACACAGATGCTTTTCTTACTGTAATACAATACATTTTTCTATTTGTACTTTGCATGAATATAAAGATGACAAAAAATCTGTGAATGTGACACTCTTGAAATAAGAAAAAAAAATATGCATATCTGTACAAGATATATAGTAAGTTTTAAATAAGTCATTCGGCATTCTTTATAATATAATTTGATTTTACATGATTTTATCTAACAACTACATGTATGCATCCATATGGACATTTCACTTGACCTGTTGCTGATCATCAATAAGCTTAGCCCAACCTTGATTTACAACCTCTATTTTTAAATTTAAACAGTTGATATTAGATAAGAAAATTACACATGTGATCTCTCACCTTCTGCACTTATATTTACATATCATGCTTTCTAAATTCTGAGTAATTGATATAAATTAAAAAATATAGTGCAATCCCATAAAATGTACCTTAAACATTGCAGTCAGGCATATGCCAAATGCTTTACGTTTTTTCTTGTATAGCCCCTGATTATATTCTGATAAATAGTTTATAGTCAACATGATAACAAACTGATTCAATTACAAAATTCAGTAATGGCAAGCGGAAATGATGTCATTCAGTTTATGTTGGGGCTACAGTGAAACAATGTTGCTTGTGATTTATGCCTTTGTATGTGGTCTGATGATCTCGGGAGAATGTTCTGACACAAATATAGGCTCAATGCAGTGGAGAGGACAAAGTATTCAGTACTTCAACAGGGAAACTGCATTATTTGGTAACATAACTGATACATTTATATGATTAAACATAGCAATAGCATACTGGGTGGAAAAATTAATTAATTTGTCAATATTTTCATAACCTGCGTTTCCTATGTTTCCCTGTATTTCTTATAAAAACATTTCAGTTCAATCAGAAGAATGCCTACCAGGATTCTTTAGGGGATTTTGGCAAAATGACAACTGCTACATGTTTGTGACTTCACAATTAACAAGAAGTGAAGCAAGTGCATTTTGCACGGAAGCTGCACTTGGAAATGGTCTGGTTGCTATACCAACTGAGTTACATCATGCATATATTGTTAGCCAAATAGTTATGCAACCAGGTAAAAGTGAAGAAATACATGTCATATTTACATATTATATCATATCATCATAATGAATCCGCTTGATTTATCTGTGCAATATCAATTATATGTGCATTTGATTGCTGCAATTATAACGAAATGTTCAATTTGATTGATGCAATAATAATGATACGGCATTTGATTGATGCAATAATAATGATATGTGCATTTCATTGATGCAATAATAATGATATGTGCATTTGATTGATGCAATAATAATGATACAGCATTTGATTGATGCAATATCAATTATATGTGCATTTGATTGAAGCAATAATAATGATATGGCATTTGATTGATGCAATAATAACGATATGGCATTTGATTGATGCAATATAATGACAGTATTTGATTGATGCAATATAATGACAATATTTGAATTGATGTAATATTAATGAAAATAGCAATGCATTGGTCTACTGTAGAGCTCAGGACAGCAGACTACCAGAAATTCTGGACCAGTGGAGAGAATGTGATTGATGGAGTTTGGACTTGGTCAACCACAGTTCAACCCTTCAACTACACAAAGTTTTGGGAAGGACACACACCTTCTACTGGTTATGTCTCATTGTATGAACGTCGCTCAATGAGCCCATCGCCTTACTATGATTGGTATGCCACAACAAATGCTGCAAATTCATACAGATCCATATGTCAACATTTTATTGTAAGTCGTTAAAATGAATAAACTGCAACAGAAAAAAAACATGATTATTTTATATAAATACAATGATAGCTCTTGTCTGTTGAGAGTTAGTTTGCATATTTATTAGAAATACTTTATAATATATCAAAGGGAAATAAAACTTTCAGATAATTCAGTTTAAAGGGAGCTTGATTTTTATGCTTTCATATGTCTCTCGTTACATTACATTTATATAAATATTTCAAACAACAACAGTAAGAACTTTACAATCAAAGAGGACTATGACTTTTTGTAGACCTTAATATTCAAAAGTTGATTTTTATTGCATTTATACACAATATTAATTTGAATATATATTTCAGAACTAATTAACACATGGTATGAGATCTGTACACTATACACATTACCCTAGCATCGATGGAAACTCTGCCAAAAACGAGCGTTTGATTTGCTAAACGATATGCATTACCTTTTAACATTCAAAAGTTGATTTTTATTGCACTTATACACAATATTAATTTGAATACATATTTCAGAACTAATTAACATATGATATGAGATCTGTACATTGTCCTAACATCGATTGAAACTCTGCCAAACAAAGTTCCTTCAAAATCAAGTTCAACCTAATCATCTAATTACTTAAATGCCATCTATACATAGATGATAAATATGTATTCTTAACTTTAATCACACACTGTGTTTATATATGGTTTATTCACTGGTACACTTCAGCATTCTCAAAAGTTAATGCATCAAGTCCCAAAAGAGTTAGCCCAACTATCATGTACAAATCTTAGCACTGTTTGTTGTCTTAAGACACCTGATATGCAATAAGCTCTGCAATCTCATTGGGAGTACCAGGTTTCTTCAGAGGGATAACATGTGAGCATTTTTTGCAAAGTTCATTTTGCTCTTCTTCCATCTTTACAATTCCAGCTTTGAGTAAGATACCAGTGTCAACCAGACATGGTGTTGTTATATATGTATATTATTTGCATTCCAATTTGCATTAAAGGATTGTGTCAATTTATTTCTGTTATCAAGCAGAGTAAGAAGTAATATTAAGTGTGAGGGTGATAACTGTATAGAATATCTCATTTATAAAGATCTTATCTTGCACACTTCAATGAAGGGACTTGCCATTTAATGATTGAGAACTTTGAAGTTTTTTTGGCCACATTTTATGATCAAATTAACAAGTTGTTACATTCACACATAATGCTCATATGACAGGAATCAATAATATGGTGATTCACCTGAAATAAGAGTAAAATTACTGTAATATCTAAATCACAAGCCAAATCTGATCAATCTGATTTCTGATTCCATCAAATCCAATATTGTCAAATGTTACAGCCTGCCAAGTACCATTGGACATTTCTTTAATTAATGCTCTTAACTACACATATGCCTGTAATGGTATTTTCAAAAACTTAATGTAAAATTGAAATTCAGAGGTATGATGTTGTGTCTTGGATATGTTTTGATGCTGATGGGATTGGAAGGATGCCTTGCCTCAAATGTTGACTCGATGGAATGGAAGGGAAAGAATATTCAGTACTTCAACAGACCTACAGCTTTATTTGGTACATCTGTTTTACAATTTATTTGTCTGACTGCTTTTCTATATGTTACCGTATGCAATTGCCTTTTTCACATGCGGGATAATGTGGTCATAATTTGAAGATAGGACAAATTATTTTCAACATTTGCTAATTAGTCTCTATTATAATACATCAGAACAACATAAGAACTCACACAGTAAATAGGCAACAAATGGGCATTCCAGAAAATACATAAAATTTTATCTTAAAAAATAAGTGGAAGTATAGTACTTGTAAATCCAGAAAGATTTCAAACAACAAAAATGAAAAAGTAAATTTAAGAGTATAGCCTGACATAGAAAAATTAACCTCTAGCGCCCAAAATATTGTGATCCATATATAGGTGTATGTAATTCTGAAACCAAAGTTCCTAAAGAGATGCATAAACACACAAATAGTGTCTGCTTCTGTTTCTTGCTTTAGTGTGATACTTAATTGTAATGACCACACAGGTCTGTAATTAGGGAAGCTGAAGTGCAAAGACCCAGATACTAGACATGAGAGGGAGTGTGCTAAATTCAATGCCCCTACGGGAATCAAACCCAGCACCCTCCACTCACAAGCCAGACTCTCTACACCTGAGTCATAAGGGCTAGCCACTACAGCAGAGACTTTAATAGTAACTTGCTATCAAAGGCCAATGCATAATCAACATCATTTTCCCCAACTATCAATTTGAATAATGTATTCCAGCTCAATCAGCTGACTGCCTACCTGGATTCTACAAGATGATCATGCAAAATGAGAGCTGCTATATGTTTGTGACGGCTTTACTACCAAGGGGTGAAGCAAGTGCATTTTGCACAGAAGGCGCACTTGGAAATGGTCTTGTTGCAGTTGAAACTGAGTTACATCATGCATTCATAGTTGGCCAGATTGTAATGCAGAGAGGTAATAGCTCATTTTATGCCTCGTAAAACCTTATCAAAAGACAAAAAGAAGAATCCCAAGTCGAAAAACATCTCTTGTGGAAAACAAACTCCTGCCATCTGATCTATCATACAGGGAAACAGTGCCTAGCAATGCCCGAGTGTGGGGAACATTCACACTTCAGAAAGAGGTTGCCGTTAATGTTGTCCTGTCAACAATGGCAATTTGTAAAAATGTAACCGATTGATTTTTAGAAATAAATATGAAGTATGTAAAAAAAAAAAAAAAAGTTGATCGAGGTACAGATGGATCGGCCTAATTCTGAGGAAGGCATCAAGAAAAGAGTGGAGGAAATATTCATATTTAAAGCATAGCTATTTTGTGCCTGTGTAGAACAAGATTTATAACACCACATTTCTTGTCCAAAAATTTGTTTTAGACAAAATTATTGAATAGGCCTAAGTTAAATACCATACATAAAAGCTACATGTACTTTGTATTATTTCTATTTTGCAGAGCTCAGAGCACCATTCAATACTTTAAATCAATACTGGACAAGTGGCTCAAATGTTGCTGATGGTACATGGACATGGACAACAACACTTCGACCTTTTAACTACACAAAATTTTGGGAAGGAACGGGTCAGGATCCAAGTGGCTTTGTCTCATTGTATGACAATCGTGCAAGCAACCCCTCTCTTTACTATGACTGGTTTCCTTCTTTCGCTGTCGAAGAAGTACATAGATCTATTTGTCAACATTTTATTGTGAATTCTGATTCTAAGGCAGAGTCATAGAAATATAGAGGTGAAATATTGCTCACAATTTGAACAATTGAGCACTGATGTATATAATATCTAACAAAAGATTTGTGGAGATCTCATCAAATTGTGAAGTTGATTCGAAGTACAAACATAAATAAATTTTCAAAAATATAAAAATGAACACAAAAATGTAAAAATTATTAGCTTTTCAGAATTTGGAGGATTTATAGAAAATACTTGTGACAAAATTCGGCAATAAAACGGCAGAGGTAAATTCTATAATCACAACAGGAAAGCAACAGATGGTTGTTAATCACATGAGATAGAATTAAACAAAGTAATTAACTGATCATGTTTAAATTTATATCATACAACTCATTGTCATACAACTCATGGTCTTGCAAGTTAAAAAGAAAACTGTGAATCTTCACATGGTCTAAAATCAAGGAAAGTCCTCACAAAAGGAACTCCAGCTTCATTCTGAAGACTCACTTAACACTTGTGAACTCAACCTAAAAACTAAAGTACATACACCTAATTCGGTGCATGCAGCTTTGATAGCTCTACAGTATTGAAGGAAATGGTCAAAATCTGCAGTGCTCTCCATGTCAGGCCCTTTGATGTACTTTGTATATTAAACAGGCAATGTGCCTATTTTTGAAGGAAAGGGGACAAAATATTATTTGAGACATTTTCCTCACACACTCAATCAAATATGATAAAAATTTTAATTTGGGTCAATACTGAAGTGAAAAAAAATTATTTGCATAGAAAACAGCATTTGAAGTTCAGAGATCAAAAGAAGTGAATTACCAATTTTCACAAAGTGTATGTTTTAAATAACTCTTGGATTAAAAGATGGCGTACGGTTAAAATTCCTCTCAAAAATGAATTGATAATTAATGCAAACAACAATGCCATCTTTCAATGGCATTGCTAAAAACTTAAAATATATAAATTGATAGATCGAAAATACTTTTTTCACGATCTAATGTCAACTCTGATGTGATCTGTTTGAGCTGTTTTTGGTGTCAAATGAAAGATATGGTACTTATTAATCCATTGGAAATACTATGAAGATCAATTTTGTTTTTGTTCCTTTAAGCTGGTCAATTATCTGAGATGGAACAAGTATTAACATGGAAATTAACTCCAAAGCGATGATTTGCCCTATTGTATATGCAAATATTCCTGTGCTCAAATTCTTTATTTTAGAAGAGGTGATAATAAGATGTAAACACATTCATGTGCATGGACTTAATGTGATTAAATAGATACAGTTGCGTCCTTACAATGTACACCAATAGGCCATGGCGTAAGGTTAATTTTGTGGGAAAATTGTGTTTTTCAAATATTGACAGGTAAAATTATAAAAAATACACAATCGCTGATATAACACCGAGAATAAGTCATGTTTTCGTTTTATGACAGAGTGGTCCATTTATTTTTGCAAATATTGATCTTGATGCACTCTTTCAAAAGATGTCTTATAATCTGCAAGCAGTCAAGGCTCGGAAATTCCATGCTGAAGTGAGACGTTGGTGTCACAGGTGGAACAATGTGCAAGATCCACCCATGCATGCATCATCATGATAAAACATATCATGATGGTGATGGTGACATACTGTGAAAGTGAAAAAGGCTGTGTTATAGTTTGCTCCAAAAAAATTAGATAAAACGCAATAATTGAAAAGAGTTGATACATGTTCTTCGACAGAGATCTACATGAATATACAGAGATCACAAACACGAAGTTCTGAGGAAAAAACTCTGAATAACTAAAGAGAATTTAGAACATATTTCTCAGGACATATTGTAAAATATCAGAACATATAACTGTATATACTAACAAGCACATGGATTAATTAGCCCATGTTAGTAACTATATACTAGCATATAAAGGACAACCTTACAGTGAGCCTATAATTGACTCAAGCTACTTATACAAACACTTTACACAGGTGTGTAACGCACAGGCGTACAGGTTCCAACCATGAGCAGAGGTAGTGGTAGCAAACGTTAGCGCACTAAGCTGAAAAGCTGGAAGAAAGCTTGGTCATCAACGCCATCATCTTGGGATGATGAAAGTACCACATCCACTCCTGCAGCCAAGCATCATCGTATATCCGAAAGCCTTACAACACCAGGAATCTCAACTGATGACAACGACCAATCGAAGGATAATCATACACCCTGCAAAAATCCTGAAATTAACACTCCTGATGCTGCATATTCCCTACCCCCAAAGACCCTTAATTTCCCAAATCCAAACTCCAGCTCCATTGCTGACTTTCTCCCAGATCTAAAAAACGATTTACTTAAAAGTATAAAACATGAATTGATTGAGTCAGTTAAAACAGAATTAGTAGCCTGTGTGAAGGATAAATTAATACAATCTATTAAGGATGAACTGGTCAAGACCATCAAAACTGAAGTACAACGAGAGTTAAGAGAAATAAAATCCTTCGTAAAAGGGGTTGAAACGAAGTTTGAAACCGAGGTGGACTCCTTTAAACAGGGAGCTTTAGCCTTTGAACATAAAATTGATAAACAGTGCAAGGAAATAGACAAAAGAATGCATGACTTTGAATCAAATATTCCAAAAAAGATCACTCAAACAGAAGACTTCGCACCTGAAACAAGTGTGATCATTAGAAATGTCCCCTATCAAAACAACGAAGATGTTACTAAAAAAGCCAACATGGTCATCTGCGAAGGTCTCGGAATGGAGAGTAAAATGCTTGTTAAAGCAGAAAGAACAAAGTCACGGAATGATAAACCTGGAGTTATCAAAGTCCAACTGAAAACAAAGGAAAATAAAATAGCTCTTCTCAGAAGAAAGAAAATTCTGAATGAAAAACAAAAATTCCACAATATTTATATTAATGGAGCCAAATCTCACCAAGAAAGATTATTGGAGCTGAACACCAGAGAAATGTTGAAATGCATCCCAGGGAGTGGAAGACTAGCGAAAAAATCTCCCGAGCAAGAGAAAGAAAATGAGAACTGGAACCTGGATCCGGGACAAGCTTGGAGAGGAAGAGGATCTGGACCCCGAGGTGGACAAGGACGAGGACAAAACAGAGGAAGAGGAACTATTCACAGAAGCAGACAACCAAATGAAAATGATAACCAATGGGCATAGGATGATTGCCAGCCCTTTAACATTAAATGTATGCACTGGAATGTAAACTCATGGACCAACTCAAATGGCCCAATTAGATCTCAAATAATTCAAAAACTTAACCCCGATATAATTTGCCTCAACGAAACTAAGCTTCAAGATGATCAAAAAATAAGTCTTGAGGGATACATATTTTATGGCCACAATCGCATGTCACTAATGAAAACTGCAAAATGTGGATCAGGTGGGGTGGCCATTCTAATTAAAAACCAATTATTACAAGAATTCTCATCGGAAATTATTGAAAAATCATATGAAGGGATTTTAGCTGTAAAACTTACCCACCTTCACGATATTTGCTGCTTATTCACCTCCTGAAGGCGGGGAAAGAGGCCGAAATGGTGATAATTTCTTTGATCACCTACTTCAATTGACTTACACCTATAGCGACATTGATAGATTAATCATATGTGGGGACCTAAATGCCAGAATAAGTGATTTAGATGACTATGTAATTGACCTGGATCCAGTACCACCTAGAGGCAGCATAATTGATGACACAAAAAATAAAAGTGTGTGAAATCTACTATGATGAAATGTTAAATATGCTACCCTCTCATGACATTTCAAAAAACACAAAACGTAAATCAAGATTTAAACCAAAACCATGGTGGGATTCCAATCTTAACGAACTTTTTAAAAAACTTTGTCAGAATGAAAATCGATATAGAAAATATAGATGTCACTTCAAAAGAGACAGGAATAAAAAAGAGCTCTTAAGAGAATATAAATTAGCTCAAGCAACTTTTGACAAAGCAGTAAGAAAAGCTAAAAGAGATTTTAACATAAAAACCCAAATATATATAAATGAATTAAAGACAAACAACCCAAAGGAATTTTGGTATGAAATAAGTAAATTAGGTCCTAAACAAAAAATTGAAATCCCTAATGAAGTACTTATAAATGGCAAGATATTAAGAGAAAAATGAGATCTTGTTAGCATGGGAAAATCACGAGAACTATATGAAGTGTCAAATAAAGATGAATTTGATGATGAATTTTATTCTAAACTAGTACACCTCAAAACAGAGGTTGATAACAACATGCATATTTTTGAAAACAATGATGACCCTGAAAAGGAAATTAACAGTGACATAAATATGGATGAAATCATTACAGCAGTAAACAAAATAAAAGAAGGAAAAGCCATAGGAATTGATTATCTTCCGGGTGAAGTATTCCAAAATGCCACCTCAGTATCATTATTAACAGTTTTATTTAATAAATGCTTTAAACATGGATTATACCCTTCACAATGGAGAAGAGCCATAATTAAACCGATTCCTAAAAATCACAAAAATGACCCTAGAATACCACTTAACTATAGAGGAATAAGTCTGTTGTGCTCAATGAGTAAGTTATACAGTTCAGTATTGAGTAATAGACTAATGTGCTTCAGTGAATCTTTCCTAGCTGATGAGCAAAACGGCTTCAGAAAACTTAGAGCCTGTATTGATCATCTGTATGTATTGACAACAATTATACGCCACAGAAAAATTTAAAACAATCAACATTTATATGCTTCATAGATGTAGAAAAATGTTTTGATAAAATCGACAGGGACTGTTTATTTATGCAACTGACAAAGGCAGGTATTGATGGCCGTATGTATAGAGCTTTAAGGACAATGTATAGTAGAACTTCTAACATAGTAAATCTCAATGGTAAAACAACAAACTGGTTCCCTTCTACAGTTGGATTAAAACAAGGAGATAATCTTTCTTCTTGTTTGTGTAATATCTTCCTAAATGACCTAGCAAAGACAATAATCTCTAGTCAAATTGGCGTAAAATATGGTGATGAACTTATAAACGTTTTATTATATGCAGATGACATTGCTCTGATTTGTGAAAGCGAAACCGATCTACAAAAGCTGCTCGATATTGTTAAAATGTGGTGCAATCAGTGGAGAATATCTATAAATATGGGAAAAACTAAAATTGTACATTTCAGAAGGAAAACCATGCCTAAAACGAACTATAATTTTGTCTTCAATGATTCTGAAATCGAAAAAGTGTCAAGCTACAAATATCTGGGTTGCTTCTTCAACGAAACATTAGACTATACATTTACAGCAAAACATCTGAGCTCAGCAGCAAGCAGAGGACTTGTTGGTCTTATTTCTAAATTCAGATCACATGAAGGACTATCATTCCAGACATTCAGTAAACTGTATGACACATGTGTATTACCTATTATGAACTATAGTGCTGGTATTATGGGAGCGAAACCTTATCAAAAATGTGACTATATTCACCAACGTGCCATACGTGCATTTATGGGCGTTCATAGATATGCTTCAATTCCTGCTCTATATAGCGATTCTGGCTGGCTTACCCCGAAAGACACTAGAACACTATGTAGCACTTTATAGCACTTGTATTTCCATGTATGTACATGCTGTATGCTTACGTCATTGCTTTAGTGGCTAAAAGTGTGTCTAAATATATTCTACTTTAGTTCTCTGCTATGTGTCTGAGGTTCAACACCTCAGACGCATAGTATAGATTTCACAAATATATATTATCATTAAATATAAATCTGGGATTCAGAATTAATAATTACCATGATTGACAATTAATAATAGAACTACAACAAATCTACATTAGACAACACACTAGATATTGTGCGTCTATGGAATAGATTCACATTCATGGAAAATAATAGACTCACCAAAAAAATATTTAATATTGACTTAATATAATCAACCTAATGGATGGTGTTCAGATATAAAATCAATTTTCAATGAGTTAGGGATGAATCATTATAACCAGAAACAATATGTTAATATCAGCATTGTTAAGAGAAAACTAAAATTAAAATTACAAGAAAAATTACGTACAGATATTGAATCACAACCCAAATTGAGGACTTACCTAACTTTTAAACATGACTGTCCAATAGAACAGTATTTACTTACATCATCATTGACAAGGGGTGAACGCTCTCTAATAGCTCAGTTAAGAACTGGTATACTTCCTTTAGCAATAGAAACGGGGAGATTTACTCAACCGAAAACTCCAGTAAACCAAAGACAGTGCCAAATTTGTAACTCAAATGAAATTGAAAATGAAACGCATTTTGTATTTGAGTGTTCATATTATTCAGAAGCTCGAAAATCTTTCCTTCAAGAAATCAAAGACAATTCCTTTAAAGATATCTTTGAAAATAAAAAATATATTAAATGCTTTGGAAAGTATTTGCAAAAAATATTCTATATAAGGAAAAGAGTTTTATTTAAAAATCAAAATCAATAATGATGTTGAGCTGAACTGCACTAATTTTATATTTGTATTGTTAAAATTATTATGTATTATTATTATGTAACTTATGTAAAATGTGTCTCATAAGCCCAAATAGGGCTGGCTATCTTAGAAGGTGACACTTAAATAAATGAATAAATAAATACATGACTATGATTGACAAAAAATAAAGCCAATTTTCTTTGTCCATCATATTTTATTATAGTACATAAAGGTATTATGCCCCACACGTGAAGTAAAACCTTGGCCTGATATATATCTGTATTTGTAATTGTTATGACCTGTTTTTTTAAGTGTTATTGTTTTCGTGTTTCTCATTTATTATAGAATCATCGCATTCCTTCATCAACACATGGCACATTCTCTTGAATATCAGCATGTTATTAATTGATACACAAGATTTACCAAATTCACCTCAAATGACTTAAACGTATTTTGCACTTATTATGTACTATGTAGGGTCAAACATTTGATAATATTAAGAGTTAATGACACAAACTTGTTACCCCAAACTGAATAAAGATTGCTCAACTCGGATAATTTGGAAGCTTTTAGAGAATGGGACTATCTGGCAAGATAATAGGGGTTATCCATAATGGTATGGATAAAGAGTTTACCCAAAGGAAAATCTGTGTAGTCATGGGATCTCAGGGACAGTACATATTTCAAAACATCATATGCCCATAACCTCAGTAGGATCCTCAAGCAGAAGGTATTCAATACATAATCATATGAGTGTGCTCAAGCCCTTTACAATCTCAAGGAGCTGTCAAATATAAAATATGATTTTAATACAGCATAAAAACAAAACACTCACAGGTGTGAGTCCACAATTCACAAGAGTCAGCAATCACAACCAAGAAACAACAGAACAATAAACCAGCAGGAAAAAGTCAGGACATAAAACATGCTGATGCTAACAAAGATTGTTTTGGTGTTGGGATTAATAGAAGGATGCTCTGCATCAGACATTGGCACAATGGAATGGAAACGCCAGACTATTCATTATTTTAATAAGGCTACAGCATTATTTGGTAAATTTTTACCATCATTTTTTCATTTCAAATTTTAATTCAATGTGTGCCTTTCCACATTTTATATAATAGCACACTGTAATAAACTTAGAGATTCCAGAGGCTTTATACTATCGGCAAAACAAATCACTATTTTTCATTCTATCATTTAATGATATCAATTGTAATTACATGTAAAGACCTAAATGATCGGAGTAGTCTAGGGCATTGGATATATACAAGTAAAACTAGATGAAGATATTATAGCATTTAAAAGGTTGCAAGTTTGAAATGCATGTGCCTGAATTTTATTATTTTAGCTGAATCTGATGACTGCTTACCTGGATTCTTCAAGATGTTTTGGGAAAATGACAACTGCTACATGTTTGTGACCACAGAATTACTCCGTAATGACGCCCATTCATTTTGCACAGAAGCCGCACTTGGAAATGGTCTGGTTGCTATACCAACTGAGTTACATCATGCATTCATTGTTGGCCAGATTGTAATGCAAAAAGGTAAATCCCAAGAGTTTCTATATAGCTTTGGAATCTTGCTTGAATTCTCGTTTTTGCATATTAAACATCAGATGACATACTTTTTCTACTTTTTAATTGCATATTTGAATTCAGTGAAAAGTTTTCCACAATAATAACTTATGTTATTTCATCATTTTCCATGACTTCAACTTAGTTCTAAAAAGTGTTGGCCAAATCTCCATAGAGGCAACGTTAAAACTCTTTAAAACTTTGGTATACTGGTTTGCCAACCAAAATGTTCATGATTAATCACAATATGTACATTAACACAATCATCCCATAATAAATTGTCAGAAAAAATAATTACATTATGAGGATATTATGGGTTTGCGTTCCTTTATTGGTTGCGCTCTTTCATGTTTCTCTTGTAATAATTGTTCATCTTTCCCCTTTTTGGCAGCTACACTTACATATTTTTTTATTAAAATTTTATTTCCAAAATAATAACATTATTTATTACTTAATACTTTATGATGTAATAGAGCTAAGAGCACCAGCCGGTTCATACAATCAGTACTGGACCAGTGGACAAAATGTCATGGATGGCACTTGGGTGTGGACAACAACAACTGAACCTTTCAACTACACAAAGTTTTGGGAAGGGACGGGACACAGTCAAACTGGTTATGTAACAATCCGTGACAATCATGCATTGAGCCCCTCAATATACTATGATTGGTATAGTACAGCTGATCTACAGCGTGAACTAAGATCAATTTGCCAACATTTTATTCTGACTTCTTAAAGGGACTGTTAAAGGAATATATACAATACATTCTTAATAGAATTGAATTTGAATAACTCAATATTCTTAATGTTACACATATTTGGAAAAATGTATGTAACCTGCATTGAAAATTGTGACATGACTGATTATATTCATCAATATTATCAACAGATCTCAATACTAGTATACATATCTACAGAAACCAATCTCATTCTTTTCATATAAATATTATGCAATTTTATAATATGTAAAATAAAGAGATCACACATTATGACAACTTGCCCTGTTTTATGTTTTAGAAAGCTTTATTTTTATATATTATATCCTACTTAGCTATAGAATAAGATTGGGTAACTTAATATTTTGACCTATCAAGATCAGCATTTTAGGCATTAGTCGTCTATATCTAATTAATAAAATACCGGTATGCATACAATTGTATAATAGATACAATGTGTCACAAATGACTACCAAACACCAGCATTTAAGGCAAACACTGAGCATCATTCAGAAAAGATTATGACCAAGACAATACAAAATATTTTTGGTGGATCATGAATCCATACAGTTTTTGACTGCTGTGCACTTAATGCCACAAATGTGATATGCACAAGAAACAAAGTAACAAGACAAATACAATGTCGATATAACACAAAACATATTAACATGTCAAAATGTCATTGCCTCGAAAAGTGTAAAAGCATATGGAGACTAAAAACCAAAATTGAGCGTTTTACAATATCCCATCACCTCTTGATGGTGACAATGGTGGTAAAAATGATGGTAAAAGTTCAGCAATGACCTAATATCTTTCAAATTGTGCAAATGAAATAAAGCTTATTCCAGTTTTATTCCAGAACTTGTACTTTGTAGTAAAAACTGTGAATCCTTCATTTTGTAAGATGAGTAAGAATTCCATAAAAATAAATCTAAAGAACAGAGAATGCTTCCAAATTACAAAAAAATAAACAATTTGTGGTTGTTAAATAAACATCAACACCAAAACAGTAATTGCCTGACACAAAAATGCTGACATTAACAAAATGTCACCCATTCTCAACAAATGAAAAGTTTTACTTACCCCAGTTTTCTTAAATTTCTGCCAAACATAACCTTGGCCACCCTTCTCAAACCTGTAGGTGGGTGGGAACTGGATTTCCTCCTCATCTGCAAAGTAAAAAAACTGATTAAGCCCAATGAATTAAATTTGCTGGATTTGCATAATGACTATTATCACTCTAAAGCAGTGAACCTGAGTTTGGCCAACAAAGGGCACTAATGCTGAAATGCTCCGATGCTATGGGTGTTTGTATCAGGGAATTGGCTCAGGATTTTTGTCAATGGATTAACAATGCTTTTTAATTCAACATCAAAACAAACATTGTTGTTAACATGACAAGCCACAATATAAATATTAATGCTGTATGGATGTGCAAGAAAATTAGACAATGAATTCAGATTTAGTTAAAATTATATGATAGAATAATGTCTGAATTTTAACATCTGCTTAACATCAGTCTGTGAATTTCTGGAATTCACACACAATCATAAGTCATCAATTTGTTTGCATTTAAAGGGAGAGCATGAGAGAGAATACACAAAAGCTTCGTAATATGTTGTTTCAAACTTACTAAAGTGTATAAAGGCCTCTTTGTTGTGCTGGGACTTCTTTAACTGGTCATCATTTAGCAACATAGTATAGTTCTTGTTGCTCACTTGTTTTAAAATCAGCTGAAATAAAGATAGGTTGAGTTATAAAACATAGTATGGTTCTTGTTGCTCACTTGTTTTAAAATCAGCTGAAATAAAGATAGGTTGAGTTATAAAACATAGTATGGTTCTTGTTGCTCACTTGTTTTAAAATCAGCTGAAATAAAGATAGGTTGAGTTATAAAACATAGTATGGTTCTTGTTGCTCACTTGTTTTAAAATCAGCTGAAATAAAGATAGGTTGAGTTATAAAACATAGTATGGTTCTTGTTGCTCACTTGTTTTAAAATCAGCTGAAATAAAGATAGGTTGAGTTATAAAACATAGTATGGTTCTTGTTGCTCACTTGTTTTAAAATCAGCTGAAATAAAGATAGGTTGAGTTATAAAACATAGTATGGTTCTTGTTGCTCACTTGTTTTAAAATCAGCTGAAAAAAAGATCAGTTGTATACATTGATCTCCAAGGGATTTTGTTCATGGTGCTGAGAAGATGCCTTGGAGGAAAGTAGAACCATGTGCTTCGGCAAAAGAATTAGAGAAGCTAGAAGTGTAAGCTATGATGATAGAGACTGTTTTTTGCTTTCACCCCCTTAAAAAATCCTTGGCACACCCCTGGCATATCATTTGGGTTGCCACAACATTTTTTCAGGACTCTCCCATGGTTTTAATAAAAATGGTCTGGTAATATAGGGTGTCCGGAAAGTAAAGATACAAACACTCTAATTTTAATAGATTTAGGTTTGTTGTAATGAAATTGCTACAGACTGTAGAGGAACTATATTACAATACATCTACCAACTTTTATAACATATAGTCTAAACGCGTTAAAGTTACGGTTGTCATAGTTACGGTGGTGAGGGGTATGCGGAGCAGTTCCAGGAAATCGCTAAATTGTGATGAATTGCAAAAATATAACTGTTTGAAACAGTGTTTATTATTGTATTTTTTATCAATGTTTTGTTTAGTTCGATATTGTATTCTTGCTGCCATAGTATTCTCTTTAGTATAATGATATCATTAATACATATCATAACTATGTAATGTCACCAGTACAATCATAGAAAAAGTATATGAGTGCTTAGAAAAGGGGTCCCTGGATTAATAGGAAAGTCAACAGTCCACCTACTCAGTCAATGCACCAATTCACAAAGCAAAAGAAAACAAATTTTACAATTGGATGTCTTGACATTAAACCTTTTTGCACAATGGCCCATATTTCCCTGATAATGGCCTGTTGGACTTCTACATCAATGAATAGTTTAAAGCAATATTTGTTAGACATGTTAGAAGTTCAACATAAAAATGAGACTCAGCTGGAAGCCAATGTTATCAGCAATCTTAGAGATTGACAGCAGTGTTTTTATCAAGTCTTTGAATCTCTGATCAAAATGCACAAAGAATGTTTAGATAATGGTGGGAAATACATAATACTGGATAACAGTAGTAGTGTCAAATAAATCAATAATGTTACAGTACTAATCCTTTGCTGTTGTGGTACATAATTTGATGAATAAATAGCAACAGACGATGGAGTGTCAAGATGATATGAACAGAAGAAAAGAATTATAAAACATTATTGTGATGCTGCTCCACATACCCGCGACTCCTGTTACCATTACAACCATAACTTTTTTATTTTTAAACAATTTGTCATGACAGTTGCAGGATAAATTATTATAATGTCATTCTATAATCTGTAGCAATTTCATCTCACAACAGGTAAATCTATTGAAATTAGAGCATTTGTATCTTTACTTTCCGGACACCCTGTATATCTTATAACACAAAACATACCTGAACTTCATTCTCCAGACGGTAATTAAGATCACCAAACCAGAAAAGATGATGAAATCTATTTGTGATGTCACACACTTTACTTTTAGTGCCACCTAGGTTCAACCCTTTAAGAATATCACGAAAGTTTTGGTTCCTCCTGAAACACATTTTTCAATATCTTATATAGATTAATAGGATGAATATTATGTGAATGTTTAAAATTGACCTCACTCAATTTTGCCATATTGATACAGACATTTCTCAGAGTTATTGTGAATCTCATCATTCAAACCATTCAAATTGCATATTCTGAAATCTGACAAAATCCAAAAATGTTGCTTAGTAGTAATTCACTGTTGATTTAGCAGAAATTTAACCTTTGTTGGCACAGATCGCATAACTACAAGGAATTATGGGATATGTAACTTACCTGTGATTTTTAAAATCCAATTTAGCAGAAATAGAGGTTGGTGCTGATCACATGACTTTACAAGGAATTATGGGATATGTAACTTACCTGTGGTTTTTCTCACTCCCAGAAGTCAAGTGACTGTTGATAAAGCAGAATGAGGTTCCATTGAAATGGAAGGACAGACCCACTGCACCCTTGTTACCTGAAGAAAAACGCTGAAACATGATTGGCCGATAACAGGAAAAACACGAAAGAGGATTTTTTGTTTTGTTAGAAACAAAACATAATCATTGATAAAATGTCAAAATTTAATTCTTGAATGTATAAAACTACCTTGACATGTTTATATGGAAGATGTGATAATTTATATACATGTATTTGTATTTCGTATAATAATCTTACCTAATGCATTTGCAATACCAGTTTTCACATTATCTGTCTGTATATGAGATATTCTGTGTAGATGTTCTGGTTTACAAAGAGCAATAAGTTTGATGCCCCATAGACTACAGGAGGTCACCTGAAATACAATTTCTAAACTTTAAAACTAATTCATATTTATGTTTAATCAAAACATACAGTAAGTTAAATGAGTTAAATACATGTATGTCTCTTAATATACATTGCTATTTTTTTCTTATTGAAGATCATTACAGTTAATTATTATTCACTACAAGTAAAGTAGGAATTATCAGAAAAATCTACTGCCATAACCAGAATATACATGTAAAACTATGTGAGGAAAATAGATCTAGATTTAAACCCCATTTACATTCTTTTAATAGATAAAACATCATAAGTATTTTTCTGTGAAATTTTGATGAGGCAGTTGCTAGTGGACATTTGAATGAATATATGAGTTATTTTTTTAAAATTGAGGTGAGGCACTGTACCTCGTGTGCCTCCACATGTCTGACTACACCCCTGATTGTATGTAGTTCATACTCACAACATGGAGCTCCACATCCAGTAAGTTACATATATATCCTTTGATCTTTGAGGCCAGGTCTTCCTTGTTCAAAGGGGACTCTTGGAAGCCTATTACATACACATCATGGACCATGTTGCTCAGAGATTTATCACGAGTTTTCCCCAAGCCCTGAGATCGCAACCAGTTTTCTATTTTCCAGGCAGGTGGGGTATCACCTAAAATATAATTTCATAATCATAGTGTTGCATTTTTTCTATTTATTCATGTATTTGTCAAGAATTTCTACATATCTCCATAGAATACCTGCATTTATAACAGTGGAACTCTCAATTGGTTTGTCTATAACACAATGTGCATAGAATTCTGTACTATTCAGACTTAAACATATACTGTACATGTATGTAGTATAAAAGTATACCGAAGCATCCATATGTATCTATTGAGTATATATACCACATAAAAATGTACAACAAGACACACATTGATAAATATTGCACTTTGAAGAGAAAAATGATCACCATTACAAGAACTTAATACCCAAAATCTGCCCAAAACCTAATCAAACATTGACACTGTCTGCTCTCTTTCAATATGTGATGAAAATAGAGAATTTTAGACACATTTGATGAGAACTTATTGATATGCTCTCATATGTACCTAAATTCCAGGTTCCTATGAAAAGGGAGATCTGGTCAACTTCCTGACTGGCCGAATGCATGTGTCTCATCTGTTGAATAAGTTGGCAAAAGTTTTCCCGTGAGCGCACGCTATCAAAAATGTATGTGTCTTTCTTACGGCCCTCTATTATCACATCTAGGTTGCATTTATTGGAAGTTGATTTTATAAGTTGAAGAACTGAAAATAGATTCACATATTCATGTATCACATTTTCTACATTGTTACAGATTTTCAAATGTTTCACATTTTCAAACATTGTTACACAAAGTCATAAATTATATCACATTTTCAAATTTTGTTTCATACTTTCCTGGTAAAACCTTTATGGCCAATCCCTTAGGAAAATCTATCAACTATACCAAAGTAACAATTATGTTTCTTTACATATTATTTTCCCTTGTGTACGGCCTACTGTCAATATGTATACTTGTGACAATTGAGCTATAGGGACTTAACTTACTTTGATCATGAGTGAATAGGTTACTATTGTCCAGTACTTCTTTAGATGGTCTAACAGCATATAGTTTACCAGCCATGATATCTACTGTCAATGTATACTTGTGACAATTGAGCTATAAGCCTTTACTTACTTTTATCATGAGTGAACAGATTACTATTGTCCAGTACTTCTTTAGATGGTCTAACAGCATATAGTTTACCAGCCATGATATCTACTGTCAATGTATACTTGTGACAATTGAGCTATAGGGACTTAACTTACTTTTATCATGAGTGAATAGGTTACTATTGTCTAGTACTTCTTTAGATGGTCTAACATCATATAGTTTTCCAGCCATGATATCTACTGTCAATGTATACTTGTGACAATTGAACTATAGGGACTTAACTTACTTTTATCATGAGTAAATAGGTTACTATTGTCCAGTACTTCTTTAGATGGTCTAACAGCATATAGTTTAACAGCCATGATATCTGCTGTCAATGTATACTTGTGACAATTGAACTATAGGGACTTAACTTACTTTTATCATGAGTGAATAGGTTACTATTGTCCAGTACTTCTTTAGATGGTCTAACAGCATATAGTTTACCAGCCATGATATCTACTGTCAATGTATACTTGTGACTCTGGGTCTTGCCTTTGATTTTTACCTGAAAATGGAGAATTTGAATTATTACATTCAAATCAGGTTCAAAGTAAAATACTTGAGACAATGGGGTTAAGTGATGGAATCGTCTTAACTTTAATTAATTTAACCTATGTATCTAACAATGGACAATGATTTTATTTTTTTACAATCACATCAAAATCGAATCCTAAGAACATTGACTTCTACCAAAAGTTGCAAAATGTGGCCTTGAACAATCGATGATAGGCACAAGTGTTATCCTCAAAGCGAGATATGAAGCAAATTAAATAGTTTTGGCGCTTATACTAAGTCATAGTTTCATAAGGCTAGCATAAATGCATGGTATAGCGGCATTGTGTATGGTGTCTGCAATATTGTCATTGATGTGTGTTGTTAGAAGGCAATGTACATGTATATGGTTCAGTTGGCATTCTGTATGGTGTTTTGTTATTGTGTATAGTGAAGGGGACATTGCTGCATGGTATAGCAGCATTGTGTATGATGTCTGCAATATTGTCATTGATGTGTGTTGTTAGAAGGCAATGTATATGGTTCAGTAGGGGTGTATGGTGTATTGATTTAAGACTAGACTTGCATTTATACATATTTATTTTATAATAGCTTATGTGCATTTAAATGTGTAGAAAAATAAATGTACTCAATTGTGGAAAGTTAATACACCAAGCAGAGCAACTTACTTAGATTGATATATTATTAGAGATGATACAGAACAATATATCTCAGAATAAACAACTTTTAACTTTGTGTTGGAACATTTTCTTTTTGGATCCGAAATACTTCTTTTTGAAGTGATTTTACTGAGTGCGATTAATCATAATGTTTTTTCAACTTATTTAATTCCAATCACTTATGATTCAATTCACCTCCAAGCTCAAATCCCACTTCGTATTTGCTTGTGATCAGCAGTAACCCCTGTTGTATTTCAATATGTATTAATATGTTAAATAAAAGTACGCTCTTCAAAGAAAAAAATCAAAAAATCCAGGTGTTTTTTTTTCAAATTTGGTAATGATATTGTGTTGTAAAAAGGTAAAATTTGTGTTTTGGACTGAACCACAATTCAGTATTTTTGTTCCTTGTTCCGAAGTGAATCAAAACAATTATTCTGTTTATCATTTCTGTGACACTTCTAATAATTACTTATATTTTTGACGATGGTTACTACCTTGCCAGTACAATGATGTCTAATATGAACCTAAAAATTAAAATAACATAATCGTTAAATCAAAATGTCTAAAAGCATTTATCGGCATTGATTGACTGAATCCAAGATATTTTACATTTAAATTTGAGGCAGTAAATGTGATTGGTCAAATCGTATCGTATGACCAGAACACAGTAGAGTAGGTCATTGAACAGAGTGGGTCACATGACTGAGGGCCTATCATTTCATTGGTGAAGTCTTTACTGGAACTATATGGAGGAGGAATGTGGGGTCTATATTGTATAACAAGAAAACAAAAGTATGATTGGTCAAGGTAAGTCATATGACTAAAAGCATGTAATTTCATTGGTCGCTTACCTCAAATATTGTGGGAGGGATGTGAGGTCTCTTGGTGGAGGACCTAAGGGGGACAGATTTTGTGGACCTGGGGTTAGTTTCCTCATAGACTCCTTCTTCCATAGACTTCTTCAACTCTTTAAGTGTGCTCATTCCCTGAAAATAAACACCAGTCTTCACTCCCTTCAAAAAGATGGGCAACCCAGAATATATATTAATTTGAAGTTAATAAGTGAATTTGAAGTTTAAAGAAAGCAAAAGTTACACACAAACCAATTGGATATATGATGGGAAGAAAAACCCCATTAGGGAAAATTATTCAAGTGCGACCTATATATGTCCTGGCTCCAATTTTTTAGCAATGCCATTTAGACTAAGTTTTATCTATCAACGAAAAATTAAATGTGATCGTTTCCAAACCTTTATTTCTAGCAACTTTACTGCATTTGAGCAACTGGCTAGTTTGGCACAAATGCGACCAATACTCAAGTCATCTTTCTTATCTTCTGCCTGAAAAGTGATAATTAGATGACATTAATTTCTAACGTGATCACCTAATTTCTTAATTTCAGGAAAAATGTTGAAGATTTGTTTACAACTTAAAACTCAATTTTATATTTTTGATCTGTAAAAAATACAGCCATGGGATTTTTAGAAGAATTACCCACAATGCAATACTCAAAGAGAAAGCTTTGATATCTCTTTGGCCATATTTACTTTTAATTGATTAAAGTTATTTTATGGTTAAGATATATTCTTAATTTATCATTGTTTGGATTAATACTGTAAAATGATAGATTTATTCAATATTCATCAAAACTTTGGTCAAAGAGTGATGCATGGCTGAACGCCTGCTTTGAAGTATATGATAAGGACACAAAAAACAGGATGATGCCACAAGTGCAACTTTATACAAAGGACATGTGACACAATTCATCCAATCACATTGCAGCATTTTAGTCAGCTGATGTAATCTAGCCAATGATATGACAGTATATATATGATAAGGACACAAAAAATTATGCAAAGCATGCTTGCCATTGCTAAACGTTTCATAGTTGGAATTTGCTCGATAGGAATATACAGGGTGGTCCAAAAAAGTGAACCCCTGCAACTGGCCATATTTCCCTTATTACTTGCAGGAATTATTTTTTATTTTCACATGTTGTAGAGGAAGGTCTAAAATTTATGTTGGTACCATACATTTTTCTTAGTCTTGAAATTTGCAGAAATTATAAGCCCTAGCCAAATATTACTGAAAATGGACAAATTGTGATTTTCAATATCTGCGATTCTTCAACCCTTTAACACCTTTCCCCTGAGAATTTTTTAAGCTGCAGTCTTAAAGAACTAATATTTTCTGACTTTGTTCAATTTTAAATCTTGCACATTATAGCTTAAAACTAGCATCCTACATTTGTTAGTTGCAAAGTTATTATGATCCAAAGAGATGTGCTAAGCTTCCACAGACGAAAACATTTTCCAGTGAAATCATGAATATACCCCTATATGATCTTGAAATGTCAATATCTTCATAAATCATGGACCAATTCTAATGATATATGGTGCAAAACATTGAATATTGGATTTTCTTCTGATTTTTTAAAGATATTTGATGAAGGGATTATCAGATTCCTGGTCACAGGGGGCAACTTCCTTCCATAAGAGGCCCCCCTCTAACTGTTGGTGTAGGTAACATACCCCTGAACTGTTGAACAGTTAAAAATGCTTCAAAATGATCAATGAAAGTGTGAAATGTGTTTTCTGCTTGAATAGTGTCCCTTTTGTCATATGGTAGGGTTTTAAACTTGTATCTCTAACTGAAAGCTGTTTAAGATCATCCAATGTGTTTCAACAATTTCCATGAATCACATTTGTAAAATTTTGTACAATATCTAATTTCCAGGCATGTTTGTTAAACGCTTGTAATTCTTTCAAAATTTAAGACTGAGAATAAATTATGGCATCAACCAAAATTTTAGACCTTTCTCTACAACATGTGATAATATGAGCCAATTCATGCATGTATTAAGAAAATTGTAGCCTGTTGCAAGGGTTCACTTTTTTTTGGACCACCCTGTACATGTATAAAATTTACTTGAGCTATCTAATAACAATTAACTTGCAAAAGTGAATGGAACTTATGCATGCGTCTTTATCTGTGGATTGTATTTTTGAGTTCCTTTTGAGTACATGCCTTTATCATAATCCGTTCCAGATTAACCGGGTTGCTCCAGGAGTTGTCAAACAAGCTCTTCATTACTTCTGTTTTGTACAGGAATGTATCAACCTCACTAAAAACAAATGCACAAAATATGTATATTATAAACACCTCAGGTGCAAATAAATATAATTTATTCACTGAGAGGGATGAAAATATGTGTTTTATCCAGAGAGACAATGTGATATTGACCAAAGGGTAAAATGGTTATATGACATTCACATGTTGATGCGATTAGCAATGTGGTAATGTGTGTTCTCCTAAAAGGTATTGAACACAATCTCCACTCCTGTAGGCTAGGGTCATCATTTGTAGGTTATCATTTTTACTGAACAACTTTTTTATTTAATATTGCAGGCCCGTAGCCGGGGGGGGGCCAAAAATCTTTCAAAATCATGCAGTTTTTCACCATTCTGAGAACTTTTTAAGTGATTTGGCCATTTTTACAAGTGAACCCTCCCTGGAATTTTTCAAAAAGTGATACCCCCTTGGCAAATCCTGGCTACGAGCATGTATTGTGTATTATTGCGAACAAAGACATAGGATGAATTGTGAAGTATCAAATAATTAGATTAATGCAAATTATGTGATGAGGTCTTTATGTAAAAAGTGAAGCAATTTACCGGTTTAACTGTTTTGCTGCTTCTTTCAAAACTTCCCTCAGTTTATCAAGACGTCCTTTATCTAAAGTTGCACTCGTAGCATCATCTTGTACACCTGACTCAATGTACTTTCTCACTACATCTATGAACTCCCCTTCACAACTGAAATACAAAATAGCGTAATATCATTGGCTAGATTACATCAGCTGACTGAAATGGTGCAATGTGATTGGTTGAATTGTGTCACATGTCCTTTGCCTAAAGTTGCACTTGTAGCATCATCTTGTACACCTGATTCAATGTACTTTCTCACTACATCTATGAACTCCCCTTCACAACTGAAATACAAGAATACTGTAATATCATTGGCTAGATTACATCAGCTGACTAAAATGCTGCAGTGTGGGTGGTTGAATTATTTCACATGTCGAATTCATTCCCTAAAATGAGAAAAAGAAAAACAACTGTCGTGTCCATACCATAAGATTAAAAATAAACATGGAAATGTTCTAACAAAAAATTAAAATGTTGGCCATGCCGTGACCAGGATTCGAAACTGGGTTACCACGGCCACAACGTGGGGTCCTAACCACTAGACGATCACGGCTAGGCTAGCAGGCCAACTTGAAATCATCAATGAAATTTTGAACCTATAATTTAACAAAATGCCTTGGGGTAACCATGAAATTAATTACATTTTATAATTACATGTACATGTAATAATTCATACTAATGTACTGAAATCATTTAACTTTAATTATAAACTCCTAAAATAACTTTTTTCAATTTAAGAATATAAAAATGATCATCTTTTAAAATGCACAATTAACACTTGGAAATTAAGCCCTGATATAGAAATTTTAATTTCATTCTATTCTTTTTTTTAATTTGTAGAAATAATTTTACCTAGACATGTCTAGAGTGGCAAAACGCATCAGAAAATGACGACTTATTTCATCCTCAATGCATGTATAAACACTGACAGGACTTGGGGGCACATCATATGTCTGTCCAACTGATGTCGCATTAGGGGGAACATCATAAGTTTGACCATTAGATGGCGCCTCTGGTGATGTAGGAATGGGTAACGGGACATCAGCTTTAATGAATTTTGACGCAGCATGACTGATTTCAGATTTGATCACTTTCGGACTTTCTTCAATATCTTCATCATCTGAGAATGAAATTCAAAAGACAGAAGAATACATGTATGTTGTTGATATACATAATAAGAAAAAATTCTCTTTAAAAAAACGTTGATCTGTTAATGTTACAAGATGAAGTGTGATATAAGGTCCAAGATTTAAAAAATGTGAAGTATATTTTCTAAAATTCACCTTAGTGAATATCCAAATCAGGCCTCTCAAAAATGTTATTTGAACAAAAGTAAGTTCTTGCACAAGCAAAAACAAAAAATGGCCCACATAAATTCAAATAAGAGCAACAAAATAATTCCCTCTCTTTTGCGTCCAAACTGCAAACTTTATGTACACTAATTTTGACATAAGAAATACCCCAAAACTAATCAATATTTTCAAGACTTTATCTTTGATACAAATGAATTTTCAGTTGAAAGCAGTGCCCAGTTTATTGATAACATCTATGGAGGGCTCTGTCTGTACCTGAGTCATCGTCCTGCTCTCCTTCAAATTCTACAGGATCTGTGAGTGCACACACAAGCCCATTGTTTTCTCCCCGGCCTATATACTCATGTATCAACTGTTCTAATGAAACAAACCGCCTCTTTGTAACTCCTTCCTCAGCCTAGTTGACATGTGAAATAATGCAATGAATAAGACATAAGAGAGGTAAGAAATGTGATTCTGTTGAAATACAATTATAGCAAAATGACAAATGACAAAATGACAAAATGATCACAGTTTATTGACTTCATTGAAATAATTGAAACAATCCATTGAAACAAATCATTTAAAACCCACTGAAAAAAATCATTGAATGTTTTATTTCATTGGTTTCACTGAACCAATTCATTAAATTCATTGAAACAATTCATTGAATCTTAACTAAAACAGTTTTTATTGAAACAATTCATTGAATCTACTAAAAGGGTTTTCATTGAAACCATTCATTTATTTCATTTAATCCATTGAAAGAATTCATTGAAACAAAATAAGTTTCTTGTCACTCAAGTTGGGATTTTAAACTCCACTTTGAGTTTAGTAACATTTAATGAAATTTTGCAATAAATAGGTTTCCTGTCACTTAGTAAAAGATCCTATCAAATTTAAGACCAGCCAAATGACTTCAGCATAACCTACCTGTATTGCAAGTCTACCTTCATCATTAGGCAGAATTCTGTATTGATGGATCTTGTTTTGGTATCTGAAAACATCAATTTAACAATCCAATGCCAGTTGGTAGTGTTGGGTATGACACCACATCAGCATGATAAAGAATCTGAAGAATTTGTTTGACAGGTTAATGAAATTAAATCCTGCGATAAGGGCTGATGTGAAAAAGTCAGTCCTGACCCTAGTGGGGATGGAACCCACGACCCCTCGCTTTCTGGACAATTGCTCTCCCATGGATGTTCAATATATCTAGAGATTAACTGGCCATACTTCATTTTCTGCTGACTAAAAAAACTATAACATTCCAATGTGAGGATTGAACCCATGACCTCTCGCTTTCTGGACAATTGCTCTCCCTCTTTTGATTGCTTTGCAATAATTTTTGATATAAGCATTGATACCCCCAATTACTAAGGAGCTCTAAGGGTGTCGAGTGCACATGCTTTGTACATTCCATTGTTATATTATCATGAAATAAATAATACATAAAAAATCTAGAGATTAACTAGCCATGCAAACATTTTCTAACTAAAAAACTGTAACATTCTAATCTTGTAAAATACATGTACATGACATGAAATGTGAAATATGCTGTATGTTGAAAATATGTGATTTGGCTGTGTCATAGCACTTTATTTTGCTGCTCTTGTAATGCACATTATTCATTTGAAAGAACTATTAACATTTCTTGAAATAATCTACGAAATATTATACCACATACTAATCTATTAATTCTTCAAATTTATCTGAAATTTCTGTTTATCATAGTCTCTAACTGTTAAAGTTTCCTTCTTAGAGTTAAAATATGGTACAGTGAAACCTGTAAAGTGGAACACATCTACAAGTGGAACACCTTTGTTAGTGGAACACTTTTCAGAGTCCCAAGACCAACTGTCTTAATATTAAATTAGCCTCTATGATAAGTGGAACACCTCTGTAAGTGGAACACTTTTCAGAGTCCCAAGACCAACTGGCTTAATATTAAATTAACCTCTATGATAGGTGGAACACCTCTGTAAGTGGAACACTTTTCAGAGTCCCAAGACCAACTGGCTTAATATTAAATTAACCTCTATGATAAGTGGAACACCTCTGTAAGTGGAACACTGAAAACTTTCAGAGTCCCAAGACCAACTGTCTTAATATTAAATCAACCTCTATGATAACTGGAACACCTCTGTAAGTGGAACACTTTTCAGAGTCCCAAGATCAACTGGCTTAATATTAAATTAACCTCTATGATAAGTGGAAGCACCTCTGTAAGTGGAACACTTTTCAGAGTCCCAAGACCAACTGGCTTAATATTAAATTAACTTCTATAATAAGTGGAAAACCTCTGTTAGTGGAACACTTTTCAGGTCCAAACACCAACTGGCTTAATATTAAATTAACCTCTATGATAAGTGGAACACCTCTGTAAGTGGAACACTTTTCAGAGTCCCAAGACCAACTGTCTTAATATTAAATTAACCTCTATGATAAGTGGAACACCTCTGTAAGTGGAACACTTTTCAGAGTCCCAAGACCAACTGTCTTAATATTAAATTAGCCTCTATGATAAGTGGAACACCTCTGTAAGTGGAACACTTTTCAGAGTCCCAAGACCAACTGGCTTAATATTAAATTAACCTCTATGATAGGTGGAACACCTCTGTTAGTGGAACACTTTTCAGAGTCCCAAGACCAACTGGCTTAATATTAAATTAACCTCTATGATAAGTGGAACACCTCTGTAAGTGGAACACTGAAAACTTTCAGAGTCCCAAGACCAACTGTCTTAATATTAAATCAACCTCTATGATAACTGGAACACCTCTGTAAGTGAAACACTTTTCAGAGTCCCAAGATCAACTGGCTTAATATTAAATTAACCTCTATGATAAGTGGAAGCACCTCTGTAAGTGGAACACTTTTCAGAGTCCCAAGACCAACTGGCTTAATATTAAATTAACTTCTATAATAAGTGGAACACCTCTGTTAGTGGAACACTTTTCAGGTCCAAACACCAACTGGCTTAATATTAAATTAACCTCTATGATAAGTGGAACACCTCTGTAAGTGGAACACTTTTCAGAGTCCCAAGACCAACTGTCTTAATATTAAATTAACCTCTATGATAAGTGGAACACCTCTGTAAGTGGAACACTTTTCAGAGTCCCAAGACCAACTGGATTAATATTAAATTAACCTCTATAATAAGTGGAACACCTCCCAACTGGAACACTTTTTAATGCCAAATGTGTTCCACTAATGCAGGTTTCACTGTAAATAAATTAGTGTTTTACTATTAAATTACTGTAAATTGTTTAGGCTGGAACGAATAAACATTTATTGAAAGCATTTCCTTACGGATCTAATCTAAAAACATATTTCATCTATAATCTTTATTAAAAATTAACTGTAAACTTAAAAAGTATATTTAATCAACTTTGATATACGATACATTTCATAAATACGGTGTTACCAAAGAATTATAAGGGCTATAGCCTAAAAAGCCTTATCGTTTGAAAATAATATTGCTAAATTGAATTTTTCTAAAATAAACAATGCCGTGATAACATAAGGAAATGATATTTTTCAAAGTAATTCTAAGATTTGAAATTTTGATTGAATTCTCGAAACATCATATCAGTAGCAAATACAGATCAACCAGTACAGTACACAAATTACATTCATTAAATCAACTATGAGATATTTCTATGAAATCTACAAGTGCACAAATTATTAATATATCAAGCATAGTCCAATGTTTATAGTTAGCACATTTGAAACCTACAGTTGCAACATCACCAATGTTAACACTTTTTACTCTTGGAAATAGACTTCGACAAACTGCGTTTATTACCAAGGACGTCTATTTTATCTTGTTCCAACACCATCCTCTTCGTAGAGATAGTTTTGGAACGAGATAACGTAGACATTAACATATCAGGGGTGCCGCAAGTTGAAATTAAATTAATTTGTGTTGACCCATTGTCATGAATTGTACTGAAATCTGCTCTCACACCACAATCTTCTATTGCCTTATGATAGAAAGAATGAGGAAGATAACTTTATGCAATATGATACCAACTTTTTCAATACCAAGTACAAATCTTTATCTTTATCAAATTTTAAGACGTTAAGTTTTGAAACACCTGTCAATGTTATTTTCTGGTACAAAATAAAGTATGAAGACATTGGTGTACTTCTTTTGTTCTGGAAAGCATCTTTGTTTCATCTTAAGCTTGTGTAAGTGAATTTGAAAACAATCGTAAGGCAATGTATTCAATGTTGTTGAGAAACTTAGAAAAAATTTGGAAAATTTAAAATGCAGGCATTTTGAAAGTTTTTTTTCTTGAAACATTAGCATTTTCTGCAGTAAGACTTTCTGGAGTTGCCACTGACCTATTATTAACTTTAAGACTTTAACACTATGTCAACACTTCTGGTGGTGACAAAAAAACAGGGAATACTGTACATGCCTTCATACTTTATAACATGTGCAGGTATAGCAATTTTTCAAATGTTTTCATAAACTGCCTTAAAAAGTCTTAAACTGTAATGTCTATTATATCTAGGATTTTGTCAGGCATGAATATTCTGAGCTGCAAAATGTAACCTCACAAGCATTCTTCCAAGCGAGAATACAGTTTTAACAAAAATGTATTTTTCCTAACCGACAGTAAATTAATCTAGCATGAGAATGACCAGACATAAGGTATTTTTTCTGGTACACCACTTCCTTGTTTTTGTATACCAATGTGAGTCTTTGAAACATAAATCCATATATAAAATTTGACATATAACTTGTGATATATACTTCTAATTCTTTACAAATCCTACACAACAACACACTTAACACAGGTTCTAATACTTGTTACTTAGTAACACACTTAAACACAGGTTCCAATCTTGTTACTTAGTTACCATCTTTAACTAACAGGTGGCTAAAACATGGCAGAGTTTCAAAGCCAGTTTAAAAATTTGTTGATACACCAAATCCTGGTTTTTCACTGCGATCTTTTTCTTTTTCTGAAATTCATTTTTATTTAATTTCAATTTGATGTGAACATATCGTAGACTGATGAACGACAGTGAAAATCTTTGAAAATGTCAACGATTTTAAATCACATACCACATACCACTAAGTTTAGTTTAGGGATAGAGAACATGGGCAATGAACGAAAAGACAAAATTGTTTTTGAGAGTCTGAACCATGATTAATTCAATGAAAAATTCAGTTACGATCTTATGACTACATAACAAGCCATACATTAACAAGCCATATTATAATCTTACTGTAAATCATGTAAATAGCATGTAGTTACAGTAGTTACGCATATTTACTGAAAGGTGTCTATCATTCACTTCAGATAATATGGCAGTGTTTCAAAATATGTGAGAAAATGTGTCCATTTTACCAAAATACTCATCATCCAGGTCTTTATGACAATAATATTTTCTGAATTTTACCTTTTTTCAATGGGGTGTTACTTTATAACAAAATAGACTGATGAAGGACAGTTTAGTTTAGGGAAAAAGGAAATAGAAAAGAATTTACAAAAATGATTTCGCCCACATGTATCTGATAAATATTTAAGATAAATAATCAATGATGTCCCATTATTATTACTTGACACAAACTTTTGTGTATATTATTGTCAATATGTTGAACTTAAATCAACAAAACAACCTGTCGAGTCCCTGCACATGCCTTTAACCAGACAAACAATCAGGTTCATGATAAACAAATTTATAACAAACAATCAGATTTACATGAATTTTCTGGTATTCAAATTTCAGATTTAATTAGTTTCTGTGAAAGTAGTTCGAAACATGTCAGTACAACCACAAAATTAGCACCACGGTGTATAACCCAAACGCTCCTACATGCACGACGGAGCGTTTCATTTACGCGAAAACGCTCCGGAGCGAAATAAAATGGCGGCTAATGAAGATTCCACTATGACCGTAAGTATTGTTTCTCTCGTTTCTCTTACATATCATATGTTATGGTGAAATATTATGTACCATTCGATGAACAATACCGTGAGCAAAGATCTTATTTATTCAACTTCTGGTGGTAAACTGTTATTTGCTTGATCAAAGCTCCGTAGTGTAGATCGAACGAATCTGAAGATGACGATTTGACCACAAATTACGACTTAAACTAGTATTTCTATGAAAACGTTAATCTTTCTGTTAAAGTAGTAGATCACAAACTCGTATATTCTCATTTCCTAAAATCCCAGTCCAAATCCATTACTTGTTCTCGAAAAATCGCTTGTTTTCCTCAAAACGCTCCGTCGATTTAGAACACAATTTTAGAAACGCTCTTACCATTTTGTTTTGATATCATTTTCAGATTATTAGAGAAGAGTTCCGAATTGAATCTATCTCTCAAAAACGTGTTGTACTTGTTAGGCAAATTGAAACATCTGAACCTGGTGGTGCTATACGTGCAACTAGCTGATTTAAGCCTACATTAGATGATGTCATGCCTACATGTGTGCTAAATCATAAAACTATAGAAAAAAACTAAAATTTATATGTGAATTAATCTTTCTTCTTTTGATGCCAAGGGGTATAATAGATCTTTTCTTTCTCTTCCTGAAAAGGAAAGGCAAGCTATATATTTCCTAAACTGATCTAGACTACCGGAGCGTTTCCAGTTCACTGTGTTAACCAGATCGGAGCGTTTCTTGAATATGAGAATGTCATCATTTTTCAGGCTGGATTTTCGGTCATCAAATCACTATTACGATGATGTATGGTGCGTTGAAGCATTGGAATTTGACTAAAATATACGTTGGTTCTCTAATCTTGGCTCAACTAATCACATGTATCGACAAAAGGGGTTTTGACCGGTAGAATGACAAATACGTTTTTGAATTTTGATAACTATACTGCTCCGTACAGCTCTTCCTAATTGCTTCAAACGTCAACAGCCAGCCAAGTACAACATGAATATCACACCCATCGAATGGTATACTCGAAATATGGAACTCATACCTCTTATTCCCATTATTGGGGAAATCGTCAGACGGCTCATCATTCCCGCCAGTCAGTTTTCCTACTCCGGAGCGTTTCTTTGTTTAATTTCAGTAATGAAACGCTCCGTCGTGCATGTAGGAGCGTTTGGCTTATACACCGTGAGCACTGTAAGCAGGGGATTTGTGACTTCTTCATTGGTATTGTTCATTGATGAATATGCGGTAAAATTCAATGCAGAAAAGTCTAGGGGGAAGTCTTGATTGTGCACTCCCATGGAATTTAAGGCCTCTCAAACATGAAAGGTCAAATTATTTCAACTTAAAGGATAAGTTGAAAGAAAATCATATAGTTCTGAGAAAGTTTAAAAATAGGTAATATTCAACTTACTTAAACCCATCCCTTAATTCCTGTGTTATCATGTCAGACATTTTTTCTAATTTTAGTTCTACTTTATGTTGAAAATATAGCCCTAACATCATGACCTTTATGTTAACAAAAAGGTGTTACTTTATTGCACTACGTCAAATGTTGTCCTTTGTGCTATTCCTAATCATTGCAAAAATTAGATACTACATTGAGAAAATACCTCTTACGTTGTTTGGTTTCATGAAATAAACTAAGTGGGCTTCAAACATACGAAAGGCAAGTTCTGAACTGAGAACATATCAGCATGAAAATTGGTACCACTTAAAGTGTGAATATCGATTGCCGAGTCGTATCCAATGATCCTGGGCCTATCGTAAAATGAAAGCTTTGAATATGTTGTTGCCTTTAAAAATGTATCTATTTTCCATGTATGCAACTAGAATTTGTGCACATACCTTATAACGATCGATAAAGGAAAATCCTCTAATTCTGCGTCATATTTTCTCCTACGACATCTGCCATTTTTTATTAAACAGGAGTCCGTTTTTGTACCGTTCGTAGTAACGAACGTTCGCAATTGGTAAATTCGTAAATATTTAAAAAGTTACGAATGAGTTACGAATTCGTAAAGTTGCGAATAGATCATTTTTGTACGCTTTCGTAAGTCATTCGTAACTTTCCAATTGTTTAGAGTAAGATTTACGAATTGGTTGACGTCATATTCCACAGTTGTCAGGACAGATAGTACAACAAACAGGGTTGATCAAAATAATAAAACCAAAGTCATACAATAAGAACTTTATAAAAATAAACATTCCATGAAAAGTACTAAAATAGATATAGAAATAGGTTGATAATACGTTGATAACGTTGATAACGGTGTTGCCCTTTTGTGTTCTCTGATTTAGAATGACAAAACGTCACAAATCACAATATAAATGAATAAATAAGAGGCCGTTCGCAAAGTTACGAAAGGGTCAGAGGTGGTATTAAATCTACGAACGAAAACAGGCATGACGTCACTATTTTCGTAAATTTACGAATCGTTCGTAACTTTACGAATCTTACGAAAATGCAACTTTGCGAAATTTGCAATGGACTTACGAACGTTCGTTACTACGAACGGTACAAAAACGGGGTCCTGGAAGTTTGTTCTCTGACGTCCGCGCAATGTTTTTTCACTTTTATTTCAGATTACGCTTCGGATTCAACTTTTAATGCTTTCTAATAATCGTTAAGTGTTTTCTATAAGAAAGATTTCATAAAAAGACTCACACTATTAGAGATTTTATCGATTCGAGCAGCCAGAAAAATTAGTTTCAATTTCGCCCGCTAGGTGTTTCGACGACAACTTGGAAAGAATATTAAAAATCTATGAGTGGGACTCCTTGTATGGAATTGTAGATTCTAAACGATTTGCCAGTTCTACTGGTTGATGAATATTGCCATATGCATACATTTTTATAAAATAGGAATAAGAAAGAAGATGTTGGACCAAACTTCACCCCAAGTCAACTCAACCCTGTAAAACTCAACTGACGCCATCCACAAAAGTTGGAGACTATATAGTCAACATAGCAAATTGATTTTTTCAATGCAAATAACTTAAAATAAGTTTAAAATACTCACAATAAACAAAGTGTGAATGCCCCTGGAATGCTCTCGCTTTCTCGCACTAAAAAACTTCCGTCTTTTTTGGTTGCTAGAAGTAAATCCTCAGTTTGAAGGCGACTTAGTCCTTTGAAAAGATACACCATTATGTATAGCAAGTTTATGTTCCTTTAAAGTTGATGTTGAAACATTAAGACATAGATTAGATGTAAGTCCAACTTGGTAAGTTGATATTAGTACTTCAAGTTGATGTCAGTCCGTAAGTTGATGTCAATACATTAGGTAAAAGTTGATGTCAATGTATTAACTTGAAATTAAGTTGATGTCAATGTTATATTTGATGTCAAATGCATTAAGATAACCTCAATGTATATCCATGTCCAAGATTAGTTACCACTAGCGGACTTCCTAAAGTTCTAGATTTAAAATTAAGTTCCTTATATGTTTGTATCCTTGTCTGATAGTTCAGGGTGATTATTACAAGGCACTCTAATAAGACTATAACAGTTCCTGTTTTTCCTTGTATTTTAAACTGGATCCTTGTAAAAGGAAGACTATTCTCTTTGATTCAAATGGTTCTCCTGTATTTCCATCCTTTATTCAATTGTCAGTTAAGTGGTTGCTCAAAATCCATTGTTACCTATACATGATTCACTCCAGATAGCTACATGTAGGTGCATGTTAATGAACCTGAAAATAAACAGAAATTGTCAAACTCTAAATCATGATATCAACAATAAAGGTAGCTCAGCTCAATAACAAGACATTATGATTAACATGCAAAATGTCAGCACCTGCCATTTGTTACAGAACAAAAAGAGTTATGTCACATTAAGTTTTACCTGTCAATATCTATCAATCTTATTCAAATTTAATTGGACATATTGATAAATTGTTTTTAATGTTTAACTTTATTAATGAAGGCCATGTCACCTTGGGGATTTCTGATTAGGCATGATAAGCATAATGTTTCAATAAATTCAAAGCATACAAGGCGACAACAAATATTTCTATGCAATATTTTTCAGTTGAAGCAAATGTCAATTAAAATATAGTTCAGCGTTATAAAGATTTAAGTTTCAGCATATACTGTAGTACAAACCTGCTTGAAAATATGCTTCCTTTAACCTACTTTGCAAAGGTTGTTTATAAACTTCTAACAAATTAAACACAAGATAACTCAAGTGTTCTTCAGTTTATGTTGCCCTGGAACAGATCCATTTGAAAAACTGTTATACTGAGAAATTTGATCGTGACTTGATATTACGCACTTTGAACTGTGAAAAAAGCAATTGACATATAACCATAAAAAGAATATACATCTGTTTTTGTCCCTCTACTTCCTGGTTCAAATGTACTACAGATTGAATAGGAAATTGTGGTTTGCAAACTCCACTAATGGGGTCAAGATTAGATGACTTAATGGGAAACTAAGGTACCTACAAAAAACTTAAATATCATCCCTATATCATTTTACGATGATAATGCATTGAAAAACACCTAGAATATTCAATAAAAAGGAAATGTTTACCGTGTTTTGAATTTGGCAGCTTTATCTTTTTTTACTTCCGGATCCACAACTCTATTTCGGATATATTTTCGTATCTCTATTGCTGACATATCTAATTTTTTCATCAATAAAAAGTTACAATTTTCATCGAGCACACATATTCAATATAGAATGATAAATATACATTAGTTGTAATTAATATGACAGTAACTTTTTCAATAATTAGTTCAATCAATAAAATCCTAATAATACGTTTGAACTCTGACAGAAAAACGCTAGCTTTGCATAATAATCCAAAATGGCAGAAAAAATTACGGAAAATCTCAAGAAGGATATTTTATCGCAGTTACGCCACAGAAACCAGCACCAGCGTGAAAGTTATGCCCCTCTAATACAAGCCCGTGAGTCATTTTAGTGAATTGTCTCGTTTTGATTTAACATGAATAAATATTCTCTACAAAAATTGACATTTTCCCGCAAAAGTCAAATAAAATCTAGGACATGATTTTCAGAATGTTTTTGTTTTGACATTTCTGAGTCATATCATGTCATGTATATGACTGTGAATCAAGTCATGTTTTATAAATGACAGCTTTTCCATGGAGACTTCTAATTGTGAGCGTCTCTTCAATCTCAGTGAACCTTTTCTCATCAAACCTTTTACATGCCTATATGTCCCCTCCCTAAAAGACACTTGACTATGGATTGATGACAATTTGTTCTGCAATGGCAGCATTTCAGTGTAATCCTGGTCCACCAGTAACTATGTTTAGATGACAGGGTGATATTTTCATTCATGTAAATTATCTGTCACTTCTGTATGCCATTTGTCTGACACTTACATATAAATGTGTCTATGTGTAAATGTATGTGAATAACATTGCCTCTGTCGTTTTCTGGTCCCATATACATTTCACATTAGTGACTTGAGCCATACACTTCTTAAATTATAGGTAGCCTCGCCTAGGACAAATGCAAAAGTTCAATGTAGGAAAGATAACCATATATTAAATGTACTTATTTCCAGATACTCCCCTCCCCCTGTCTCATTTTCAAAAGCATGATATGACATTGCCTCCCTGTCTTCTAGCTCCATTTAGAAACATCTTGATCTATTATTTTAGATGACTAAATCAGAGCATCTTGCTGTCACATGACAGAGAGATATGACACTAATCCAAGATTCTTTTATTTCAGACAATAAGTTGTTTGATAACTCTGAGTCACTCAAGAATAAAAATGTGGCATTGACTGTGGAAACAGAAAAACTGAAACGAGAAAATTTAGAACTTCAGCTCAAAGCTGATAAGGGGTAAGTCAAGCATCAATTAACATGTCCATCCATCCAGGCAGTATTGACTCAAATACCGTTGGCCCAATAATGTTTATATTTTATTAGTCATATAAATCCGACCGTTGTATGCTGTTCTTCGATATTCCTTGTTCTTATTTGGATATTTATTTTTTATCATTTTCTTTGCATACACGGTCGTAGATATTATATGGAACAAATTGCGGTAAACGCTTTTCTGGCCTGTCTTGGTAAATATAGTTACCATACTAACCAAAGTCACACAAATTATCACGTAATTATTTAGCTCCAACATCAAAGTGTTAAATCTTACCTTAGACATGTAAAACGCTTGATAATTGACGAAATATAATCAATTGAATTATATTTTCATTATCGCCCGCCATGTTGCTGAATGTTGTTTCCGGTAGTCTAAATGTATAACATGTATCGAAACGGAATCATAATTATTTATTACACAGAGATCGATTCCAAAGCCGTTCTCTGCCACTTATTACTTTTCTCATTTTGAAACAATAACTTTTCCAAATAACTTCCCTTCTCAACGACACTGCTTCCCTTTCAACTGAATATTTGTGTAACAAAAACTTATGATTTCGTTTGATATAGTTTACATCTAGACTATCAGATTAACCCGGAAGTGACCTTGGTAGGCAAAATGAGAAAATTTTAAAATTTAGCAGCGTGCTTATATTTCTTCAATTACCAAGCGTTTTACGTGCCTAAGGTAAGATTAAATACTTTATAGTTGAAGCAAAGAAATTAATTTATCATTTGTGTGAATTTGGTTGGGTAGACATGGCAGGAAAGCAATTCCCGCAATATACAAGCGCTAGTGTTTATGACCCTCGTATGCAAGAAAATAAGAAAAATAAATATCCAAATCAGAAAAAAATAACAACAAATAACGTCATACGAGGGTCAGATTTATATGACTAATATTTTATATACATACATGTATGCCCCATGGAGTAAAAGTTCTGTTCAAAAGGTGATTTTCAAAATGACCACCAGTTTCAAAATAGCCACTATTTTAGTGTCAGCGTTTTAGGCATATACAAGACTGTTATATACTTTGCCCTCTACTACTCAAACATTAGATTCACAGATGTTGAAAATAGTGAGCTCTGAGATATTATGTTTGGTCATTCTGAAACTTTTTTGAAGAACATGTGAATATATATTATAATTACAGTAAGTCAATCAATTGCTTTATTAAAACAAATTGAACCACAGAGGACAGTTTGATATTTTAATCTGTAAAATATTTCTTCTATATTCAGAGGGGGAGGTGTAGCATCTAGTGAGACGGTGCAGGCTCTGGAGAAACAATTGTATGAACTTCAAAAAGAACTGACAGATCTACATAGGAAGAAGGGAGAGGTAAGTACAGAAAAACCTGTGAAAGTGGAACACCTTTGGTACCTCTTAAAAGTGTTCAACTTGGAGGTGTTCTACTTACAGAGGTTCATTTAACAATAAGTCAAGAGGTTGCAGAATTTTAAAGTGTTCAACTCATGGAGGTGTTCCATTTGCAGAGGTGTTCCACTTTACATGTTTTACTGTACAATGATCTCCTTGAGCTGCACCCACTTGAAATGAAATATTCAAAATCTGAACTAAAAATTGATTTTCTGAATCTATGTGTGTCTGTTTGTATTAAATGTCTTAACTTCAAAATCATCGACTTACTCTCTTAAGATTGAGTTGCAGCCATTTGAAATAAGATGTAAAATATGAAATAAAAATATTTCTGATCATATTTGAAAAAAATGAAATAAGAAAATTAAAAAAGTTTCTGAATCTATTAGTGTTTGTCTGTATTTAATGCTTTACGTATATTCGAATTTTTCCAGAATGCCCAACAAATTATAGACCTTAACCATGTACTACAAGAAAAAGAAAAGGAGTTGAACAACATTGAACAAAAGTAAGTGTTGAATCACAGTAACAGATAGCTTGATTCTTTCTGAGATTTTTCCAAACAAGATTTAAAAGTTCTGTTAAGTTCTGAACAGATCATTATAAATTTCAATATATCTTGAATGGAGAAAGCACTGTATCTTTAGAGTTCTTAATATTTAAGTCAGATTAAGGATTACCAAAAGAACTTGATTGGTTAACACTGCAACAAAACCCCTGTAAATTGTATTTAATAGAATAATAGAGTTGACTCTCTATGAAGTCATAATAAATAGCAGCTCCCATGAATTTATGATTCTTAAAATGATCATTGAGGCCATGGATATCATGGAATCATGGTTGAATTTGGATAACAATGTAAAAGACTTAACTTTATGAAATGTTCTAGTAATAATTGCCTGCTGTAATGTCATTGTTTGTTTTTAGATTATATGAGTCAGAAAACAAAGGTTTAGCATTAAGAAGTGCAGTAACAGATCTAGAAGCCACCATTATGGAACTAGAAGCTACAAACCAGGTATTGGAAATTTATCCTGAATCCGCTAATCCGTCAAATTAAAACGAATGTCAATTTTAGTGTATCTACAGTATTTGTATTTATGTGTATAATCATCATCAGAACTTAAGTCAATTTTTCATCAGAAGAAGGCTTTAATTTTGAATGTGAAATTCAAATTGATTTCAGAGAAACTAATATGGTAGTTTTCACCAAACTTATACCCATTTTGACAAACATTATGCCAGTTTCTCAAAAGTATTTTTCAAGAAAAAATAATGTATGTATTCTTGTTACACATTGATCCTTAGAATCGCATTTGGCTACAGGCATGATCATGATCCTATTTCAGATGAGGAACGAACAGAAGGCTCTACAGTTAGCGTTCACTGTTGAATATGATTATGCTGATCATGTTGTTTCTCAAATCTAGATTGTCAGGGGTTTTGTTACACATGCTTTCTCTCTATAATTTGAATAAAGTGTCTGGTTTTCTGGTATTTCTATACAATTTAGAATATCTACTTGATGCCTCTTTACTTTATTCCTTGCAAATTTCTTTCTTTTCCACTCTATTTTGTATTTTAAACGTGACCGTTCTCACATTTTGCAGATGCTTAAAGATGAACAACAGGCCCTACAGTTAGCATTTTCAGCATTAGAGGAGAGATATCGCAAATGTCAAGAGGACAATAATGACCTTGTGTCTCGCTGGATGGCGCTCAAATCTGTCGAGGCTGATAAATTTAACGCAGAAAACCATAAAAAATTTGAAATGCAGCAGAAACGAATAAAAGATGAACTAACAAAAGCATCTGAAGAATTTGTTGTTTTAAAAAAGGAGACAGACCAAGGGTTAGAAAATATCATTTCGAATGAATTTTATTATCCTCTCCTAACCTTGTCTATTTCTCCCTAAAAAGATGAGTCTGGGTATATGCCCTTTTGGTCCCTCAGTTAAATGTATGTGAAATATGATTTTTATAACTGTCCTACATGTAGTTATATTTGTTAAGTATATTTACTTTTTCATGAGTTTTGATGCACAATTAACCCCCTGTTGAGAGTCAAAATAAGTATCCTAACAGAAAACAAATGATCATTATCATAGAAAAATACACCAATTGCAACATGTATGACATGTAAAATAGAAATAACTTAAAAGACCCATGAAGAATTTTTAAAAAAAAATCATATTTTTAGATACATTTTAGGATTTGATTTTTTTCGAATTTTTGAATTTCCCGCCAGTTTAATTTGAAGTGGGAAAAGCAAGATGGCTGCCATTTGGTATAAGAAATATCAGAAAAAAGTAGCTTCACTTTTAGTTTTCACAATGAGCACAGTTTTCCAGTTTGGGTTTTTTGACTGATTCTGACTCTTCACCACCAGGGTCATGTATAGAGATTATAAAATTGAAACCAAAATGTTGTGCTCAGCATGAATTTGACTGAAATATGTATAATTTCACCAACACAATTGAAGTGTCAAAACTGGATGCTCAGTAACTTTGAGTGACTATAATCCCTTGACTACTCAGATAAACACCAATTCACTTATCAAGAAATACCATTCAATGTCTATACAAAGAAAGTAAGCAATGTTTTGGAGGATATGTTTCACACTTTTTTCGATATCCAGACTCATTCCCAGACTCATCCTTTGAAAGGAGTTTCTAATATTTTGCTTTTACTGTACATGATCATTAAGAATTTGTCAATCTAATGTTCTATATGGCACTCCCGTAATAATAGATATTATGATTTCTTAACCTGCCATTGCGATATATTTTCAAAACGTACATTTTCTTTTCCAGTCCTCTGTCGCCACCTATATGCTATGCAGTATCCATTCCAACAAAAGCCGTATATAAATTTGTAAGTATCTAGTCTAAAGCAAGCTATTCTTTGCGCAAGATTGACATATTGATGGAAGGTCAGAAATATATTTTCTGATTTCATTTTAATGAAATAAAGAAAATTGTTCAAATGGAAGACAATTAGTTACGAGTAGCCTTTCTCCAAGTTGCCAAATGTGAACAAGCATACACTCTTAATTTAGAGATATATGACTGTGGTTTTAACAAAACTAGATAATATTTTCGGATAAGGAATTTTTCTTTTTGGGTAAGACAAAATATATTGTTGCTTAAAACATCTGGTTGTTATTGTTACTATGGTGTTATGGTATTGTTTGTAACTATGGTTATCACAATGTTTTTTATCAGGATGCCCATGACGGGGAAGTGAATGCAATAAAATGGAGTCCGTCTGGTAGGAAGTTCGCAACTGGTGGAGCCGATAGAAAAGTAAAAATATGGGAAGTTGTTGGAGGTAAGTAATAAAATGACATTTTCTCGATGAAAAAGTAACACACATTTTTATATTAATCACACATCCTAATTTTTCTGCATGAGAAAATGCAAATTCTGTATGAAAAAGTTGAATACTCGTGCAAAATTCTGCATAAAATTCCAAATTTCGTGATAAATTCTGCAAGCAGCGGCTTCATCTGTACTATCATGAAATTGCAGAGAATTTAAGTTTCGTGACATTTAAGATGTTGAAAACCAAAATTCGGCAGTTTTTCTGCGGTGACTCGGAATCATGGAATTCTAGTATCTGTGATTAATCTTTTAATTAATGTTAAATAATTTATTACAATCCTTTCTTCTTTAACAAGGAATTTATATACTACACTGAATGTATGATAGCAATATAAATCAAAAAAAGTACATGTAAAAAATGTAAATTCTATTAGTAAATAATTTTGCTTATAAATACCAAATCTTGCTTGCCATTCTTTTTTGTGATTTTAAACCTGATCACCATGACTCCATGTATATTTATTTTTCTAGGTAAATGTGAGTCAAGGGGATTCCTATCTGGAAGTAATGCAGCTATAATGTCAGTGGATTTTGACTACAATGTAAGTAAAGTCACAAGACACTGATACTAATGCCTGGGTCACATTTGCTCCGATCCATCAGCCAGCGCCCACCCGATTGAGTGTTTTGTCTAATATTGTATTCAATTTTGAACAAAATACTCAATCGGCCAGGCGCCGTAGTGAAAATCGGAGCAAATGTGACCAAGGCATTAGTGAAATGCTGAAATGATGTAGATGTGGGTTTGGTTTAGGTTGGGTTAGTATGAGCTGAGTATGATATGTTGAACCACAATGGGGAGGCAGGACAAAGTTTTAAATGTTTTTGTTTGCCACACGTGTTACATGTGTTAATGAATTTCTTGCATTTTGATTTTTTAATGAATATCAGGCAATGCAGAAATAACACAATAATCAAAAAGATGCAATAAAGAAAAAGTAACATTCATCAGAAACTGATACAATCATCAAAAAATGAAACAATAATAAAAAACTGATACAATAATCAAAAAATGATACAATAATCAAAAAATGATACAATAATCAAAAACTGATGCAATAATCAAAAACTGATACAATAATCAAAAAATGATACAATAATCAAAAAATGATACATACATGTGCTTTTCCAGGACCAGCTTATTCTTGGTGCTTCAAATGACTTTGCTAGTAGAGTCTGGACACTGTCTGATCAAAGGTTAAGGGTGAGTAATTATGTCACCACCACAAGCTATGACATATTGTTATAGTCTACAAATTTCTTTAATGGACAGTGTTTGGCAGGCAGTGTTTGGTGGATGGTGTTTGGCAGGTGGTGTTTGATTGTGAGCGTTCAGAGTTTGGTTTCTCTCTGCAGCAAATGGCAAGTAGTGACATATTGCATGTTAATTATTACTATTATAAACAGTTCATTAATTTTTTTCTTATGAAATTATACTGAGGGTGATAAGACATAAGGACTGTAAATTAAACGCACTTGGAAATTAGTCTGAAGCAGTGAAAAATTTAATAGAAATACTCATGAAAACTGTACTTCAATGCAAAAACCCATGTCGAATTTGAGTTCATTTGATTCACCCTGGGGATTCTTAATTGAATTCTGTGTAATTCCAGCACACCCTGACTGGCCACAGTGGCAAGGTGCTGTCTGCAAAATTTCTAGGAGATTCTTCAAAGGTTGTTACTGGGAGTCATGATAGGACACTAAAAATATGGGATTTAAGGTCAAAGGCATGTAAGTCTCACATTGAGTGGAGTATCGAGTATTGAAATATTCAAGTACAATATTTGCATCCAGAGTCTTTGCTTTCTTTTATTTAATTGGTTTTATTGTCACCACTAATACAAGAAGTGGTGATATATAGATTTAAAGTGGTGACATATTGATATAAAGTAGTGACATAATGATATTGGATATACATGTTACATAATGTACGGTAATGCAAGTACTGTATATGTCTAATGCAAGTATCTGTATATACAGTGCATATTCTTTTCAGGTGTAAAGACAATATTTGCCGGGTCGAGCTGCAATGACTTAGTCACATCTGATGGACTAGCTACAAATATAATTAGTGGACATTTTGATAAAAGAATAAGATTCTGGGATACCAGATCCGACTCAAGTGCCAATGAGATACTGCTTCAAGGCAGAGTGACTGGCCTGGATTTATCTCCTGGTATGTAGTATTTGGGGTTTACACATTTCAGTTCATGGGAATAGTATGAAAAACAGTGATTTTGATTCTTAGACAGATTTGAATTAACCTCTTGAATCCCAGGTTCTAAAATAGGTTGAAACCAGATTATTTTTCATTTTTGCCACCTTTTGACATTTTACTACATACATATACAAGAGACGATGTTCAATTTAGTAAAATTAAACGGCAGAGATCATTTCTAGACATATTAAACCAATTTTTGTTTAAATTGGACAAAAATTGTTCAAATAAGAGCAATTTTAGTGAAATATTTTGTGACAGATTATCTCGTCACTCTGGGTTCCAAGGTCATTTCTGAGGTGACAAGAAATCTTGTCACTCTGGGTAGTCAAGAGGTTAATGTGACAGTGGAAATTTTGATTAAATTTTATCTTTAGGATACTATATTAAGGAGAGATCTCTCATTTATAGGAGCACTGGTTTTCTGGTCTTTTTAGTATCCTAATATCCTCTAAATATGAACACTTTCAATGAGAATACTGGTTCTTACTTATTACAGTGTTCATTTTAAACTAGCTTCAATGAACCCATAATATTTACAATTTATGCTCTATTTTTAGATCGTAACTATCTTCTGAGCTGCTCTAGGGATGACACTATAAAACTAATAGATCTACGGATGAACCAAGTCACTGGCACTTACTGGTGAGATTAGATTCATATTTAGTTTTTACTTTTTTGATCATCATAAAAAAAGATGAAATTAGCATTGAAAATAGTAGAACATGCTGTAATCAAGGCTCTAATAGTATAAAATTGAGAAACGATTCTTGTCATCACCTATTAGTATCTTCATTGTTTTAATTAACTTTAAATTACTGCATTCTAGTGCTGATGGTTTCAAAGTAGGCATGGACTGGACAAGAGCTGTCTTCAGGTTAGCTTTAAAAGTAGTTTAACCTTTCTAATAGTTTGGCTTCTCTTCTTTAATAAAGCTTCTTCTACACCTAACTCTATTGAGTATAGGTATTGAACTATTAATAAGAAAAATAGATTTCATCAGATCACTCTCTCAGTTTGTATATCTGGGGATTTTGTTTGACTTAATAATGGCATTGATCAACATGGAGAAAACAACTATGTTGAAAATTGTAATATATTATACATGAAAAAATCATACCAAAGTCACACTAGTGTAAGTATTTTTTGTTTATTGTTCTTTCAATGAGAATATTCTCTTAGTCATATGTACTTTCCTTTTCCTCAGAGATTAGTTTCAAAATGTTTTATAGTTGACCTCATCCTATACTTCAATCATCCAGCTGACTTAACACCTTCATCCGAAACACCAATCAAATTATTCAAAATATTCACTCCTGACTGTTGTTTTATTATTCAGCCCTGATGGGGAATATCTAATTGCTGGATCACATGATGGTACACTCTTCATCTGGAATATTGCCAAAAATAAAGTGGAGAAAATGTTGAAGGAGCACAAGTAAGTGAAATATTCTTTTCAATTGACGAGAGAAACTATTTAAACGTCCCATGCAAAGTTTGATGTACTTAGGTGGGTCAAAAAGTTTTGCAGTTGATGCCATAGCTTCAAGGAAAATAGGACTTTTACAATGAAACTTGGTACACATATGTGTTATACATTTATACATTATATTTTAAAATTTGGGACCTCAATTTTGATTGGTTCTTGAGATATGGTTGCTATGGTAACCAGAGTGGTGGGTACCATGTTCAACCCGAAATTACGTTTTTCCAAATAGTTTACTTGCTTGAATAAACTCTTTGGCAATTAGCAGGTGTAAGTGTCTTTGGATGGCTATTTTTCTTCAAATTCTTCAATTTTTCTAATTGTGTCTATGACATCACAATAGACAAGTGACACGATAAGTTCCTTTGTGATGTATACTGTCTAAAACCCAGTTGAAAAATTGAGATGGAAAAGTGAGGAAATTTTGAATTTTTTTTCCAAAATTTTCAAAATGGCAGATGTTTCCACGACACCAACCAAATTGATGAAATGGAAGCATAGAAATCTGATACAGTGCATGGTTCAAAATGGCAAGACTTTGCAAGAGACTTATGAACTGGTTCAGGGAGCATTTGGAAATGATGCCAAAACGTATCCAGAAATTGCCTAGATGCTGCAAGACACGCTTCCTTTTGTTCCACTGTGAGGAACTTTGGAACCCACTTTGCTGCAACATACCACTTTTTCAAGATTTTTGTGACAATTGTATGGCACGACCCCTTAGATATATCCAGTAAATCACTTATTTCCTCTAATGAAATATGTCTGTCCTTTGAATTTGAAGAAAAATAGCCACCCAAAGACACTTACACCTGCTAATTGCCACTTTACAAAGAGTTTATTCAAGCAAGAAAACTATTTGGAAAAACGTAATTTCGGGTTGAACATGGTACCCACCACTCTGGTTACCATAGCAACCATATCTCAAGAACCAATCAAAATTGGGGTCCCACATTTTGACATATACATGTAATGTATAAATGTATAACACATATGTGTACCAAGTTTCATCGTAAAAGTCCTATTTTCCTTGAAGTTATGGCATCAACTGCAAAACTTTTTGACCCACCTAAGTAATTTCCAAATATTATTTCTTATGTACTAAAAAGTTGACCTTTGAAAATAAGATATAGATTTTTAAATATTCACAGTCCCACTATTATACTTAGCATAGCATTATTTTTTGCATTACTAGCCTCAAGCACAATGTATTATGTCATCTATTTTCAGTCACAGCGTGATAGCATGTTCCTGGCATCCGAATGGTTCATCAATTCTATCATGTGATAAACAAAAGAAAGCAATCCTCTGGTCGGAATTCTAATCCGAAGTTCCAATCCTATAAGCCTAAAAAGTTTTTACTTTCCATACATTGTAAGAATATAATGACTCTGGAACTACCCTTTATCCCCTTTGTCAAGCAATACTACCCTCTGGAACTACCCTTTATCCCCTTTGTCAAACCTTACTCCCCTCTGACTTTACAGATGAGTTTACAGTTTGGAAACTGATAACATCTCAATGATCTCAAATGGACCTTTCATTATATCTCATGGGAGTTTGAATTTAAAGTGATATTGGTACTTACAGGGTGTCCGGAAAGTAAAGATACAAATGCTCTCATTTCAAGAGATTTACCTGTTATGAGATGAAATTGCTACAGATTGTAGAATGACATTATAAGAATAATATCCTACAACTGTCATGACTTTCAGTTTCATAATGAAAAAGTTATGGTTGTTATGGTAACGGGAGTCGGGGGTAAGTGGAGCAACGTTACAACTGTGTTCGACAAATTTCTTTCCTTCTCGTATGATCTTGGCACTCCACCATCTATTCCTATATTATATCAGATTATGTACCACAACAGCATAAGGATTAGTACTGTAACATTATTTGATCATTTCATATTACTACCATCATTGAATATTAAGTATTTTCCCCATTATCTATACATTCTTGGTGCATCTTGACCGGCGATTCAAAGGCCTGGCAAAACCGCTGCTGTCCATCTCTCAGATTGCTGATAACATTGGCTTCCAGCTGAGTCTCATTTGTATGTTGAACTTTTTACAAATATTGCTTTCAAATGGTCATTAAGGTAGAAGTCTAAAGAGGCTTTATCAGGTGAATATGGGGCATTGTATAGAAAGGTTTAATGTCAAGACACTCTATTGTAAGATTTGTTTTTTTGCTTTGTGAATTGGTGCATTGTGGAGATGCAATATTGAATTTCTTACGAATGGCCAGGGACCATTCTTCTAGGCACTTGTATAATATTTCTTTCATTATACTGGTAAGTGACATAACATAGTTCTGATATGTAGCAATGACATCATTATATAAAAGAAAACACCATGGCAGCAATAATACAATGATGAACAAAACAAAACATGGATAGAAAATACAACAAAAACCACTGTTTCAAATGGTTGTCTTTTAGCAATTTTTCACTTTTTAGCGTTGTTCTGGAACTGCTCCGCATACCCCTCACATCCGTAACCATAACAACCGTAAGTTAAACACATTTAGACTATATGTGATGAAAGTTGGTAGATATATTGTAATATTGTTTCTCTACAATCTGTAGCAATTTCATTTCAAAAAACCCAAATTTCTTAAAATAAGAGTATTTGTATCTTTACTTTCCGGACACCCTGTATAAGCAGAAAATGTTGTGTTGTGATTTATATGTCACCACCAGAAATGATGACATATTGTTATAGTCTCCAACTTTTTTGTGGATGGTGTTCGGCGGATGGTGTTCAGCGTCTGTAACAAAAGCTAGGTGGTGACATTTTGCATGTTAATGCCTTGTTTGACTTACATATTTTGACTGAATATAGTCTGGATTAAAGAATTAATATTAATTGATACAAATGTAAAGATAATGGAATATGAGTGATATGTTCATTGAGTGCAATGTGACTTGTTTAAGAGGGTCGGTATGTTAATTTGCCAGGGCCATAATGGCCATAAATAACACAAACTTCTTAAAGTTAGGAATTCCTAAAATCATTGTTCTCTAACTGTGACGTCATTATATTCATGGTTAAAACATGGGCTTTCAGCTAAAAATTGAAAGCCCATGGTTAAAATAATAGATTTACGAATTCATAACTTTATGAAGTTCACTTACTGTATCTTGTCTTGCTTAAAATGCTTGTTTTGCCCAAGTTTGAAATCATTTAATCTCGAAATTGCCTTGTATTGAGGTAACCTGTCCATTATCTCTGCCAGTTTTCTTGGGGCTCTACACTAGACCAAATGTAAATAGAGCTTATTCACATTGTATGCCAAATTCATCTTTTATGTAAAATTCATGTTCTTGTCAAATATAGTTTTGTTTATAGTTTTTATGTGAAAAACCATTTGTAAAAATACATGATACATTTTGTAAAATGTTATGTTCTATGAGTGCCAAAATGAAGTCAAAATTTGAACAACATTTATGCTGGTCATATTTTTTGTTATTCAGAGAGAAGAGCAAGGAATAAGGTGAACAAACATGTTGGTAATACTCTTAATTGTATAGAAATGCGAGAAAATCGAGTCTTTGTTCAAAGTAGGGAAAACATTGAAGTAGCGTATTTAACAGCTTAAGCAATTCCCATAAGTGTAGATCTTTGTATATTTTATTCATTTCAAATGTTGAATAGATGGCAGAGGTTTAGTAGAATTATTTTGCACAAAGCATAATTATAATGAAATTATTGTCGATATACACTGTTGCTCATTGATATTTCCTGGTTGGATTATTTTTGTCCACTATCAATGGGGATCGAGCTATTTTTGTAAAAGTGCTAAGAAAACCTAGTGTTTTACTTTTTTACTGAGATGTTTCATTAAAACAAAGAAAACAATCTAATCCATGCAATGGATATATTACTACTATTAGGCGATAGACTTTACTTTTCTTTGAGTCTGTTCACTTTAGAGAAAAATTCATCAAATCTTTTTACTTTTTGAGTATGTTCACTTTAGAGAAAAATTCATCAAATTTTTTACTTTTTGAGTTTGTTCACTTCAATTCTGACAAAGTGATATGCACTGTCTTTGATGCCAATATTCTTCATCAATTGTGATACAAATTGATATTTTTGTAATCTCAGAAGAAGGATAAGATATTGAAGTTTAATAATATGTGTGATTGAGTTGGTTTTTCAGACATTACAATTTTCAATATTTTCTAAGTCGATACCCAGACTCATTCCCAGACTCATCCTTTTTTCACTTGAGTGATCTTTTCAATTCAAGTGTTCACTTAAGTGTTCATTTGAGTGATGTATTCTTTTGAGGAAAGTCTTTATGTTAGCAACTCAAGCTTGTCAATTATGATTAAAACTGCTACTTATTGTTGTTGTTTGAATTGCTTATTATTACAAAAATCTTATAATGTACACTCACTAAAAATTAAATTACAGTAACCAAGAGTGGACGCTAAACATTTGAGAGAACTACTAGAAAATATGTTAGTTCATTCAAATTTGAGAGATAAATTGATTGAAATTATTTTAAAATGTGCAATGCAGTCCAGCTTGGCCTATGTGTTCAGTCTATAGTTATATTATCACCATCGCAATTGGTGACATATTGCACTAGTCTCCAAATCTTTTTGTTGATGGTGTTCGATAGTCGCGTTTAATAGGCGGGTGGTGACATTTTGCATATTAATGCTTTTGAAATGTCATGAAATAAACCTGTTTATTTAAATACTATGGAGAAATTCCATGAAATAAGCATGAACGGATAGTGAAATAATCAGATGGAGTTATCACAAATCAAATTGTGACTGATTTATTCATATTGCAATTACATTGTAATGTATAGTGTACAGAGCATACATATAAATATTTATTGTAAAATTATGTAAATAAAGATATAGTATGTTTACATGTATGTCTGTATCAATCTTGTTTTTAATTTCCAAATACAATTTGGAAGTAGATTTATATTCACTCATGAATAATGATATCTGCACGAGCGACGCAGCTTAACCCTTTAACGGTTAGGCACTAGATAATTACACCAACGGTTAGGGGGCATATCTGCCCTCCCCCTTATGGTCTCAGAAACTGTCAATCATAAGAGGGTGTATTCATTGGTATGGTTATCGATTCCCAATATGTTGAGCTTATAACAACTATATCGAGCCATTATTGATGAAAAGATTCATATTCTAAGAACATATGGGTTCATCCTTTCACTTCAAAACTACTGACAGTTTGGGTATTTCCACCCGCTGTTACTTTCCTCCCAGGGGGGTAATTAGAGTCAAACTTTTTTGGCTAAAATACACATAATTCAATTTTAAGAAATCCAGAACGTTTTGAATCGAAAGACACGACGTAAAAGATCTGCCCCTCCCTAGCCGTTTAAGGGTTAATCTCTTTCGGCTATTTTTGCTATTTCTTACTCCGTGTATCATCCTTATGATTAACAAGCATCATTATGATTATATCAGAGCATTGAATTCATTCATACCGACTTTAATTAACATCTTTTTTTAAAGTAAAGCAGTATTTTAGCGACACATAAAATAAAACATTTGGTCAATTTTAGAACATATTGTTCATATCATTTTCAAGCAGGAGCATCAGAATTTGTTGAATGACCCTCGTACAAAAATATCTCTGATTTTGCCCTCTTATTGCAAAATTGGTAAATTGTTATAAAATTCAACGAATCCTATTAGCCTGAACAATGAAAAAGATGAATATGATGAATTGCAGGAAATATCAAACACAAGTTACACATAAAAGACAAGTCAAGGCCACATAAAAGTCTCATAAACGAAAATAAAACTCCCTTAAAGTTTTGTTCATAAACTGATTGGTGTCATACACTATAAAAATGGTATTAAAATGATCAATTTCTGGAAAATGTTTACAATTGAAAATACACTTGCAATATATCTTAACATTAAACCTAACATTAAATATGTTCTTTAATATCCAATTATTCAATCAAAATTGCAGAAACAATAACACAAAAGTACAATATGAAGACCTAGTCTTGGTTCAACCTCCTGTGACTCTCTTTCTCTACACGCCTACCATCAGAAGGTTGAGTTTTAAGGGGGGGTGTCATGAGACTTGATAAAGGCTTATAAAGAACATATATTCTAACCCACGTTTCACAAAATATAAGACGGCGTCGGAGAGAAAGCGACTGCGGAGGATACACTTCAAGAATACTGTCAAACTAATCCAACAAACGGATAAAGTATAAAAATAATGAATAAAACCAGTTTTGTGGAAATGTATATTGGATACAAAATAACACATTAAAATCAATTGACTCAATACCACAAGCACCGGTAACTCATAATAACAAATAATTTTAGTTTATAGATTATTAATCCATCACCTGATCAAGGGATTTCGTAATATAGCTGAAGAAATCAAGAAGCACACTAGACATTAGGATAACATTTAGCACGTTTAGTCTGCGTTGCGTTTGTATGCGCAAACCATGTGTAAAAGCGAAATAAAATATTCTTCGCCTACTAATATAAAATACAGTATACAATTGTTGACCTCTCCAGAGGTCAACCGGCAAAATTGTATACCGAGACTGTAAACCGAGAAACTACTGTTGACAGAGACCGAAGGTCGAGGTCAACAGTGTTTCAAGGTTTACAGTCGAGGTATATGATTTCGACGGTTGACCGAATGGAGAGGTCTACAATTGTTTTGTTAGTCAGAAGAAACTAATAATACTCATATATACGACAGTCATCAATCATGGCTTCATTTCACAATCTTTTCTCCGAACCTGCACGCCAGCAATAATTTTTAAGAAAATCTGAAGACAGTGGAAGCTAAACTCTCTGTTTTCGGCACATAACTGCGTACTCGCTAGTAAATTAATGTTAATTTTGCGTTTCTATTTGTATTGTTGCTATACTCGTCGTGTAGAAAAGTCAAAATATCACTTTCATCAACGTGTACAAATGTCCGACTACCATGTTTTTTCTGTAAACATTGTGACGTCATATTTCCCATAATTCACAAGTGTAGTACAGTAACATACGCGGTCAATAATATGATATCCCATGATGCACAAGTGAGGTACAGGCAAAAATGTTGACCGCTAATTGACCAATCAGATGCGAGTATTTACACTGAGGTACTAACAATAAAACCTGTATACTGTATAGTGGACACTTGAACCAACAAAGCCACGGGGTCATAATAAAATAGGTGTTCACTATAGAAGGTGTTCACTACAGAGAGGACAGTAACCTATGTATACGGAAGATAGTGGAGCATATGCTAGAAAATAGTCCAAATGATCTAAAAGAAAGATGTTAACTTAGAAAGGTTTTACTGTGCTTTAATTGTTAAATATCAAATTGATTTAGGTTAATAACCTGATTAAATAGAAAAAACATAACTGACATATATCAGTAAACATCAATAAATATATTATCACCCTGTAAAAAAATCACGTGGTCTATGTTAACATACGAAAAAAGGAAATGGAATCAGCGAGAAAAGAAGCGACTGAGTATAGATAATCCAATGCAAATTGTATGGAATTAATGTTACTCTCTAAAACATTTTGAATAATTGAAAAATGAGATGTATTACATTGTACCCAGATTAGGATTAGTATTTTTAAAAACGGGATTTATTATTAATATAAAGTACAAAATACACATCAAAACCATAATTATTAAACTATCATATAACCCGTAATTCAATGTGTCTCCTGGTCATGCTCCGTTCACTCAATTTCTCTCTAAATTTGAACAAACTACCCGATTTTCTGAGATTTCTCTATAATTCAGGGTGTTTACTACATGTCTAATTAATTAATTCCTCGTTAATCTTGTTAATATTTACTCTATTTTCCGATTTAACATAAAACCACTGTGAACTTTTTCTTCGGGGAATCAATACATAATACTCCTACCGTATTCTATTCAGGGTTTCTTTATCGAAACACTCGCTTGAAATACAACTCGACTCCCGTTTTTCTATTATTTTAATGAACAGACCATATTTAGCAATAAAACTGACGTGATGATATTTGGAAACAAAACATTTGGATTACTAAAAATTGGATTACTAGACATTTTTCATAGAAAGGAGCTACAAGGGTAGTGGGAGACCGAAGGAAAAGAGACACGGATAAATATGGAAGCAGTTCTAAAATATCTTTGGCTGTTTCTGACCTCATTTTGGATATACGGACTCGTAGAGGGACAATCAATAGGTAATTTAGTGTTTATTGTTTTAGTCAACAAATCAACAAACAAACAAACAAACAAACCAAAAAACGATCAGAAGGATTATATACATAAACGTCATATATATCATACATATATATATCAGGCGTTGAGACTTCAAACTTCTTTGAAATATATTTTGGGATAAATTGGTACGATACGTTATGCATATTGTGGAAATAATAAAAAGTAATGATAAACGTTTATAGCAGGCTTTACAAAACACAGAGAGACAATGGATGATATATGAACTCATAAGTTATGTTCAATTGCCTTTAACCAAATATAAAATAAGTTTAATATATAGTAAAATAATATGTTGCGTATAAATAGTGCATGAAGTAACATTACATATAGAGCGGGATAGGGAGGTAAGCTTCACGTTTTTAAGAACACGTGTACGTGAACGTGTAGTATTATGATCTTATGGAGATTACATCTTCCCTCCGTAGTATTAATCTGCCCGATTAGGCCTAATGTATAAGGAGAATAGCAATTAGTAATAATAATTAGGTCTTTAAAATCAATTAAGAGGAGGGAAACAGTAATCTCCGTGGGTAATAGTATTAATATTACACGATAACGTTGTAATTAAAAGATTTAGATTAACACCGTGGATTAACCTCCCTCAATTCAATTTTGGGGAACAACGTTTTTTCTCGCAGATTTTTGAAGTGAATCTCATTCTGTAGTGTGACGTCAAATGCGACAAAGTTCTGGCAATTAAAAAAATTGACTTTAAATGCTCAATTCTAATGATGTTTCTTTTTTATTTCCTGTTGATTCCATTTTAAATTTCAAAACGGGATTATCTTGACATATTTGTCGCATGGACCTCAACTAACACGCCATAGGCTCAGTTCCACAGTAAATAATGCAACATTGGATTAGATGCATCTTGAATTTTTCTCGTGTTGGCATGTGTAATATATACGCAAATAATTATACTAAACTGAATAAATTAATTAGGGAAATTAACAGGAGTTTTCATGTTCGATTATTAATAAGGGATTAAGTCTTCAGAGAAAAATTAAGTTTTCTTTGATATTAAATTATATGGGGGATTAGGCAATTACAAAACACAGGATACGCTTTGAGTATTTATGTATTCAACTGTTACGATTAAATATTGGACCACGGCGCTCGGACAAATAAACATAAATATTTATTTTTTTGAGATCTAATCCATCAAACGTCTGTCCATATTGTAGTTGAAACGGTTCACATTACCCTCTGGCACCCAGATGCTAGATCATTAGACGAATTCTCTAAGAAGAACAGATAAATCAGCAAAGCCCAATATACACCAATTGGGCAAAATCCCACTTGCCCCATCGACCACCTTACCCTATAAAATCCCAATTTGCCCGATCAAATCAAGATGGGGTAAACTTCGAGGAAGTCCCATGGAGGACCCATGCAATGTTACGTTTATTGTGGTCACAGCGTGCCCCACTGGTATATTTGGCTTTATAGATTTGATGCTCTTTATGACCCCAGTAACGCAGACCATGGTATTTCATAATCATGTATCGAACGAAAGCTATGAATATGTAAACGACAGGGCAGTCCTGGTACCGTTATTCCGGAGTCAGTTTTGTTGTACCGAATTCGAAAAGCGAAACAAAACCAAAAATATTGAAAGTGTTTAGATAAAGTGAGATGTCAAATTCTAACTTATCATGGGAATTAAAACTTTTGTAACAGTTTTCATTGTTATACAGGTATGTGTCTGTGTAGCGCATCTTCACTGTTCCATAGAATCACTCTATGGAGACTGTGATAATCTCCAACACGTACGCAAGTCTATTCCAATGAAATAGCTTGAGTAGCCTGATCGTATGGTAAATGTCAATAGCAATGATGGACAGATCAAACAATAAATTCAAGATCAGAACTAATATTTCTTATTCTTGTCTTCATCAATTACAAAAAAAGATAGATTACGTGATAATTTATACTATGGTATGATCTTGGCCTTGTCATTTATAATTTAACTCTTTGACTACGTAGGGCGACGAGAAAATTCGTATTAAATGATGGATATTATAGAAATATTTTTGACGGAGATGTAGGAATTGCGTTTACCCTACTATCACACCAAACTAGTTCTCACTACGTTTTCGAAAACGGGCTTCAACTGTGTACGAACGGACTGGACGTACTTAGAACCGTTTGTTGTATATTTACAAACTTCATCGAACGTACTCGAACGGGTAGGTCCTCTGGAACTTAGAACATGCTCAAAATGTTCTCTTGGTCGTCACGTTCTACAATTAGAACGAGTGACAACCTACTAATGACGAGCTGGACGTACTACGAACGGAACCGTCGTACTTCAATCCTACTAGAGACGTTTTTACAACGAGTTGAACTGTCTGTGGACGTATTGAGAACGAGGTAGAACTAATTGCAAACGGGTTAAAACTGATTAAGAACGTATTAATCAACGAGTTGTTATTGTTATAAAAATATAGCTATCACACCAAGCAAGTTGCCACTGCGTTCTTCAAAACTGGTTTTAAACTGTGTGCGAACGGAATGAACGTAACTACAACGTTCTATGGTCTGTTTACGTACTTCATGGACTTTCCCGGTCGGGGATTGTGATTTAGAATTTTGAATCGATTCAAAATTCGATGGTGACCATACCGTTCTGTAATCAGGTCATGATGACCTTCTAGACTAAGGGACGCGTTATTTGACGTTGCACACCGACGTGGTGCGACCTGAACGAACTGTGAATGAGATGGACGTATTGAAGACTGTTTATGAAGGAAGTAGCTAATTATTTTAGACATATTTCCCGACCACAGCCAGATTGAGCCCGCTTTACGACGTTTTCGCAGGACTGGCAAGAACTGGTAAGAACTAGTTTGGTGTGATAGGGGGGTTACAGTCGTTCCTGAAATGAATAAATCAATCTTCAATTTTTTTAATAAAACCCAAGAGACAACATAGGTACGGTCTAAATTAAAATAATCGTCAAAATTGTTTTTGAAGCAACAATTCACACTGAATTGCTCATGATAAGAATTATAAAAGGATCGTGTTCAGTATATTCAGAAATGATTTCAAGACAAAAGTAACATGTAAAAGTATCATTAGACAAACAGTCCTAAGTAAGACGAAAATATTGATTCAGCATAAAAAAGTGATTGAGAAAATTCTGCCTGTAAAGGGAATTCTATGTTAAAATCTTGTTTTAGAGTCCATAAATTAATCTAGAACGTGTTTTTCAATGTAATTACATTGCTTTTCTACCACTGTACCCGACCAAGAATAGATACATTGACTCATTTAATTAACATCTAGAATGATAACTAAAATCACCGCACAATATTGTAAATGGTCAAATATACATTAAAATTTGGAATTTAACCTTACTTAACTTACTTTTGGATCGATTGTACGAATCGATTGTTATATTCTCCATTGAAAATATTATTGAAATCTATGAATTATAAAAAATATTTCCGCAAAATAGACACTATGAACGTTTACAATTAACAAAAAGTTAACAAATGTATAAGAATGTTTCTTTCGAATTTAGATTTTATTTTTTCTCTTCACCAAATTTAGGGTAATAAATTTCCCTTTGTTAGAAAATATGATATGAATCGCGCAGGCTTGTTTTTAATTTTCGTATGTACTGTTGTACCACGCATTTCCGGAATCCTTGAGATATTCAATGCATTATAATGCTGTATATACAGCCTAAATAATCAACAACCGCATCCTTGTTAATGGATTAGTCATACAAACAGGACATGGGTTGTAGCTTATACTTTTGGATGTATCTATTTATATTTCGATCCCACTCATGTATAACACAGATGGATGAGCATTAAGTCGTAAACTGCAGTACGTGGGATCAACAATGGCGACCGGAAGTAGCGAGCATTTGGAAAATGCATTCTGTATTGGGGAGGAAGGTTTTTCTGTTCACATTTTTATTTCTGATTATGAACCACTTTATTCATACTCGTCACACTTTATAAGAAGAATGTGAAAGGTACACTTCTATTAGGAAGCGCAATCGAAGATGACCAAGCGAAGTTCCAATTCTTCTATAGGGTTAAGGCTTAGGGTTACATGTAGGGGTTAGAGTGAGCGGTTAGGGTGTAGGTCATCTTGAGTTTGCGGACCGAAAGTCGTTACCCATATATGTCGAAGCAATACTGTGTTGGTCCGATAGATGGCACAACACTAGCACAATCAGTCGGTGCGCCACCTATTGTCCCATTACATATGTCTAAAATACTACTTTACTTCAGATAATAATCTTGAAGGAATCGGAGCATTTATGGATCCATGTAGAGGGCTAAAATGTCAAAACTTTGGTCGGTGTGAAGCAAGAAATAGTAGACCAGTGTGTGTGTGTCCGCACCACACAAGAGGAAGCCGATGTGAAGATAAAGGTATGCATCTGCGTTTTATATTTAGATTCATAGTTGGTTTGAACTTTTGAAGATTGTGTTCGATAATGGCTTGGCGAATTGTACAAATAACAGAACACATGAGAATCGGTCTGTACTTGCTGTTGTATTGAATAAAATATGCAAAGACGTGGACTTTTGGTATTGTTTTGAAATTGAAACGAATATAGTGTTGCTAAGTAAAGACAGGCCCGTAGCCAGAGGGGGAGCTGGGGGAGCGGAAGCTCCCCCTCCCTGGCCAGAAATTCTTTCAAAATCATGCAGTTTACCATCTCACCATTCTGAGAATTTTTCGCATGATTTTTAGCCAAAATTGTGAAAAAGCTCCCCCCCCCGGAAAAAGCTCCCCTCCTGGTAAAAGCTGACTACGGGCAAGAAAGATATGCATATTACCGAACACAAAACGTACAATGATAGAAAATACCAAAATGACATACAAAATGTGATTCTAAAGGCTATAGATCATGAGATGCAAGACAAGATTATTGATGGCGAAAAATAAGCATCCTTCCTCCAACATATAACGATTTTTCAACAACACATCTTATGTTTAGTTCCAGACTTATGTTCTAAGTGTTGGCCACCAGGTACCAAAATTTGTAATGCACGAGATGGATTTTGTGAGTGCAAGGCATACTACTATGGACGCACTTGTCAATCAGGTAAGTCTCATTTGACTCAAACGGATACTTTTTTGAGTTACCTTGCAAAATTGGGAAGCTTGTCTCGGCAGTTTTCATTGTTTGAGACAAATGAGTGTCAGTTTAATACATTACAAATTGGAGAGCCTGTCAATATCCTGTCGTTTACTTTGACACAGATTATAAAATAATTTTAAGTTACCTCAAAAAATGGGCAGTCTGTCTTGGAAATTTACTTTTATTTAAAACAAATGGGTAATTTTCTTCAGCTACATAATGGCGAAGCTAGTATTAATGTTGCTATCTCCTATTTTGCATGAGGACGGTTTTTAGCCTATTTGTGTTCATTTTTCGTACCTACTTTTTTTGTGCTGTCTGGAAGAAAAGAATTGTGTGCTTAAACTAATGTACTTTTGATTGATGCAAAAATCATAGAGGATTTTGTAGCTTTGAAATTGTTATAAAGAGATATGATACTATACATGTACATTTCAAATACATCGAGGATAAATATAAATATTGCTTTAGAGATTTGAATTTTTGAAATTAGATTGCATTTCAAAGTATATCGTGAGTATGTAGGCGTTTTTAATACTATCCAATTCTGTTTTTATTTGTGCAAAAGCAATTATTCATGTCATTAAGGGGTCGTTTTATAACAATATCTCTGGTCATACTAGCAATACACTTTAATACATCAAGGGGCGATAAAATACTAAAAGTTATAGTTATCACGCCATTAAGGCCCATTATATCAAGGCCCTCTAACATTTTCAACACATGATTGTGATATATATATTCTATCGAGGTCAGGGTCGCACTAGATAAAGTCATAAAAAAGAACTGTAAAATGATTATCACTAGTCTATCTGAACCGGGATAGCAAATGATGATTTGTTGATGTTAATTTGATGAAAGTGATTGCAAATTAAATGTCAACGTGATCTTGTTTAATACAATACACTCCCCTTCCATAATGAGATATAAAGGAGCTAAAAAATAAGTCTCATACGCCATATATACGATAAGATACGATACTTTATATTGTTATATTTTAATAGGTGCATTGCGTCAACATTAGAGAGGTCGAGCTACACGTTTTAAGAGAACATGTACATGAAAGTGTAATATGGTACCCGATAAGTGGTCCACTCAATTTCTCCACGAGCCTATTAACAGATATTTTTCTTGCATTCTATCCTCGATCACACTGAGAAAGACCCCATTTATCTCATGCGAACAATAATTCTACAAATTCACGTTCACGTACTTAATTCATAACCTCCCTATTGTTCATTCATGCACGTTATTTCTATACTCAACTACTCATCAAGCCCGATGCTAAATCTTTTCATTCATACTTGCTGGGGTCATTCAATGTACAGGGTGTCAAATAAATATGTTCTTCCCTTAATTTCAAAAGTATGAACTTTTGTGTAAAAAGTGCAAAAAGTGCATCTAGTCATTTGAAACTTCTTGTGGAGTTGCTCCATGAAGCCTAGTTTTAAAGTGCTAAACAACAATATTGATATCATGCAGACAGAAAAATCATGTAATTATGTAACACTGTGTTTATTTTAAAACTAATAGGGGAGAAAGTATTTATTTATTTGACACCCTGTATATTTATTTTTAGACACAACATTGCATCGTGAACTCTTCATTCAGACTGGATTCATTGTTCATCTTTTTTATTTACATTAAATCTTTGTCGTATAACATGAAGATTTGTTTTTCTGTGTTCAAAGAATACTTTCAAGACCATATCATCTCACATCTTTTTTCCTGTACTTTGATATAGTCAATTCAGTTTATTCCCGAGGATTCTTCAAACAGGCACTGGATGACGAGATTCTGCGCAAGAAGAAACAGGCTTCATCGTTCCTCGAACGTGTTCGTCAAAGTTCATTAAGAAAAATCCCTGGTGATGAGGCACTTAATGGTATATGTGTAGAGTATGCATATTGCATGTTTTAAGGGGATCGTAATATTGTAGAACGTTGGTGTGGAAGCATGTACAATAGAATAGGACGAGACTAGGTGTAGAATAGTTTTACTCACTGTATACTGAATTACATACGACTTGTATATTACCATGCCCAAGAAAAATGGTATCAAACCATGAAATACGATGCAGTTAAACTGCACAGGAGCCAGGGTCTAGATCCACGTCGTTATAACAATATGTATAAGCTATATATGGAAGCACGTTAAGACTGGGGACTAGTATAGACTCACGATGTACACCTACAGTATATCTCAGTATATGTTGTATAATGGATGCAGCATAATAGTATGCAGACAGACGCATGCGCATCAGAACACTTGTCCATATATGTTGTCTAAACAATAAGTAACCAGGAAATGTGACCCTAATGGTAAAATGACTGTGAAATGTGTCTAGGAACTGAAATGGTATTAAATAAATCAGGTGTACTAAGTATGTACGCATGTGTATCAGATTTGTCAATATATGTTGTCTAATTCATATGTAACCAGGAGATGACACCAATGTAGAAGCATGGGCATTAGATAACTTGCCAAAGTAGTTTTAATTAGAAATGAAGGAAAGGTGGATGGAGAATAGATCGTTTGGAAAAGAGCATGCCAAAAGCAAGGTGAGAGTGATGTCTAGCCTTAATATATATTTTAGTAAATCTAATTTAGGAAATGGAATTGTTATCTTTATAAATCACATGGTCGGGTGGGATCGTCTAATCATGGGAAGGCCCCGGAGCATGCTTTTTGCAGTCGTCATTTCAAAAAATCTCCGTGTTAATGTTGTAATCAGTTGTTATAGAAAAACCGATCTTTCTAACTATAGGATGTCTGCGCCGTTTTCAATTCATATTACAAGAGAAAATAAATTGTGCGAAGTCATTGATATTTCTCAGTAAAATGTCACGCTCCGGGGTCTTCCTAAAATTAAACAATTCCACCCCACGGACAAACTGATCTATGATTTCATTTCCTGAATGCCATTTATATTGTTTTGCTCTATTTTGTTGTGTTGTTTTGAAATGATCGAGCATGAATTGGTAAATGTGGTCGCAGTGTTTATGCTGCGACGATTGTATAATCAGCTGACAATGACAAAAATTTATTATAAACGAATCATCAACTTTCAGTAACTAATGATATTTAAATTACTCTTCTCCTAACATAAACTTCCTAAGAGAACTCAAATGTTGTCTTTAAACTTGATCAGTTTTTTTTATTCCAGTGAACGTAATTAACATGGGAGGTCATTAAGCAGAAACTTCATAAAGTTAAGAAATTCCTCAAAATTAATATAATGACATCATAGTAAGAGAACAATGAACTTAGGAATTCTATTACTTTATAAGTTTCTGTTAATGACGCCAGTCACTCTTTTTCCTATCTTTGCGAGTCCTGTGTGTTTATCGTTCATAATTCTGTCAATTTCTGTAGATTTCTCACTGACACGCATTGGACCATTGGTAATTCTTTATTCGTAATGGATTCATTCATCCAATTCTAGGTTTTGGATTCATAGGAGGGCATTTCAGGTTCTCTCTAACCTCGTCGTCTGTTTACTTTTTTTGATTTGATTTATAGAGATCAGAAAATCAAGTGAATCCTAGAAAAAAACTAGATTCGATAGACTGAACATCTAGAAATGGTCATCAACAGTTATATAGAATATACGGTGCCAATATAATTATATTTTCACATGAGGAAGTATGTCAACGTTTCCATCCGATCAATTGTCTAATGACCCAATTAATTGTGCTCTCCCACCATGGCTTATTGAATTAATTACTGGTCAAACGTCCATTACTGTTGGTTTTATCGACCTTAAATGCTATATAGCTCTATACATTTTCCTCACATATACAGACATACAATGATATTGTTATATGCAAATGTCCTGCGTCATTACTTAAGAATATTATGTGAACGAAAATGCCATGCAGCAGATGTGAGAAAGAATTAGTCCAAAAATCATACAGTCTCATCAAATTTCTTTTATGTTCTCTGTATATATTAGATTTCATTCATATCGTCATTTGTTTCAAATGGTTCTTTTAATATTACTGAAATAGCCCAAGGGTGGTAAAGCATGTCGTATTGACTTTGAAAATGACTATTGTCTGTATGATTTTCGCTATTGCTGTTTTTATATTGGATTTTCTTAGAATTATAGCAATTAAACCATACTGGATAATTGCGAGAATTCGTTTTAAACTACACAATGCTTGTAATTTAACAATTTTCTTTCCAGTACCTGCGCAACTAGACGGAAATTTAAAAAAGGACAAGGATAACAAGCAAAAGGCCATACGAAAAGTAATAAGAAAGATGATGAAAGAAAGACTGAAAAAAGCATTATTGCCAAAAAATTGACTTTAAAACCTCAAGATATTATCTCATAAAAGTGCAATTAATCGGTACATAATTTATTTAATATGTATATGGATAAATGGATGAATGTAGATTAAAGGATATGTAGGGACTTGTATTAACATCTATATGTATTGTGATTATTTATGTATATGTACAGAGTATTGTTCTGTTAATGAAATTGTTATGTATTATAAACGTAGACTGAATAAATTAGACCTAATCAAAAAGGTGAAAAATATTTTTTCATAACAAAAACAAGTATACTTATATGGTGGATATATAAGTTTTCGGGCTCTAATATAGCAATGGCCAGAAAATGCATCTCATATAACGAGTTCGATTTAAAAAATAAAGGTTGGTTCGCAGAATGATCAAATCCATATAGTGCAAAATTTCTGCTGTTCGGTTAAGAATAAGCTATGTACGCGGCTCCGACTATCCGACTATACACGAAAAAACGTTAATTTGAATTTTTGACTAACCAGATGTTTAAAAATCAAATATTGTGAGTCTCATACTGCATTGTTTTTCTTCAAGCTTATTCCGTACAAAGCAAAACACAAATGCCTTTCTGTGTCCCAAGTTGCAAGAAGCGCTTCTCATAGGGTGACATTGCAGTTTTAATTATAAGAACTTAATATATGATTCCAATGCCACTATCTTGTAAATGAATTCTGACCAACAGAGTTTCATTTGAAAACAACTACTATAGGAACACCCACTTTGCTAAAGTACATGTACGGACAACCATATTTTAAGTTATCATATCCAAAAACAGTAAAATCATTGTTTGAAAACCATAACAAGTTAAACCAAAATACAATGGGGACAATAGGCAATATTTGAAAGCACAGTTAACAACGCCTATAGCATGTATAGATCATATGAATCGTCAATTGAAAACAGTTCGTCAACGTCTTATGTAAACAAGACTAAGCTACTTATGCCTTGATCCAATTCAAATTGTTCATTTTGACATGATTTATCTTGCAGTACCCACACTAGAAGACAGTACTAAGATAAGGCAGAGGTGGCTGCGAAAAGAAGCAAGAAAACTTAAAAAATTCAAAAAGGCGCAAAAGAAGGCACAGGAGAGAGCACAAAAGAAGGCGCAGAAGAAGGCAGAACGGATAGCACAAAAATCAAATCCTTGAGTGTATTTGCCATTGCTTAAAATCATAAGCTGATATACAGTTCAGTTATTTAAAAAGGTTTAATATGAATGACATTATTGTTATTGTATGGCTGACATATTTTTAATAAATAACAAAAATATTAAGACAATTTGTTTTTATTAAGAAAATTCAAAATATACATTTTAGTATTGTTAAGAATGGGATATTCGTAGACAACCCAAAAATAGAAATTATCTTTAGAATAAAAGTCACAATGTACATATTTTGCGCTCGCTTACAGTCACGTTTCCCATATTTATATACAGTATTCGATATTCTGCACCAATACATCAGTCAATGAAAACACATCCACACATCATATTTAGAAAATCCATCATTTAGATCAATTACTTCAGCTCAGGAGACAAATCCTTTATACAGATGCGCCTTAAACTTGTTTAGTACATCAACTGACGAAATATTATATTTAGATGATATATTGTTGATTATACTTTTGATCATTTGCCAAGCAAAGAGCTACAGCAGTACTCATTCTTCTTGTGATTTCATGTTTTTGAGGGTGAAATATTCTTGGAAAGTCTTTTTGGAAACCTAAACCTCAGTTCACAAAACAAGCCTAATCAAGATAAACACAATCATTGATCTCGTAGAGGTCATCTAGGTGCTAGGTTGAGAAAGAGTACATTATGTAGGAATAGTTAGGGAGCTGGGCAAGATCCTGACTTTGTCCATCTGACAGCAGCGCCGTGGACATCTGTTGCAGCTCCACTAACAGTGTAGCTGGGATTGCAAGCTGCCGTGTCGAATGCATTCACGGTTACGAAACCGGCATTTGTGAGACCAAAGAAGTCACCATTATTAGTAGGTGGCGCAGGATCGATGTTATCAAGGATCGGGCACACCAGTCTGTAGTTTCCTGGCACGGGGTATGTGTTTCCCCTACTTACACCTGCATCTGGGACATTAGCTGCTCCGATAGTAAAGCACGTTCCCCCTGCACATTGTACGAGTCCTGCATAAACAAACAGAACTGGCTGTTCTGTACAATCATACGTGCCATCCCCCGGTGCAAATACAGCGCAGTAAAATGACCGTGTACCATCGTTTCCAGGTACATTGGTAGCACTGATGGATAATGGGCAAAGCTCAACGTCATGAAGTCCAACGAGGGAGGTACCATCGCCAGTGACAAGAGCAATGGCGGCTTGGACATCTACGATTGCCTTTGTCCCCTCATCGTTTTTATTGATAAGCCCATTCTTGTCTGTATCCCGGTACATATACACCGAGTATTCCCCATAAAACGGCACCTAATAAAAACATACAATAATTGTTGATAAACTAGAAATAAAAAGATTTCTGAAGGACAAAATATGATGTTATCATTTTATCAAAAGAACAATAAAAGCACGGGAATAAAAGACGGTAAAATAGATTTTTCCGAGGTAAGATCATGTCTTCCGTAAGAACAATTGGACAACTAACATTAATTTAATTGTTCAAGCTAGCTGTTCGAGACTTCAATGAAGTCATGAGAAGTTCAAATATTAAGAGATTGCCGTATGACACATGTCTGCTCCTATAAAACTAAAGAAATGTAGGAAGTTGACGGGTTTATCAGATAATCAATGAATTCAATTCCATAAGTGAGAAATTGATTGGTTTTACGCGTACCTGGTAATGTGAATACAAATTAGCTAACCTGATAAAACTTTGAAGGTGAATCCGTAAGATTGATCGTAATGAAGTCTGTGTATTGTATCAGCGCACCACCAGTTCCAACTGGGAGAGCCTCCTTCGAGAAGATTTGGGCATAGCTGGTAACTATTTCAGCATCATCATTGTTCCACTGATTGGTTGTAATGATCAATTGGATCACTATAAACAGGTATACATATTATATATAAGGGCAATTGGTATTTCCTCTCAAACAGAAATAGCAGATTCCATAGCAGATATCACTTGACATGAAGCTCCATACCAATATACTTTGATGGCTAAGTGTTTGTGATAATAAGAAAAAGTTAAATTGTCCAAATTGTGTTTGGAGTAATTTATTTCGCCATGCAATTAAACGAGAAAATAATACACCGACTTTTGTCAAATATGAGAAAAGTACAGCTCATTAGTGCATATATCACTTACTGGTGTACTTGGGTCTAAATCACGTACACTCAATCTCAAATTAATACTATTTAGTATTGCTCATCAATTCATTAGCTCATTTATAAACATGTAAGATCTGAGTAGTATTTACAGAATTGTGAATAGATAGCTTACCAGTTACAATAGCAACCTAAATCAAACTATCCTTATTTAGCATACAATATAAAGAAACTATTAGTGATATCTGTATAAAATTTCCGGTTAACCCAAGTATATTAAAAAATGAAGATTTGAAAGACTTTTTAGAGAATGTATGGATATAACCACGTATGGTTTTCCTTACCAGTTTCACATGTTATGCCAGTATATCCAGGCGGACAAGTGCATGTGTATTCCGTAGCAGATGTCACCTGACAAGTAGCACCATTCTTACATGGCTCATTCGTACATATATCACCTGCTGGTGTACTAGGGTCTAAAATGGACGTAAATGGCATAATATGTAATAACTATGATATTTGAAGAAAAGTCTGATTTTATATGGAAACACTACATTCTAATGTACGTTACATGTCATTTACGAAGAAATCACGATAAATGATGTAATTGTTTCAATGAACAGTAGTCTTTATTTGTATTTTTATTCTATGTTTATTCGCCAAGTTATTCATCATCTTGTATCCATACACAGCAAGAGATGAATTATCATTTTCCAACCAATCAGAGTAAAGATTAGCCAAGGTTATCTTATTTTGTCAAAGTATCTCTTTCCAGGACAAAACCTATTCATTATATGCGAAATAATGCACTCATTTAAGTATTTGCTAGTTTAAAATTCGCCCTTCAGACTCAACGTTTAACTGTGCACATACAATGCATTATCCAACACCTACACCAACGCCTTTTCTACTTATAATATGATTTAATGCGAAGTTACTTACCAAGGCAGGTATAGCTATCCAGGTTATTGATGCAGGTTTCATTTGCCAAACATGGGTTATTTTTGCATGCATCTAAACACATAATAATAATTGTAACTCAACAGTCAACATAGTCTCATAATTCACAAGTTTATTTAGTTAACCATTTTCTAGTAAAATCAGTATTGTTTATTCATAAATATAACTTACCACTCAGATGTGCACAAAATCAATGAGTATAACTTATGAAAACCAAAGGCAATGTAGTCATTAGTAAAATTTAATCAAACTCATATTTTGTTACAAAAACTAGATTTTATATTATATTGATGTAAATTTCGTACATTGATCATCTCTTCAACGAAGGAAATTAATGGACCCCAAAATCCTTAAGAAGGTGTAAAAAACAAAAGTCCAATTAAGGGTTAACCGACATACCGAGATTGTAGGCCAGACAGAACAATGCCCGACACCCATCTGCAACCCAAACGCCAGTGTCGTTCAAACCATACCTATCAAGCTGGCATCGTCGCCTACAAGCATAAAATATTCAATTACAATAGACAAATTAACACTGCATTAAGCTTTTCATTTAAAATTGAGAAATGACAAATATGTAATAATTGTTGGGATTATGTAACAATACAAGTCAAATAAAACGAATAATAACCAAGCTGAACGATTGGGAAAGTAGCTTATGTTTTAAATCCCCTTGATCCAGCAATTTATAACATTTTTGTGTCTTAATATACAATTTGGCATATGAAATACCTTGGTAGACCTGTTGCTTTAACGTTAGACGTTTTTCGCACACAGTCTTATAGACACTGTATCTAAACCAATAAATTTTATAGCTTAAAATAAATATTATCAAATTTGTGTCTTCTCTATTAATTATTTAAGCTCGCACATAAGACAAGGGTGATCATTATCTTACTTTCGCAAGCAATTTTTACGTTTTCGTTCAGTGCATACCCTTACCCCCAGACATTAAAGACACTCTAACAGGAAACGAACTAACCTTGATAACCTATTTTCTACCCTTACTGAGGTGAACGTCATGAAATCCACGAGGTCTTCTGTTATATTGCACTCCTTGTACCTATATTTGTTACTTTCACATTTTACACAGGCTTCAGCTGAAATCAAATATTTTTTTCAATTTCATATGGTTTAAAGGGACTTTTTGTGTAAAATGTTCAGGTTTTTAAATCTCATATTGCCATATCATCTAAGTTGATTAGAACATCAGATCAGCTGCGAATTAAGCCCCTTATAAAAAAAATCAGTATCGGCATTTAACAGTTCAGCACCACTGATACAATCTACAGATTCATGATGGCTTCAAATAGCTCATTTCGATCATGTATAACCTTTTCATTTTGACAAATTATATAATGTTGAATGATGAATTAATTTAGAATTATATAATTACTCATAGTGTATTTTGAACGTTAATCGTTTGAAAAACTCTCATTTCTAGATTCGGGTCTTTTGAGTTAGAGAAATGAGACTCCCGTTTAGTACATACCATGTTCGCATCTGTCTCCGTGTGAATTGGGTGGACATAGACATTTATAGGTGTCTCCAAATGTGTTCATACAAACAGATGCCTCTCCAAAACATGGATTGGAACTACATGCGTCATCTGAAATCATAATTCATTTAAGATGAAATAATAATTCTAAATATAGCCTACCCTTATTATGTCATATTTTGTATACGTAGTTGTTGTTCTACTATATCTAAGGTGTTATATGTAGTCAACTTATTAATGATAAACATAAGTGTTTTCAAATAGCATGAAAACTTGCTCTAAAATGACCGATTTTAATTAAAGTACCTGATATTCGGTCAAAAACAAACAAGCAACTATTTAATGTTTAATGAGCTGACACACATTTTGAACCATAAAAGTGCATACCAAATTAACTAAAATATAAAGCTTACTATTCGTTGTCCACTGACAATCGCATGCCGCAGGTGTAGTGACAGCTAAAATAAACAATATCAATAATGACTCAAACTATTTTTACAAAAATGATTGAAATAATATTTACTTGTGATTTCATGATTTCAATAAAACTTCAAAATGATAAGTAGGAGAAAATACACATATTAATATGGGTTCACATGTTTATGATTAGATCTATTGTGTAACCTAAATGTACAAATACTGTATTTAAAATTTTAGTACCCCTCGGTATGAAAATATCAACATTGTATTTCGCCCTTGTGTCTATTTCGTATTACATTGCACATCCGTTAATTGTACCCCTTGTACATAATATATTGAAATGTTACCTTCAGTGCAGTTTGTTCCTGCCCTATTTGACGGACAGACACATTCGTACCCACTGTTCCATGGAATACATAACCCAGGATCACAAGGATTGGGGTTGCACTGTGAAACAACGCCTGAAAGAAATATATTAATGTGTATGATGAAATATACCGGAAGTTGACTTGGTTCATGCGTTTCAAAATGTGACGCCATTTTGTATTACGTTTACCTTTAGTTTCCGTCTTACAGAAATGGCTATCGTATCATATACCAGTTTTTTCATGAAATATATTGATTTTCTTCATTCTTAATCGATTATATTTTTGCGAAGATATTTTAGTTTTCCAGGATCAAGGACTGGATTTAGTTTGTATGGAATTTCCGCTCACTTAATCATGTTAATAAAATAAAAATGATAATATGTCTTACCTCCAAATAAGCAAACAATTATAAATACTTTAAACATCCTCGGTCTTGGTATTTTTTGGATCTGAAAAAATATTGATATATAGTTTTATATTATGCATGATGATTATTCCTAGCTATAAATTGTTACCCATTTTTAGATTGACTTTAAGTTAAACATATGTGGTAACTTTTCCACCGAGAACATATTAATGATCAACTAAAATATAAAGTTTTCATTCAAAAGATGCTTCCATATTTTAAAATTTATAAATTAAGTAATTAAAACTAAATGAAAAGAATAAATAACTTATAAACACTCACCAAGGTATTTCCAATGTTACTGGAAACGTTCAAAAGCATACGAAGATACACTCATCGGGTTATAATAGGATCTTCCTAAATCCATCTTATTTCCTAATTCCGTATAAAATACGCCCAAGCTTCAATAATACTTACGCAAAGCCACAAAAACAAGGGCTAGTAAAACATAAGTGACCGTCTGGATATTTCCCGGGGATTTGCATCAAACTGTAAATGCACTGACCTTGCATCCACAATCAAATATTGATTTGTAAGAAACAAGCACGGAGATGAGGGGAAGTCGAAGATGGCCGAATAATTTTTAACCCTAACTCTAAATAAGATCGGAAGTTCGCTCGGCCATTTCCTGTTGTATGACATCGGTGCTCTCCCTTTTGTAATTTCTTAAGTGTTTGGTTACTTCTGTGACTGACTTTATCAAGTGGTCCTAAAGGAGACTTCAGGTTATTTTCCAAACTTATGAAAGGAAGTACAGTATACACTGAAACACGGATAATAGATTTGTTCTACAACCATGAAATAATTTGAAGATAAATCCGACAAAGGTCATGATGACATTATATCTAACATATTTTATTACATCCAGAAAAGTTAGACATTTCTCCAAACTTTTCTGTTTATTTTTCACATTTCTCAATTTATGAATCACTGTTACCAGAGGCTAACTGTTAGATAATCCTATTTGGTTAATTTACATATAATCATCATTTTGGACCGATTCTACATTGTAAATATAAAAGGCCCCCATAAAAGATAAAAAATATTTGATGTTACAAATAATCCGGGAAATAATAAAGATCATCAAAGATTAATTTTTAAACCAATATTAATATGTGAGCAGTAATTGGACGACCAAATCTAGATTTATTTTGTTATGAAATTACACAGCAATGGCAAGATAAACCACAAGATTTTGCCCGATTTGGTATCAAATCCGCAGATTGATTTGTTTTGAATAGACCCACGACATCTTTTTTTAATTTACAAATCTCAATGCTTTTACCTAGTTACTTATTGGTTGACAGTGTTGCCATGGAAGCATAGGTCTATATCTGTTTTGGTAACCAAATACGTCATATAGTAAGATACATTGTGCATATGACGTCAGTACTAAACTATGTGACGCCGAGTGTAGTTGCCGCGGAGATAAATGTTTCTAAAACAATAACAAAACAATAATAAAACGAAATAGATTTTGCAATATGTGAACTGGATAATGATATCAGCTGCAATATAGAAAAATGGTTGGTCCTGCAAGGGCCGGAGGTGCCGGGCGGGGTCGCCCTATAAAGGGCACGACAAAGAAACCCCACATCACACAAATGTCAATGGATTTTAAACCACCAGTTGCTCCAGATTTAACACTTCAAGCTGAGAAAGTATCTAACACAAATATAAGCCACGAATTGACTTTGGAAATGCCATACAAAAGGCACGGGAAGTCGATCATCCACACGGAGATGGAAACTATTACAACACGAATGACAATGGTAGGTAGCCTAGTTGATGCAAAAAGCATTTTCATTAATTTTATAGCATAATTATCTTAAATACTAAATTTTAGGACCAGAACATTGTTTCCGTCCTTTCGACTACTGAACTACATTTTTGGGGAGATGTTTGGCATGGCTGTTGATATTTCATGGGCATATTCAGCAGCATTTTCATATTAATCTTATTTGCCAACATTGGTATACTTTTAAATTTTCATATTCCATACTCCGCTAATAGTATGCCACACCTTTTAAAAACCGCCATTATTTGTAAGCTTAAAATGAGTGCCTGGAAAACTATGTACAACTTACGGTAAACGACAACATCCTTTCTCACTCCAGAAAAAAACATGTTATATTTTTTACTTTTTCCAGGCGATGGATACATTTGAGACGTTATACGATCAAGATGGAGAAGGGGTAAGACTTGTTTATTTGTCTTTATTGTTTCATTTTTGTTTTAAAAGTATTGTATCCATGATTTGATTGAAAATTACCGAAGCTACATGTATATAGACATTGGTGCAATTTCGATTAAAGTAAATTTAAAATAAATGTACATGTCAACTGATTTTTCAAAAAAATTTAGATGTTCAAAAATCGTGCCTGACAATGAAGAGTATGAGAAACTAAAGAGTGCGTATGTATGTAGTGCGAAATCACTACTCACGGCCCACAATATGAATTGATGTTTTAGGATAGTCTCTTGTCAGACATCACAGACCAGGTGAATTCAATGGAAGGTGGCCAGGTAAGAGAAAGGATATAAGGCAAAGAGAATTGGCTCCCAGAATGCAATCTCGAATTGAAAAAATAGCGACTGTTTGATTTTGAATTTCGTAATCACGCCAAAAAACGAAATAATATCGAGATGGCATTTTTGGTGCCAATCCTCATTGGCTACAAGAGGAGATGACAAACTATTTTTAACTTACCTAAAAAACTAGGTTAATAAATATGTACAATAATGTAACATTTTGTAAAAATATCCTGTATGGTACAAAAAAGATTATTTATTGATTACCATTCCTATGGTTTTTATACAATCCAAATTAGTAAATAACATTAAACATTTTTAATAAAGGTAAGAATCGGTAATCAGACGGCATCAAAAATTTCCATGGCGTTTTGTTTGTTAATTTGTTCGTTTGTTTGTTTGTTTGTTTGTAGTGTAAAACCTTGCTTAGTAATGCTTGTTCATTTCAGATGAAGATTCAACTGAAATCCTTTATACAAAAGTATAGAGAGATCAGTGACAATTCTGATGCTATTCGGGAAGAAAGAGACGAAATCCTCGGATCATTAGCTGATGTACGTAAAACAGTGCTAAAGAATTATGAACGTATGAAATCCTACATGTATCATTTCGGTTTCTGATTAATAAGGGGATTTGCACTCTCGTTTTCAGTCAAACGTAACGTATTCAGTACCGTGGCGTATTCATGTGAATCAAATAATACATATATTAGTTCCAATAAAACGTTAAAGATACCCGTGGCTTAAAACTTCTCGGAATTCTCTTAGCAAAAAGCTACATAAATCTTACCAGGGTAATGCAGCTTAGAATCAAATGATTTTGTACAAAAACACCTCATGACAAGGAACACAAATTTTATTTCATAAGTTGTTTGGGAATCTTTAATGCTTTCCGTTTTCTTTACATTTTAGTGGTTTTCTACACAAGGACTCGAGCGGGTAAGAACTTAAACATTATATACGATCCGTGATCATTCCTGAAATCAATAATTGAATATGACTCCATATCTCCAATCCTATCCATATTTTAAAGAAATGGTTTATGTATCATTTAATCGTCCGATATATTCAAGAGACACCTACAGTATTGTTCTTTATTTCTAGGAATTTACAACTTTGTCTTTTGATGAAGAAACAGAAAATGAAAATGACAAATCTCTAAGGTAATGTATGTTTTAAAAGAATATAAGAAATTGAAATAGTTCACTATAATATTCATACACGTTGGTCCAACTCCGATTCATTCATTCTCGTGTAGTTTTACCATTCTGAGTGATTTTGGGCCAACGTTGTCAAATATGAACTCCCCTGGATTTTTTTAAGTGAACTCCCCCCCCCCCCCCCCCCCCCTAGGTAATAGCTGGCTACGGACCTGCTACTTATAGTTCGTATGTAGTATTATATTTTGCATTTTATTGTCATCTTTTCAGAGAAAGTTTGATATCATCAAAACTTGGTTTTGAAAAGCTCAAGCGTTTAAAACAGGAGATAGACGGAATAAAAGCACGCGGTGGAAATTCCAGAGATCTAGAGAGGTAATATATAGATTATTTAATGGGAGTGATTGGATATGAATTTTATTCACAGTGAAAATATGATATAATTGGCCAAGAAAAATACCATATTGACCGAAGACGATGGCCTACATGTTTTTATGGAAACACTTTCAGTGACATTTGGTCATACCAAACCTCTTAATCCCACTCTACGCGTGTGTATACACTTTTGCCCTTTGTATAAAGGAGATCTCCCTATGATTTCTTTGGTCAAAATAAAAATAAATCACTATTATAATGCATACGTTAAATAAATCCATTCTCTAATTTTCAGAGAAAAAAACAAATTGGAAAAGAATGTTATAAACCAGTTCAAGAATTTCCAAAAACGTAAGTTTTGTAAGAGGTGGGATGGACGGAGACCTTTATTCTTGATAATAATCTCGACACTCTTAGAATGGATGATGAAGTTTCCGAATAACTATATTTCATATTGTGTAATAAACCTATTTCAAAAATTTTCAATACACGTGCTCATAACGCAAGCTCAGAAAATAATATTTTTTCTAATCAGAATTTAGTTTTGATGAAATATCACAGATAACAAATGCATTAATGCTGCGAAGAAAAACACGCGTACTTTGTCACAATACACTATTTTTGCCATTGCGTGTTAATACGTGTAATGATTAGTTGTGGGCTCGAGAATAAGATGTGATTTGATATAACAATTAAAAATTTTAATCAGTTTGGACTCATTATCTTAAGTAACGTGATCTATTTAATATTTTGAGCTTGAACTGTCATATAAAATTATTAGCTGTGCGTTGTATTAGTATCGCTTTTTTGATGCCAGAGAAACAGGAGAGAGTAGTGAGTGAGGAATCGGGGGCGGATGATGCTTGGAAGCATGCTGCGGGAGAGATATGTGAACTACTCAAGAAAGTACGTGTCAAGGCAACTGGTGGTAAGTATGGAAGGGGGGGGGGTGATGCTCCCGTATAACTCCCATGTGCACATAACAAATGATTTTGTTCTTTAATATACAGTATCCACCCATATTACTACCGTTTAACATATAAACCTTTTGGTGCAGCAACGACATGCGCACAAAACCCAATTTGAAGATTGACAAAACTATGAGCCTCTAGTTGAAGGAAGGTTACTTACCCTTCGCGTAGAGTCTAGTCATAGACGGAGCTCTCTTTTTTGAAGTCGAACAAACGCAAAGGGTACCTTATATTATCACTCTACTATACCTTGCATTTGGCTTTCATGAGCAACCCATTTGGCGTATTAGTAATGATTATATATTTGTTATTATTTGTCTGTTCCTTATTAATGGTTTATCGGTTGAAAGTTAGATGTTGATAAGGTACTTTCAAAAATATACTAAACAATCCAATTAGACAAACAAAGTATCTTATGCATTTCTAGGTGTTAGGTATAGTAGTGTGATTATAGAACTATAAAAGTGTGTCCTTATCCCTACAGATGTCGAGGTACTGCATCAAGAGCTTGAAAGGCTACTGAAGCATGTGGAACAACAAGTACACGTCGTCGCTAAGCTGAAGGCACAAATTAAAGAGAAAGACGCAGTAAGCACTAGATGCTGTCTACATTAGTATATATGATCTATCAAGGTTCAAAAGTGATGTCAAAGTAGAAAAAATGATGCTACGGTAGCAATGTGATGTTAAATTCAGGCTCCAGTAAATTCGTTTGGCACATTTCGGACAATTCTGAAATTGACCATACTTCTGAGATTACGTTTGTGAAATGTTGTACATCGATTTCCGGGAACTCAGTAATAAATTTATAGAAAAAGGAACGATGTTTGTTTTAGGTATAAACCATATTTGAGTGTTATGTTTTACATAACAGATAGATTTCACGTCGAGCTCAAACCTAGTCTCCATGTTGTATCATTTTGCATTGTAGATCGCGTCGAGTTATGCTGACGAGAATATGTTACTCACAAAAGATATAACAGATCTGACCGCAAAGCTGACGAGGCTGAAGACAGAATACAAGAAGATGCGAATGGTAATGTATTAATGAAACATTTCCGGGCGAATTTTTGTACTCGCCACGTCTTGCCATAGACTCCATAGATATCTGGAGATCTACGACACAACATCTAATTGAGCGAAACAACATTTTTTAAAGATGTCATCAAATTTGCCCCCTGTTTATTTAATCAATTTTGAAACAAGCATAAGTTTGAATTCAAAGGATGGGTATCGATATGGTGAACATTTTGAACACACGTTTCTTAAACCAGTCATCAAAAATTCTGAAAATTGTACACATCGTCAATTAAATGATGGCATCCTTTGAATGGTGACAATATTATTTGAAATGAATATACGAGTATGTATACTTTTTCTATATTGTTTTAGAAAACACACTGGTTGTTCTTGGTATCATATGTTCGGAATGAAATGAAACATCTCTCCGAACCTCATTGGAACAAAATGACATAAACACGATGTGTTTAGGTCTCTCAATATTGTAATCGTACAAAGAAAAGTTTGGTTGATTTAATGAAATTAAAAAGGAACAAAAAACAATTGCACTAAAAAACAAAAAATGTTAACAAAAACAGTTATATAAAATATATATAAATAATTTTCGCATCATATTGTTGTAAATCAGTCACAATTATGTGAAGGACCTATTTTATACAGAAGGTTTTCAATAATATTGGTTTAAGCGAAAAACATTGTTGAACTCAGAACGCATTTCACTATTTAAGAAATATAGACCGGAGAGCAGGGCTAAGCACAAACTTTTTATGTACCCTGAACAACCGAAGAGAATGAGGGGGTTCGAGGGCTTTTGTGCCTAGCCCTGAGGGGTGTATTCGTCGATATTACACATGTTCTGAGGTCTTTATTACGATTCGAACATGTAAACTCACCAAGATTTTTCGAATATTCATTTAATGGTCCGCCATGGGTAAGCTTAGAGTTGACGAATATACCCCGGGTGAAATGTTGACTTTGTTCACAGTTTATAGAAGGCGTGAATTACTAAATACAGTCATGTTCGAATATGCAACACTGCTCTGATCGATTGTAGACTCAACAGCAACAGAAGTACCAAGCGGCAGCACAATCACCCCAGGACGACTCTGATACAGTTGCTATTGAACAGGACGGCTATGATGATGACGACACCACAAATACCAGATCTACATCAATAGTAGGTTCAATACAACTGATCCAAGGACATCTTTTTGTCTTAAAGGGTTCCGATTAGCATCCCGTATAAAAACAATATGGCGGCTCCAGGCGAATCAACTGGATCAGTCCATTTTTAAGAAATTAGGGGAGTTCTGTAAAATCCAGTTTATTGAAATTGTCTTTGAGATAAAGTAATCCGTTTATAATGATTTTGAAAACGTTATCCAAAGAGTGATTGCGTTCAAAGAATACATGTACAACAGCCAATATAAATCCTTGTATTAGAAACCGGTTTGTCTTGCTTTGTTTCATTTGTAGGATATTTCATATGCCAAGCTGTGTGCTATTACGTTATGGGGAAATTTATATGCCAATTTTTCCTTATTATACACAAATAGAAGATCCTGAAACTTCACCCATAAATGTGGAATTGATTTGTCAAAATAAAAATCACCCTTTTATAAATGTGTGACGATCTATAATATACTTATGCTATATAACAGTTAGAGGTGTTGACACAACGACCTCGAACCTGTGAACCCTTGAGTATTATTCCGGGATCGGGCCTTTTATACTAAACGGTGAGCAACACCAGAAACGAGCGTTCGATTTGCTAAACGATATGCGTCACCCTTTAAAGTTGCTAATAATGTTCGCTTTGGCAACTTTTTGTAAAGTATTTGTATTGAAATGTACTTGGAAATAAAAGCAACAACAACAACAACAAAACTTTCGAATGGAACGTACACACCCCTACATACGTTTGGCAACCGGGAATCCTCTTTAAAGTTGAATCTTTTTTTCTTCAATTATAATTATGTCCTGCATTGCATTGATACATTCTGAAAATCACTTGAACATATGGTCAAAAATATAGCCTATGATAAGATTTAGCCTGGTTACCCTGTTCTTTTTTAAGCTCACTTCGTCGGATAGATACCAATAAAGATTTTATTCTCTCAGTTAGTATTCTCTCATTCACTGCTTGTCAACACATACCTGGACGATCGCTTTGTTTCAGATATCAACTGGGGGAGATTCCACCGTGTTGAAGGCGAAATTGAGAGATTTCCAGCGACAGCTCGACCATATGAAAAAAGAGCGTTTAGAACTTGACCAAGAATTACACGACACAAAGGGAAAGCTAGCGGAGAGTGAAATAGTTGTAGATACGTTAGAACATGCAAAGAAAGACCTACTTCAGCAACTAATGGCGGCTTCCAAACCATCTACAACTATCCGATTTAGGTTGGTGGAAAATTCACAAATATCGGAGATTATTTTGCTAAAAATTAGGGCTTGTATTCCCCATTTTCCGATACAGTGAAATTAAAAATATAGGTGTCACTTTGTAATTGTATTTTTATAATTGTTTTAATTCAAATAATAAGAATACAACGTATGATCATTCTTAATTTCAAAAATGTGTTGCTTTTTGTAAAGGAAGAAACACTTTCATTGTTGTTGTTGCTTTTTGTAAAGGAAGAAACACTTTCATTTCAAATTCGTTTTTTCTTTTCTTTTTAGTGAACGCGTAGAAGGAAGTCACGTGTCATTGCACTCTAAACCCTCCACTCATATGTGCGCAAAATGTCACGTGGTCGTCAAACAGAGGGAGGCTTCCATGCACGCGACAAAACGGGTTTGTTTGTTTGTTTGTTTTGTTTGTTTGTGGAACGCTGGGCCCTTGTTTACCAAATGGAGAAAGAATAATAAACAATAGCGAATTTGCGTTGCCATATATGGAGTTGAAATGATACCAATATCTTATCTATGAAAAAATGTTATGTTCATATTTTGGACTTTGAGAACATGCTGAGAATCTATGACTATTCTACAAAAATATCTAGAAAGTTATTCCAAAATTAGAGAGTTGCATTTTTGTAGATCACGGTCACCCCATCACCTAGTAAATCCGACTCACCGCCAGTCAGGATACCAACTCCAGTGTCCTCTGATGCTCCAGAATCTATTTCGCTACAATGCGACCAATACAGGGAACAACTCCAAGCAATGCAAGCAAATGTGGAACGCTTGGAGGCTGAGCTCGGGTTAGCACGGTCCGACCAGCGCAGGTTTGGTTTTGAACATATTTTTGAATTTTGCCTCCACCGGTTATCAATTGAAACTAATGTTGCAATGGTAACCGATTAATTTTTTGGAAAACTCTAAGGAAACTATATGAAACATGAAACGTTAAAAACTATTTCCAATCTGTTTGTATAATTTAATGAGAATTAATTCAGTGTGAGTGGAGTAGGGGTTACGGTCGAGACACGAGCCATTTCCATGGTAACCTTTGAACTATTTAATAATTACTTTTATTACACAGTGACAATCTGGAGACGAGAGCCCCATACCCTACCCCTGTTGCTACTGCCGAGGCACGTGTTAAGATGGTAACCACTGGGATGCAGACAGAATGTATAATGACCAACTTGGAAATGGAAATGAAGCAGACAAAGGTTTTATGTTTTAGCATATTTACAAAATATAATAACACGGACCTCTGCCAGATTACCTCTTCTTGGTAGTTGTCTAGGCTCAATAAATATACTTTGGGGCTGGATCTGGCTCCGGATCTGTGTTATGAAACATAAAATGGGGGCTCAGAATAAAAAACAAAATGGTTATTACCTGCATGTGAAGATGAACGAGGTAAAGAGACATTATAGTATATATATCTAGTTAATACATGAAGAATAAAGTAATATGCAATTTTCTTCATACAAGAATTCAATGAGAAGGAATTGTTGAAATATGAGTCAATGAACCACCCCTTACCCTAAAAATTGATATTTCACTAATGCAGATGCAACATCCGGGAGAGATGAGCAAACACATTGACAAGAGTGCCCCTGTCAGTAAAGAAGAAATAAAGACAAGTGCCGAGAAGAACCTAGTGTCCCTTCAGCTAGTAGAATCCAGTCATCATATCATCGCAGGCCATGGGGTGAAGAGTAGGGGTGTACAGACTGACCCTGCTAGTGATCCATTAGGCGCCTGGGGCGGAGTGAGTGTTTACTATTATATATTTGACAAGGCCGACCATATCTAAGGAGAACACCATCACTATGTCGACGACATTGACTTGGTAGAGGCTTTTACGTACTGTTGTACAACTTGCAGAGTACACGTACACGCACAAGGCTTAAAGTTTTTTTTGCGTTTTCGAAATTTATCAAATGACATGTGGAGAGATCATTCTCTCAAAACCTTGCTCATCAATACATTTATCTATTATTTTCCAACAGGGTGTGCAGCGAACAATCAGCACACTAAACTACTACCCACCAGTCCCACCAGCCAATTGGGTCAAGTTCGACCCGACACATCCTATCTCCAAACAGCCGCAGAGATCTCTGGCTAACGCCATGCTGCAGGGGGTGGAGCCTGATGAAGTACAGAGAGACGTGCAACTTTCTGCATCTTCCTTGGAGAGAGAGGTACAATGAAGTGTAAATTTGAATATGGGGTCAGTTTTTGGAGCAGTTGCAACTAAGATTTGGTCGAAATTCATTGTTCATCAAAAAGTACACAATAGTTTTCTCAGAATCTTGAGTTAAGATTTTGTATATGTCAAATGTATTTCTACAATCAGCACAATAGAAACATATGAAATTGCAATTGTTTATAAGTCAACATTATCGGGAATCGAAACGATGTTAATGAAAATGAAAAAGAGCAGAACGTACTGATGGGCGGAAGGAGTAATTTCCTAGATCACGTCGAACTTCATTCGTTGGGATAATAAGTCAGTTAACCTTATTTACGAAAAATAGGGCAAGATTAATTGCAATTCCAAAACGTGACAGCAAGGTAGTCAACGTCGAAAGTCAAATGCCATTCACACTTCTAGGGAAGGTGTGTCCGATTTCAACCAATCAGAACCGGTCATTTTAAGTAACTTCATATCTTTTAGGTGATATTGTAGAAAATATTTGCAATGTGTGAAAAGAATCCAAGCCCAAGATCCGATGCATTGTGGCTGATTCATTCTACTCAGACGTTGTTTCCTACACTTTGCACTCAATGCTACACATCCCGTGCAAAGTTTGAAACAACTCCAAAGAGGAATGATCGGTCCAAAAATGCACTGACTTTAGGGCAGACATCCCACTTGTTTCTATTTCCAGTTGAACAGAATGACCAGTGGCATCAAAGGGTTCCTACAATACACCCTTGAAATAATCCAATCCCAAGTGTGTGCCATGGCAACATCAAACAACAAGCTTCGGTCTCACATAGCAACCAAGAAACAACACCTATTGGGAGATAGTGGTTGCCTTAGTGAGCAGTGGGTCAACAAATTAAAGGAAGAGGTAGCAATGGGAGGTGGTGCAGCCATAGATATTCTGACTAACATACAACGGATCTTTTCCAGTGCTCTCAGTGAACAGGTTGGGCATCCTAAAATAACACTGATTAAAAAGCCATATATGGTTAAAACTGGTTAATGACAAACTTATACACAATTTTGTTGCATCCATTTTGTTCCCATAACGATAGTCATGGGCACGGATAATTCCACAGGTAAAACCAAAGTGACTAAGATGGTTTGTGAATAGAACTATTATGTTAGGTAGTTCATTCATTAAGTTGAAACTTCTCTTGATCTATCAAGGTCATTTTTATTTGCTTCACGATGGATTTGAACATTTTCACATTGTTTTATTATTACTTCAGCACAGCACATATGCGTCAATATTTAATGTGAGCCAGAAAGAAAGATTTTCTGTTGGACCAAAACGTTCAAGATCTCATGGGAGTTTAGAGGTAAGCTACAAAATGTATAACACTGGGCCTACCTTAATTGGGTTTATTTCTGTAGTTAACAACATATGAGTTACCATAGCAACCTTAACTATTGACCAAATAAATTACAGTTGACAATTTATTTTGTTTTCATGTCAACGTATTGTTTTCCCGGGGGGGTCAAACCCCGGGATTGTATTGTTCAGTTTGTCAAAAACTGTTCAGAATGGTGTAACATTTTGACATTCTGACAATTCTTACGAGAACTGAATCGAGGGTCTGCAGAGAGGGAGAATGAATGAAACTCCTGCCAGGAGAATGAACTCACTACGGTTGGATTAACATGTAACATTGATTTGATTACTACCGACATAGCCAACGCAATTAATAGTCTGCTATTAGAATTCTATTGAATGATATAAAAATATTGATACTTCCAGTTCATGTATAATTACTTTCTTTCATTGACTAGTTATTCAATCTCTACATTGATTCTTCATTATAAAATTATAAGTTAGCTTTTTGGAATTATTTTTTTTCTTATTCTGACAAATCAATAAAAACTAATAAAACGAATACCAAATAGGACTGATATTTAATATAATAGAACTGATATTTGATATGCTAGGACTGATATTTGATTTGCTAGGACTGATATTTAATATAATAGGACTGATATTTAATACAATATGACTCATATTCAATATGATAGGACTAATATTTATTATAATAGAACTGATATTTGATATACTAGGACTGATATTTAATATAATAGGACTGATATTTAATACAATATGACTCATATTCAATATGATAGGACTGATATTTAATACAATAGGACTGATATTTAATAGAATATGACTCATATTCAATATGATAGGACTGATATTTAATACATAAATGTACTTTAAAATCTCCTTTGACTCTTGAAGTGTATAAATGACATAAATAATTAATTGGTTTTCAGTTTTAACCTTGGTGTGTATACCTTAGAAAGTTAATTACCATTTCTCGTGCCAATAGCAGTTAATAATATCTTACAAATAATTCCATATCCAAGAAACTGATGAATCCCAATCTTCCCTTTTTTAATTGTGGAATTTCTTTTTTTCAAAATCTCATCTTTAAGATACATAATGAAGTTCCATAGATATATAATTAGGTTGGTATAATTAGGTATTTCATTTTTACTTATGGAGAACAGACATTTGTTCGAGGACTTATCAGGGAAACTAAGGGAACAGAAATATATTGGTTGATCATTAAATTATTTATGAATGACCGGCTTTTATATTGTTCTGGGTTGCTTGGCTAGTGATATACATACAGTGAAATGCAGTGATATACCAGGTACTCTTGAAAGCCCATGAAATAAGTCAGATTGGTATAGACACAAAAGATGGATTATACTCTATATGTTTTTGATATGTATATCTTGAAAATCTTGAAATATATGCAAGAGAGCAGTAAAGAGCAATTGTAGGAGAAATCATGGCTACTTAGTATTAGTACGTCATCTTGTGTGACTTTATATGGTATCATATTGATCTCTCTGGAATTTGAAGGGCAGTGTAGTTTGAGTAATGGACACAAATGAAACATTAAAAACATGAAAACATACTACATGCTTTAACATATGGAGAATGTACAACCATTCTATTATGTACAGTAGTCAAATGATAAGGTGATACGAGCAAATCACTTTTTAATAATTGAATAAATGAAAAATAATTGATCATGGATTCAATTGGATCCTAATTGGAGTTTGATCAAAAATCTTGTCATGATAAATGGACTTTTAAGCCATGATTACAATAAAAAGGAAAACGAGATCAAAGAATTATAGAAATGCAGGAACGCAGGTAAAGATTTCAGCCAAGAGGTAGATATACTCAAATATCAATTGGCTTGAGAATCAATCAGGCTGCAGGATTTTTTATACCTCAATATTATACCTCAAGTACTGTACTTGCAAAGAATAAGAAACAATTTTGTTACAAATTGCTAGCAGTGCTAAATTAGCAAAAAGCTATTTCTGTGTACTGTAAATCTTTATTTTAAGAAATGAAGAATAGAACCTGATTAATTTCTAAAAATTAAGAATTGAACCTAATTATTATTTTAGAAATGAAGAATTGAACCTAATTAATTTCTAAAAATGATGAGCTGAACCTGATCATTTTCTTCTGCCATAAAGAGTACAAAGTATCAATGTCAAACAGTTTATATAAGTAAGCCATTAAATCAATAAACTATTAAGATTATCCTCATGTTAATAAATATTTCAACAAGGACATAAACAAATAAAGGCTGTGGAAAATCATTACATATATTGAATTGAATATGAAATTACCTGAGATATGAATCTTGGAATAGGATATACTCTTCATTATTTAAAACCTATGATTACTGGATAGTCATTATGAATAAAGTAAGTAACATAATCATATTTTAACCTGGCTGAAATAAGGAGAGTCTTCTCCTTCAGGAGACAATGGGAATGACTTGACAACAATCAACTGTTATCACATACCTTAAAATAGATCAGAATGGAAAACCTTTAGTACCTCTGGAAGTATTCCACTTGAGAAGCATTCCACTTACACAGGTCCATTGACTACAGGTCATGGTACTCGGAAAAGTGTTCCACTTATCTATTTACAAGGGTGTTCCACATATCAGCTACTTATTGAAGTGTGCTACATGACAATTTTTATTGTACCTTGAAAATCTAAATTGAAAACGAAATTCATGTCCATCTTTATTTTCATATAAGATTAATTTCAAAATTAAGAATTCTAAATCAATTTCAGGTGAATGAAGACAGTAACTCACTTAGGGCTGAGAGCATACAAGACACAAACAGGTCTTCTACAATACCAGTGAGAGTACGAAGCTCCCAGTCAGCTGGTCTCACAATTGAGGTATTTAGAATGGATTGTACTGAAATAGTCTCATCATTTTCTACCATGTTGTGTTTTTGAACGAATAGGGAGATTAAGCTTCACATTTTCAGAGACTTGTAGACTTATGGTCCTTTAAGGATTTGTTCTTCAATTCCTAGTATTTATTTGCCCAGTTGAGTTTAAAGGTACGCGTATGAGGAAAATAGCGAGAGGGGGACAAGAGTAATACCATCCCCAATCCACACTCTAAAATCATCGTTTGGTCGTAAAAAACCATTCTAGTAATATGTCGTTTATTATCGCCTAGTGCTCCATATTGAAATATAATAGTCAAATAAATGGAAGCTTTGTTGTTGTTGATGTTTAATAATGCAAAATATGGTTTATAGGGCTCTGATTATTATATTGTAGCATGCTGGTTCACATACGGATACAATGGTAGGGCCAAGAGCACAGATGAAGGTACCAACAGCGCAGCTACCAAAAAGTGGCGACATCAAATTAACATCTGTCAACATGGATGCAGGAAGTCTATTCCTTGGTAAACAGTTGCATTTTCTTATGGACAAATGGGATCTAAAGTCTATTTCGAACTTCGATTTTTTCTGATTGTTTTGATGATAAAATAGATTACTATTGCCATTTTACTTTCTTGATAACATACTAGAACCCTTACCCTTAAATTCACACAGTTTGATTTAGTGTTTTTCATGAAAATTTTTTAACAAAGATAAAATCTACAAAAATAACCTTATGAGACTGACTTTACATATTATAGGCTCTCCAGATAAAGCCAAAAGAAAGTTCAAACCAGCTCCATTGAGCCACAAAAAGCTACAGCAGAGACAGAAAATGCTATTGGAGAAGTCAGAGTTGACTGGCAGACCCTCAGTGAACCCTCCTAAAGCCCAAACAGGGACAACACAACCCAAAATTAAACCCCAAACAGGGACAACACAAAGCCGCACTTATGACATTGATGACCCTGAACAAGTTCATTGGTCAGATCTACCAGAAGAATATTTCCAAAAGTTTAAGTTTGGTGAATGGCAGAAAACAATATTTGATATATCTGTAAGTATTAGAAGTAAGTAAATGCAAGAACATTGAGTGGTTCATTCAGATTTCAAACAGGCATGATATTCTTAGTATAAAAAATGGTGGTTATTAAAATATGTCAACACTGCTTGATGGTGCCATAAAATGGTACATCTGAGCAGTCGTATACTCCACATGTATTATATGTACAATAATCTGAAGGAAAATCTTTGATATGGGCTTTTTATGAAATCGGATCATGCATTTATGAACAAAGGCAAGTTAATTTATTTTTAAATTTGCAACTGTGCATTTTATTTTTCATCAAAATCTGTGAACAATTATTTAACATTTTTCAAATTCTGTACTTAAATAGTGTTTCAGATACCACAAGTCAAATTAATATTCTCAACTCAGCATTATGCACAGCATTGAAAATATTTTCTCCAAATCATAATAAATATTTTACATTTTCTGGTGCTGTGCATAAGAGTGAGCAATATATTTCTTAAATTACGAGATAGCATATTATGAACAAATGGCCTTACAGGTCAATGCTCAAGAACATTAATTATTTTACATTAATGTGCAGTATATTGCTACAAGCTCAAGGTATATTTCTTTCTCTAACAACCTCCTGAAACATTGTGTGGGAAATATCTTGAACTTTTATATTGCCAGCTAATGTTTGACATTAGAGGGGACAAACCTAGCACTATAAAGCATTATTGTTTTTGAAAAGTAAAAGATGCTAGACTTCTCCATCTTCGTTCACTCGGCTCCCGTCGGATGAACGCAGTGAAGACCGAGCGTGCGAAGATGAGACTTTTCAATAATTTGGTCATTGACAACCCAGCAATAAAATACATCATTAGAAACATATTCAATAAATTTATCGAAATGGGACAACCCTTGCACATATAGAGTGCATGCACCTCCTATAATTTCTAAAATGCTTTTGCTTTTCTTTTCAAGTTCTAATACAGGGTGTCCAAATTTTTTATCAAGACACAAGAAATTACTCATCAGTGATGAAGGAATATTGATAGAGCATAATTTTCATCTAAAATCAAATATCTCAGTAAGAAGTTTACAAAATGAATATTTTTAACTGCTAATTGGAAAATGAATTCTCTTCATCATGTAAAAAGTTCAGCTTTTTCAAAGAAGGAAAAAATGGTTATTCCTGTTTCAGTTTGATATTTGTTTGGGACACCCAGTATTTACAGAAAAGAGGGTCTGTAGAAAAATGTTATATCCATTTACTGTCAGTCAACTTAATTTAGCGTTTTACTAGTTATTTGGTGAATTACAAAAATTCGCCAATTCATGTCGAAATCCCCGGGAAATTCTCGTCCAGTAGTGTAATTTATGTTTCGGAAAAATGGTTTACCATGGTTCAAATGTTCAAGATCTGATTTATTATTCATTAGGCGGGCGTAATGTGCAGCAGACTGATGAACTTCATTCTCCAAACCGAGATTAGTCTTTTGCCAAATTAAATCTCCGCAAATTTTCCAATTTTGCCCAATTCACCAAACTAAATCACAGCGAATTAAGTTGACAAACAGTAAGTCTTAAACGATCAAATATTGAGAAGTACACTACATACCATACATATACATGTAAAGGTGAATTACATTCCCTTATTTTATTAACTAGCTACTATAAGCAAAAGCCTTAACTATAAAAACAACAAAAAACTTTAGAGCATACAATATATACAGAACAAATAATAAGTAAGTAAATTACTAAACGATGTGTGTATCACACAAATTAATCAACACTACAAATATATAGTAGTACTTAACTAGTATTTCATTGGAAAATATTATCAATCTCTTGAACACCAAGAGTATCCAGAAAAACTAAAAAATTACAAAAGTTTATTTTAATTTTAACGAAAATCTAATATCTGGCATTTAAGTGATTAATTAACAAATTAATAAATAAAAAATATTTCAATATCAATGTAACTTTTCATATATGTAAATCTTGCATGTAAAACATGTTAATTTATCTTGCATGTTTAGTTGCCTAAATTAGATTTTGATTTTGTCAAAATTCTAAAATAGAGATTTCACCATAAAGCAAAATACCAAAAATCAGACATCATGACGACTTCTTCATTATTAACACAGGTTTTAGAGTATAGCTGTAATATACATGTAATTTCAATTAATATGGGTGGGTTATACATCACCCATTTAATGCACCATGATTCAATACTTCAAAAATATTTCATAAACTTTTCCATATTTTTTTAAAGGCACAATCTGCTCACATTATGTACACTAAAAGCCTGCTTAATGCAAATACTTGGCCAATGAGAACACTTAGCTAATGAGAACACTTACCTAATTTGACTACTTACCTATGTGAACACTTAGCTAATGTGATTACTACTTGAAACAGGATATCCAGAGATTTTTGAGGGATATCATTTTTATCCATAATTGGATATCTATATCTACAATCTCCATGAGATACTAGATATATGTATGTATTAGGTGAATCTTATCATATGAGACAAAATGAGACAGAAATCTATCTCTAGTCGGTCTACTGCTCAATTCTGAATTCTGACCGTCATGTTATTTCTAATACACAGTGAAATACCCAGTTGGACCAGAATAAAATTCACTGAGCACTGGGTTCTATTGGTCATTTGCACCCCATTCTACAGGTTTAGATTAGTATTCACATAAACTTGCTTTATCTAATGCTGTAAAACTTACAATACTCACGGTGCAAGTCTCAGCAATGTTTTTTATTAAATGTGGTGTACTAAAACATTTTTGGAATGTTTACTAGCTAATAAGCTTATGACTAAGCATGTGTATATGAAACCATTCATTACTGAAGCTTAATATATAGTTTTTTGGCCTATGTATCTTTTAAATACTACAGATTATACATAGATAGACATTTCAGTTTGGTGAGTTATAAATCTAAAGCTACAATCAGCATATGCCCATAGTCAGGGGAATGCTACAGTAACCCTCCTCAGGGGGAAACATTTCCAACAAGGCATTAATATGACAAAATGTCACCACCTAAAACAATTTGGTCAATTTAAAGCAAGTTGAAAAAATACCTCATTGACTTTTTTTGACATTGAGAAGGTCATTGAAGGTCAAATGTCAAATATAAAGTCAGATTTGAATTTCTGAGAACATGTAGATGATTTTGAAAAAAAAATTAAGTAAATTTGAAGCAAGTTGAAAAAAGACCTTTTTGACCTTGAAAAGGTCATTGAAGGTCAAATGTCAAATCTAAAGTCAGATTTGAACTTCTGAGAACATGTAGATGATTTTGATAAAAAATTAGTCAATTTGAAGCAAGTTGAAAAAATACCTTTTTGACCTTTTTTGACCTTGAGAAGGTCATTGAAGGTCAAATGTCAAATCTAAAGTCAGATTTGAATTTCTGAGAACATGTAGATGATTTTGAAAAAAATTTTTAGTCAATTTGAAGCAAGTTGAAAAAGACCTTTTTGACCTTTTTTTGACTTTGAGAAGGTCATTGAAGGTCAAATGTCAATTCTTAAGAAAATCTAAAGTCAGATTTGAATTTCTGAGAACACGTAGATGATTTTGAAAATTTTTTTTAGTCAATTTGAAGCAAGTTGAAAACAGACCTTTTTGACCTTTTTTGACCTTGAGAAGATCATTGAAGGTCAAATGTCAAATCTCAAATAATTGATAAGTTGAAAAAGACCTTTTTGACCTTTTTTTGACTTTGAGAAGGTCATTGAAGGTCAAATGTCAAATCTTAAGTCAAATCTAAAGACAGATTTGAATTTCTGAGAACACGTAGATGATTTTGAAAATTTTTTTTAGTCAATTTGAAGCAAGTTGAAAACAGACCTTTTTGACCTTTTTTGACCTTGAGAAGATCATTGAAGGTCAAATGTCAAATCTAAAGTCAGATTTGAAGGTCAAATGTCAAATCTAAAGTCAGATTTGAACTTCTGAGAACATGTAGATGATTTAGAAAAAAATTGAAGTCAATCCAAACAGTATTTGTTAAGTTATAGGAAGTTGTAAGAAATTGTTATAGACGCCGGACGCCAACCTCCAACCACCAACCGCCGTTGCAAAAAAAACGGAGACCATCACAATATGTCACCACTTTTGGTGGTGACATAATAAAAAATCTTCTGAGGGGGAAAGATTTCCCATAAATAGATTTTTTCCCAGAATGAATTGTGATTCGAATTGTAATCTCATCAAAGGCCATAATTTTGGAAAGATAAATAATTTAGGTTGACTTGAGGTATAATATTCTCATTGAAGTAATGCCAATATCAAACTGATGCTCCCTAGAATCTGAGAGAACTTCATGTTTCTCCTGCATTTCGATAAAATTTACGGTGTGAGGTTCAACATGTCTGTTTACTAAATATTCTTTGTTGATTCCATCCTATTTCACTCCAATTCCAAAATCATTTAAAACATGGATGATGACATTTTCGTTCAGGTTTAAAATCTAAAGCTACAGTACATTATAAAGTTTGCCTTCATCAAAAAACAATAATGGTTGAAAATCACCATTGGTAGGTGAAAATCACCATTAATGGATCAAATATCACCACTGATGGGTGAAAATCACCATGCAATAATGGGTGAAAATACCACTGGTAGGTGATAGATAATCTATGTTGACATTCTTCAGTTTATAAAATGAGCAAATTAATAAGTGGCAATTTATGATATTGCCACGGCACAACTCTTTTGTCCAGTTGCTTTACGGAATATTGTTCTAGAGTGCCAAATGCAGAAAGTACAATACTCCATTAAAGCAACTGAATTTTCATGAAACTTTCTTAATCATATTTCATATGCTAAACATTACCAATTATCTCTTGAAGCAAGTCGAAGGGATAAGGAAACAATTTGTGAGTAAATTTTGTAAAATTCTCAGCTTGACACTATTTTTTGCTTTTATGTTCTAAAAAGTCAGTCATTAATGACTTTATTTCAGGATAATCTTTCAATCTTTAAGATTAGCTGACAAAACTGAAAATGTTCTAATTCTACTTCCTTTAATGAAAAGATTTGGGAAAATGATAATGAATATACATAATAAAAACTGCTTGAAAAAGTGTTGATTAAGTTTGGCAGTGTACATGATGATCAATCAGTAAATAATTTTGAGAACCTGAATCTTGGAATCCTGGAACACCCTGTATTTATATTGCTTAATGTCTATCTTGATTTACAAGGTTTCAGTTGCTATACAACTTCATAGTCACCTTGTAAGTCAAAGAAGTTAAAGATGGCAAATTTGGCATTGTTCAGTGGAATGCATGAAATGATATTTGATATACATATAGCAACATAATTTGAGACAGCAGATTAGATGAAGCCTGGCAAACTTGGCAAATTCTGGTAAACTTCTCAAAATTCTCATCCTCGCTTGCATCAAGTCCCAGTGCCCTTTTACCCAAACACTACTTTGGGGGTATGAAATGTGTAGGGGGTGGGAGGAGAGCAGCATGAGCTTTTAGACCCTAATATTCCATATAACTAGCATTACACTTCTGTCGCATATTTTTCCAAAACACATATTCCTTATATATCTTACTTCTGAAAGTTCATATTCCATATTTTTCTACCTTTAAATGTTCCAACCCCCCTCATATTCTATAATCCATACTATTCTGCACCCCCCCCCCTCCCCCTTGATGCAAGAGTACAAACTGCACTGTGTAGTAAAGCATCTTGCTTTCCTGAATGTGATGTAAATTCAACAACGCTATTGATAAATGTTCATGTTCCTAATGTGCATTCTAACACACAAGGTAAATAAATATAAGCTCGGGATGATAAATAGCCCATAAGGCTAAATATAACACATGACTCAGATTAAGCCATTTGTAAACTTTAACATTGTTTTTGACCCAGTTGTAAACTACAAGATTTAGTTGAACAATGCCTTGCAGTCAAATCATTATGGTAACAATAGTTTCAAAACTGGACTCTCAAAAGTGTATAGAATATTTTTAGCTTCCAAATATCTGTCTCCAGTCATGATTATTCACGAAATTTCTCTCTAAAATTTGAATGAAGTATCTGATTTATTGGTATTTCTATACAATTTGGAGTGTTTACTACATGCCTGTGTATTTTATTCTTTATTTTGAAGCAGGACTCTCATTTCATTATCAGCTATAAATACTTAATCTTTGAGCAAAATCATTTCTTTGATCCTTCTTGGGAGGTTAAGGCGACCAACAGCATATATCAAATTTGGGTAAATACCCTGTAAATGGCTCCTTAGGGCACGACGTGATACATCTTTCAGACTTAAACATCTCGCAAGATATTTAGCTCGCCATTCGTTAATCAAGTTATCATGTCTCGAATCCATCGTCAATGTTGTGAAATCCGTTGTCATGCCAGCTAAAAACATCAAATGGATGACATCCAGCATTTCGTGTAAAACTACCTCGTTTTCTTGTTCTTGTTGGACCCAGCGATATGCGACGTAAAAAGTCTGGTTTGGCGGTGGCTCACCGTCTGATTGGATTATCAGACGACATATTTCCATATACGCTAAACATTTATTTGTGTCCTTCTTTGAGCAAGCCCTCAACATGGCAGAGTTAAGAGGATAGGCGAATTCTGGGGAATGTCTCGTCTTAGCACCTGCATCTAACAGCAATCTGAAACAATTAAATATTAAAAATATGATATCTATTTGATACGTTAACTCAAATGAATCACGAGGTGCTGCAATTAGGTGGCGATCATGTACAGTAATGGTGATGTCTTACAACTTTTGTGGGGTTTTCTAAAGATAAGAATTTCATTTTTTGGAACCCAAATCAATTTTCAAATAGTTTTGCTTTGACGAAATTTTAAGGTCATACCTTACACACTCTAAGAAACCTTTCTGCGCTGCTAATATCAATGGAGACACATTTGAGGTGTTTGACAGCTCAACATTGGCTCCAGAATCAATCAACAACTTCACAACCTCAATATGATCCACAAGGACTGCCAAATATAGGGCAGTCCTTCCTTTGATATCCTGCCAGTCGATAATCCCTCCATGCGCTATTATCTCAGCCACCAGATCACACTGGCCATAACTGGCTGCCGTGTGGAGCACCATTCGTTTGATCTCATCAGGGATATTCACGCTACATTGTTTGAATGTTAGTAAATACTTGGCAGCTTTAATTTGGTTGTTTATGATGGCTTTGTGTAATGGGGTCCGGTCCCATGTGTCCCGTAGGTTTAGATTGGCACGATGGGCAATGAGAAGTTTCATGCATTCTATGTGGCCATTTTGAGCTGCCAGATGCAAGGCACTGTGTTTGGAGTCATCTTGTACATTCACATTGGCCCATTCCTAAAACACATAGATAGCAAACCATAAGAGCAGATGTAAAGTTTCATGCATTCTATGTGGCCATTTTGAGCTGCCAGATGCAAGGCACTGTGTTTGGAGTCATCTTGTACATTCACATTGGCCCATTCCTAAAACACATAGATAGCAAACCATAAGACCCGATGTAAAGTTTCATGCATTCTATGTGGCCATTTTGAGCTGCCAAATGCAAGGCACTGTGTTTGGAGTCATCTTGTACATTCACATTGGCCCATTCCTAAAACACATAGATAGCAAACCATAAGAGCAGATGAGAAGTTTCATGCATTCTATGTGGCCATTTTGAGCTGCCAGATGCAAGGCACTGTGTTTGGAGTCATCTTGTACATTCACATTGGCCCATTCCTAAAACACATAGATAGCAAACCATAAGAGCAGATGTAAAGTTTCATGCATTCTATGTGGCCATTTTGAGCTGCCAGATGCAAGGCACTGTGTTTGGAGTCATCTTGTACATTCACATTGGCCCATTCCTAAAACACATGAATAGCAAACCATAAGAGCTGATGTAAAGTTTCATGCATTCTATGTGGCCATTTTGAGCTGCCAGATGCAAGGCACTGTGTTTGGAGTCATCTTGTACATTCACATTGGCCCATTCCTAAAACACATAGATAGCAAACCATAAGACCCGATGTAAAGTTTCATGCATTCTATGTGGCCATTTTGAGCTGCCAAATGCAAGGCACTGTGTTTGGAGTCATCTTGTACATTCACATTGGCCCATTCCTAAAACACATAGATAGCAAACCATAAGAGCAGATGTAAAGTTTCATGCATTCTATGTGGCCATTTTGAGCTGCCAGATGCAAGGCACTGTGTTTGGAGTCATCTTGTACATTCACATTGGCCCATTCCTAAAACACATAGATAGCAAACCATAAGAGCCAATGTAAAGTTTCATGCATTCTATGTGGCCATTTTGAGCTGCCAGATGCAAGGCACTGTGTTTGGAGTCATCTTGTACATTCACATTGGCCCATTCCTAAAACACATAGATAGCAAACCATAAGAGCCAATGTAAAGTTTCATGCATTCTATGTGGCCATTTTGAGCAGCCAGATGCAAGGCACTGTGTTTGGAGTCATCTTGTACATTCACATTGGCCCATTCCTAAAACACATGATAGCAAACCATAAGAGCCAATGTAAAGTTTCATGCATTCTATGTGGCCATTTTGAGCAGCCAAATGCAAGGCACTGTGTTTGGAGTCATCTTGTACATTCACATTGGCCCATTCCTAAAACACATAGATAGCAAACCATAAGAGCCAATGTAAAGTTTCATGCATTCTATGTGGCCATTTTGAGCTGCCAGATGCAAAGCACTGTGTTTGGAGTCATCTTGTACATTCACATTGGCCCATTCCTAAAACACATAGATAGCAAACCATAAGACCCGATGTAAAGTTTCATGCATTCTATGTGGCCATTTTGAGCTGCCAGGTGCAAGGCACTGTGTTTGGAGTCATCTTGTACGTTCACATTGGCCCATTCCTAAAACACATAGATAGCAAACCATAAGAGCCAATGTAAAGTTTCATGCATTCTATGTGGCCATTTTGAGCTGCCAGATGCAAGGCACTGTGTTTGGAGTCATCTTGTACATTCACATTGGCCCATTCCTAAAACACATAGATAGAAAACCATAAGAGCAGATGAGAAGTTTCATGCATTCTATGTGGCCATTTTGAGCTGCCAGATGCAAGGCACTGTGTTTGGAGTCATCTTGTACATTCACATTGGCCCATTCCTAAAACACATAGATAGCAAACCATAAGAGCAGATGAGAAGTTTCATGCATTCTATGTGGCCATTTTGAGCTGCCAGATGCAAGGCACTGTGTTTGGAGTCATCTTGTACATTCACATTGGCCCATTCCTAAAACACATAGATAGCAAACCATAAGAGCAGATGAGAAGTTTCATGCATTCTATGTGGCCATTTTGAGCTGCCAGATGCAAGGCACTGTGTTTGGAGTCATCTTGTACATTCACATTGGCCCATTCCTAAAACACATAGATAGAAAACCATAAGAGCAGATGAGAAGTTTCATGCATTCTATGTGGCCATTTTGAGCTGCCAGATGCAAGGCACTGTGTTTGGAGTCATCTTGTACATTCACATTGGCCCATTCCTAAAACACATAGATAGCAAACCATAAGAGCAGATGAGAAGTTTCATGCATTCTATGTGGCCATTTTGAGCTGCCAGATGCAAGGCACTGTGTTTGGAGTCATCTTGTACATTCACATTGGCCCATTCCTAAAACACATAGATAGAAAACCATAAGAGCAGATGAGAAGTTTCATGCATTCTATGTGGCCATTGTGAGCTGCCAGATGCAAGGCACTGTGTTTGGAGTCATCTTGTACATTCACATTGGCCCATTCCTAAAACACATAGATAGAAAACCATAAGAGCAGATGAGAAGTTTCATGCATTCTATGTGGCCATTTTGAGCTGCCAGATGCAAGGCACTGTGTTTGGAGTCATCTTGTACATTCACATTGGCCCATTCCTAAAACACATATATAGCAAACCATAAGAGCCAATGTAAAGTTTCATGCATTCTATGTGGCCATTTTGAGCTGCCAAATGCAAGGCACTGTGTTTGGAGTCATCTTGTACGTTCACATTGGCCCATTCCTAAAACACACAGCAAAGCATAAGAGCCGATGTAAAGTTTTAAGAGACCCATGTTAATAATTTTTTGTATATACAATCACTGTTCACAGTAGGTAGGTGTTCACTATAGGTTTGTACTTTAACATTGGAGTCAATAGGAGAAAAAGGTTTTGCCGAAACAAAATAGTTCACTGTTGATAGGTGTTCACTAGAGAGATGTGTTCATGAACACCGGTTTTACTGTATTAAGGCTGCACCAGTAATTTCCCAGTGTAACCAATTAATCATAAAATCTGAAACAAAATTAGATAAAACAAATTACAAAGAGAATTTTCTCTTAAGAATCACCATATATAATGTTGCAATATGATAAGGTTAATGTAAAGCATGCCTAAAGTATTCAAGTAAAGAGAACAAAGCAATATAGTTTATTTATATAAATAACAGATTTTTGCTTTGAAACAAGATTATTTTTGATTTCCAAACTAAGTTAAAACATCCCTAAAATCCTACCTCTAAAAGTAGGCGCATTATGGCATAATGTCCAAGTTCACTGGCAATATGTAGTGGAACAGTTCCCTGTTCATCCTTCACATCTACTGGTAGTTTGTGTGCTAATAGGTGTTTGACAGTGCCAAAGTGACCATTGCTTACAGCTTCATGTAACACTGATGGATGCTTTACTTTAGACTTGGTATTGCCCATTGTTGCATTGTATCCATCCTTTCAAGTTGATCATAATCTGTTGTTCCTTGGATCTTCTCTGCGATTTGATTGAACCTTTATATTTTATATTGTTCATAAGTTTGTCATTGTATTTGTTTACTTTGGTCCAAAGCTTTCTCTGTAAGCTAGAGACTCGAGTAAGTATTTGTTGTTTATTGCTGGATTAGTATAGTCTTTCCTAAATTGTTTTTGTTCCAGTCTCTAGTATACAGTATTGTTGCATATAGATTGTCCTGGTCTATACCGTATGTACTTGGTGGGGCTGTTGTTTGTTTCAAAGAGGTAATTGGCTATTTCTGTTTGTATCTGCCATCTGAACTGTTCCTGAGGTTTCTGAATTTTCGAAAGTTGAAGACCTTTGATCTGTTCTCTTTCGGTCTTCTATAGTTTCTGGAACATAAAAGTATAATATATTGAATTATGAATTTTTATTATATCTTTTATTGACTCTTTAGATGTCATATCATGACATATTAGTCACTAAGGTAGAGCAGTTCTTCCCATTGTTGAGTTGAAGAACTGGTATCTTTATCCTGGCTAGAACCATAGACAATTCTAGCCAGCGCCAGCCTTTTATCGAGTTAGCAGCACTCTAGTAATCGCCGGTATAGGTCAGCAGTCATAGGTCAAAGACAAATCACAAGAAGTGCTGTGACCTGGGTTTGAACCCAAGACCTCTAGTTAATCATATGCAGGACACAAAGTCATAATTATCACACTTTATTATTGAAAAATTCAATATGGCCAGCGATTCATCTTGACACTAAGTCTACTCTTGATGACAAGATTTTATGATGCCCCTATGTAAAGACTTACCAATCAGCCCACTTTGAAAAAATGAGATAAAAATGGAGACATATTACTGGCTATACATGTACCTTATTAATACTTATTCTACAAAACACAAATTTTTATGCTTTATTACGAAAAACAATTTTGATAGTAGAGTGAAACCTGTAAGATCTGAGGACCTCTCAATGTGAACATTTTTTCTCAGTCCAAAATCTTCCTTTACCTCACATGTTTAAAAATCTTGAAATGTAAAAACACATTTGGCTAGTCCCATAGGTGTTATAGGATTAGACAGATTTTACTGTACTTATAAGTAATTTAGATATTATTTGTGATTACAGGATGACATGGCTTCCCACAAGACCTATGGTGACCTAGTTGAGAGACAAATCTCCAACACAGCACTCCATTCTCCTCCCAGTGAACTAGCAGAACCACGCAACCTACCACCTATAGATGGCGCACAAAGTACAACCAAAGCTCTTCGATCATAGAGTTAAAAACTTGATCAAAACAGTCTTAATTTATTATCTTAAAACAGATTCTACAATACTATCTCAAAGTCAAGCAAAGTGTTAACTCTGCGATCTTAAAAGTTGACCAAAACAGTTCTCAACAATATTATTTGATATCTTTATACAGCCTAACATTCTGTAATCTAAATTAAAAAATAGCTGAATCTAAAATATCTCAGATCAGAATTGATAAGAACATTCAACAATAAACGCTCTACCATATCCATTTTATATATGAAAAATACACCATGTCAACTCTACACCATGTCAATTAACACTAATTTATATCAAGTATCGGCAAGCCTTATTATACTGCCATATTTCCAACACAATTCATCATATGTATTGTATGATTTCATTTAATTTCAAAAATCAAGGAATGGTAAGAAAGTATAGAGATGTTTTATATATGTATACGATAAGTGGTATTTAATCAGAGTGGTTGATTTTCCCAATGGTCTTTTACCATTTTCCTAATTTCAATTTTCCTAATGACAAGAAACTTCCCATTGGATTACATTATGAAGATAATATTTTGGACATTTAATCTTCAGAACCTGGCAAAAATTAGACAAATTAAATTAGACAAAATTACAACTTATACAGCATAACTTTTGTTGACTTGAACCTCCTTTGTAACTCTATGTTGAATGATCTTAATGGAATGATGGGAGCTTCCTCTTGTGTTATAGATTGTATGAAAATTGACATTGTAATAAGAATATTGAAATAAATAAAGATTTAAAGTAATATTCAGAATTTTTGTCTGAAAATTATGAGGAACTGCAAATATATCATTGATGGCCATACATCAGTGTTCGGATATGTCCATTTGGGAGTCATTCTCTCGCTTTAAGACAAATCTATTTTTTATATTTCTAAAATGTTGATATTACTGAATCATAACAACCCAATACAATAAATATGTGAGACCTCAACAACAAATTATTAGATATTTCATATTGATTCATCATTTATTGATATTTATATTGCATGCAATTACATTACTTTACAATTTTCTCATTTGCAAATGTGTTTTCATTGTGGTATATACATTAAAGTGACTATATAATGCACATATGACTCTATTAATGTAATATAATGTACACTAAAGTAAACTTTTATGATTGAACTGAGCCTGGACATAATTTCCCTCTAGTCCATGCTACATGTAAGTGATGCTAAGTCACTAGGAGCTGTTTTCCATATCACAGGGGCTGTACCAAATTAAGTGTGACAGTTAAATGTGTGTGGTATTTGGTACAACACAAGGTTGATGAAATTTGAGCAAACTGATGTTTTCATTGTTTCAGAAAGATCTGGTCTAGTTACTAGATATTTGTATATGTAAATGTATGTAACAATATCCTAGACAGTGAACTTTACAATGAATTTCATAATTAAACCTACACAAACTCCTAATGTAGTATACGGTATAATGCACAGGTCAATTTACCTGAGATACTGTTTAACGCAAATTCTAATTCATTGGTTGCACCTTACCAATACCCTGCAGTATACTGTATACTACATTCTGAGTTTTTTTAGACTTAGCTAAAAGATTCTTTGTCAAGTTCACTGATAGGGATTTTATTATAGACATTAACATATAAAAATACATGTATCAAGAAACCAGACCAGATCTTTCTAAAAAGATGAAAACATCTGTGTTGTACCCTTGTGTTGTATCTTACCCTGCACATTCAACTGTCATGCTTAATTTGGTACACACCCTGTGTATATCCCCAAACTTTATTTGATGGGATAATGAAGTGTTTGTACAATAAAATATAAAAAAAAGTATATACATTTTATGGTCTATTTCTTTGGATTGCCCATAAATGCTATAAGTTCCTGGTCTAATAGCCTATGCTTCAATCAATTTAGATACTAGTACCCTATAATCTGCAATAAACAGTTACACGTCAGGAAGAGTAAACAGCCTGTGAAGATTAAAGCCAGTTTACAGTAAACCCTGTAAAGTGGAACACCTCCATTTCAAAGTTTTCAGTAAAATGAATTTTTGTAGAGCACCTCCCAAATGAAACATTCTTTCTAGGTACCAAATGCATTCTATTTATACAGGGTTCACTCCTTTGAAATTTATGTGAAGGGAGCATGCACCAATACTCATGTTATTTTTCTCATACATACTCCAAAATTCTTCAAGCATGACAAAGATCTATGAAGGTTAATACATGTGTATGAAATACAGTTCAACATGTGAAGTGGAACACCTCTATAAGTAGAACACCTCTTTCCAATTACATTACTAATAAACGAAACAAGACATGCAGTGATAAATGTCTCACTTTGAAAAGCAAAATGACTGCCATGTAATTTACCAAAAGCCTAAAACCTTACCAGACCTGTTTGTCATTAATATCCTAGATGTGAGTAGAAATAATCTTGATTTACGTCATTAAAAATTCAAAATTCAGTGATGTCATATTTGAAATCTACAGTACATGTAAAATCACATCAAGAAATATGGTTTTGAAAAGAGTTTATCAACTTTGAAAATTAATTTTCTTTGAAAATGTGACTTCTAGGTCGGGGAGATTCCCCATAGCCCCCAAGTTGTAAAATCACAAAAATGGAAATATCTTATCTTGTGTTGGGCACATAATATTTTCTTTTACTGGACATATTTTAATTTGTATAACTATCAGATACATAAGGGTAATATGAAAAGTGAACCACTAAAACTGATGAACATTCAAGTTTAAGGGAATTTTGTAATACCCTGCCATGTTATTTCTCCCGAATCAGCCACCTGGTGGCGAAACTGGTAACTACCTACTCGCATCTGAGTAATTAGCAGAATGTATTTCAGGGCTTCCCAAGGTGTTGCACTTAAAAAGGTTCTACTGTAACACTTCGATAAAACACTTAAAAATTTTCTCAATATTCCATAAACATGCACATACAAGCAACATTATGAGCTATTACTAAAACCTTATGAGGGGTCTGTCAATTGGGCCCTCTATAGGCATCCCTATATATGGTAACACTCAAGTTCAAGGTCAATATCAAAACATCAATCTGAATCTAATCCATATTTTATTGCATTTATAGACCCTGTACATAAATGTTTCACCCCAATTCTCTCTCAGTTATCTCTCATTTGTGAAGGAGTAAATGAAGGTAGGGGGACATACTGGGTATGAATGCAAGTTTATCTAGGTTTCATGCAACAAGAATTTGTTTATCTGAATTATTTGTAATAATACTGTCAACCCCAGAAGAGCAAGTAAGTGACTAGATGTTAGGTCATCAGATCTCAACCCAGAAGGCTTCTGGGCTCAATGCACTGGTTTATGCTCTCCTGAAGATGACAGACACTTTAATAAATATTGCCTAAGGGGAGGCATCAAAAGTTTAATGTCTGATAGGAAACTAAATAAATCTAGTTTTGAGTTGGACCCCCCCCCCCCTCCCCTTCAAAACTAAATACAATGAAATTTGATCGCAGACTTTCACATGTTTTGCGACTCAATTTGGACATTCATGGGGGCAGTACTATAACTTATTCATGATTCATAAAACATGTGCCAACAACAATAGGCATAATATTCCATGTTGCATGAATATTTGTGAAGAAGGCATCTGGTCAAGTCTTTATTTTTAAACCATTCAAAGGCATTTCGAGTCGAAATTCCAAGAAATTCAAATGTTGAAATTTGTCAGATAGCAAACTGAAATAGCTTTGACCCCCTCCCCCAAACTAGATTTATTTAGTTTTCTATCAGACATTGATCTTTTGATGCCTCCCCTAACACACAATATATTGTTGCCACTTTCAGGTGATCATCATGACTCTTGTTGACTTAAATTCCATGCTGACTTTACTTTATTTTTCATTTTAAAACATCATGTTATATTTTTTATTGGCTTTCAACATTTATTTTTTCTCCTTTTTCTTTTTCATAGCTATATAATCCTTCCTCAGAGCACTCGGCCTCATTTCAAGTATGTTGTTAATTTTCTCAACAATCTCCAAGGCAACTGGGGCGTCAGCCTGGAAGTCATGATGCTTAAGGTCATGATGGCCTGACTCCCCTTGATAAATCAACTTAAACATGCCACGCTTCTCATCAGTGAACTCACAAGATGCGACATCATCACAATCATGAGTCACTGCGCGTTGTTTAAAAAATTTTGCCGCACCCTTTTGCGACACTGGATCAATTTCAATTTTCTCTCCAGAAATCCCTAACTGGAGCTCAGTGATGCCTCTAAATTTGTTCGCCATAGTAACGAGGTAAGATTTGTATTGGTGGCTACTTAATGATGCAGCCATTCCTGAGACTCCCACAGTCTCTTCTTCAGGCTCTTCACCGCCACGTACACTATGTTCCCTCACCAAACAGAACTCAAGGTCATCTCCCATACTGTTTAACGCAGCATCAAGGTCAACTGGTTTCCCTGGCTTGTTCTGTAACTCCAACATATACTCGAGACCTTTATTTTGCTTCAATTTACGCTTTTTCAATATTTTATCCAATACATCACGCAAACTTGTATTCGGGTCGTCAATTTGTAATTTTGAGAAACCTCTATGTGGGAGATTAATCGTCACGATTAGAGCAGTCCGACGTTTGGATGATGGTTGCTTATTAGCTACCAAAGCGAGCTTAGTGAATCCAAATTTTGTGATTGGTTCACTGATATCTAATGCTGGGAAATCGTGGTCAACTTCACCATCATCTTCAGCAATATGTAACGCATAAGAGTTTATATCTGGGAACAACTTTGGTTCACGTCCCTGATTATGATACATCCAGCAGGTTAGGCCCAGAAAATCCTGGACGGAAACTTTCTGATTGGATACGCAACAGACTCTCATAGGAAAGGGGCGGTCTCTCGGACTAACCATAGTGAGAAAGATATCTATTGTTTTGGCAGGGACACCAGCGTTAGCTCCACCATCATATTTAGCATATTCACTGAATGGATTTATAGGTCCTGATGCGAAACTGTCAAGCTGCTCTGTTAAGGATGACACATGGTCATTGTCAATTTTTGTGATGCTTTTTTTCTCAAATAAATGACCATGTTCTTCTGGGTCATACATGCTATCATCTTCACTGTCCTTCCATTTTATATTCCTTATTTTAATTTGTTGCTGGCGATCTTTTCGGAGTTTATCCAATCGCTGTGCAGTATTGCTACGGCGTCTATGCCCACCAAAGTCCATATCAGGAATGATGTCAACCGATCGGGAAAATTGGGTGTCTGAATCTGTGTCACTATCAACTGGACTGTTATTGTCAGGGTGATGAGAACGCAAAGAGATTTGACGACGGACATCTTCACTTGCAGTTTTTGATGGGAGATCATCACTTTCAATTATGACCTCACACATACCAGTGTCATCACTTGTTATGAAAGAATTCCTTATATGGGGTATGATGAATGATAAATCATCAAACATCGCCATTTTGAAATATATTTATACCCCAAGGTTAAGATATACTTATTATGAGTCTCAAAAAACTATATGCTTTTCTTCAAAGTGAAAACGCTTTTTATCTCCTTTTCATTTACTTTTTCAAAGATCTCAGTTAAAGTCCCATTAAGTGTGTTGTATTGTACCGTTTGTTATCCTCAATCCTGTATTTATTTAGTGTGTTGCACAACCTGGAATGAGAGAAAAAACTATTTTAGATGACCTAACCTCAATTGTTCATGCAGTTCTCCAAGTTGCCTCCCAGCACTCAATGAAGGAAATTATAATTTTAAGAACATGGGAATGAGTGATGATTCACTAAGTGGGAGGATGGTCAATGAGGGTGAGGTTGAAAAGGTAACTGACCAAAGAGTTGGTTCTTGGGGTTAGGAACATGCTAGTAGAGTGCATCCTCCAAATGCAGGACTCCAGACATCTTCCACTATGATCCTTCCTTCTTCAGGAAGAATGAGTTATGAGTTCTGGACGCCTGCGTTTGGAGAATGAGGGAAGGAGTGAGGGGGTGAAGATGATAATTTTGCTGTATTTACCGTTCATTACTTCACAGATGAAAATAATATGAAGTTAGATCTTCTAAAACTGTTCAAACACATACTCTGTTTAATAATGTACATCAGTTTTATGTGATTTTGTGTGCAGTTAAGAAATAGATTCTATTGGACATTGTATTCATCACGAGTCCTGACAAAATGTTATTGACCTAACTTGACATCATGTAAATCTTACCGACCTAACCTGACATATTGTAATATTAACCTTAGTCTGACATCATGTGAGTCCCTTGACCTAACTTGACATCATGTGAATCTTACCGACCTAACCTGACATCTTGTAATATTAACCTTAGTCAGACATCATGTGAGTCCCTTGACCTAACCTGACATCATGTAAATCTTACTGATCTAACCTGACATTTTGAAATATTGCCCTAGCCTGAAATCACGTGAGTCCATTGACCTAAACTGACACTATGTGAATCTAACCTGACATCTTGTAATATTGACCTAACCTGACATCATATGAGTCCCTTGACCTAACCTGACATCTTGTGAGTCATATTGACCTAATCTGACATCATGTGTGTCCTGATGTCTCAAGGGGTCTATATATGACCAGTCCTTGTAAATTGCTAAATTGCTCAAACACTAGTTGATTAAAATACTGTTCAAATTTATGAAAATAAATCCCTTACATCAATGTCTACACACACACAACTTGCTATTTGTTACAGATGCTGAACTCCGAATGTTGACAACTGGAAGCCAAACACCATTCACAAAAAAGTTGGAGACTATAACAATAACACTTGGGGTGGTGACATAAAAACTGGAAAGGGGAATGGAAAGGGGAATGGGGAGGAATGGGGTAAGGGAAATAGAAATGAAATGTAGTTAGGGAAGAAAAGAAAGGGAAGAGATGTAAGGGAGTACTAAATGGCTAGTATGAAAGAAATCCAAATCTGAAACATAACTCAAGATGAATTTTAAAATATGTCAAATTATAATATCTGCATTATACTTTTATGGTAAATGCATTTGAACTCCATTCAATAATAGAGGTAGAACTGAAAATTTGGGTTGTGCCCGATGAAGCAACAATTTGATTCTCTCGTTTACTCTCATATGAAGGAATTTAAAACATGACTTCCCTTGAAAAAAATGTTAACTCAACTGAATATTCTGCATGAAGATTGGATCTAATGTCAGTTGTCATAATTTTGCCTCTTGATTGGGTCTAAAGTTGGTTGTCATTTTGCCTCTTGATTGGATCTAATGTCAGTTGTCATAATTTTGCCTATTGATCGGGTCTAAAGTTGGTTGTCATTTTGCCTCTTGATTGGGTCTAAAGTTGGTTGTCATTTTGCCCCTTGATTGGGTTCACTTCCAGAGGAGGTTCAGGAATAATGTTGTTTATGTCAAAATGCTCAAAACATATAAATTCCTCCCAAACATATCCTACGCAAAACCAAATGGCTACATTTAGTTCATCTTTTAAGTAAAGCATTTTAAAAATGGAAATACAGTGATCTCTCCAGCATTAAAGCAAGTGGGCGCAGCAGCGACCTGAGATTTTGAAAATAGGCTTGCACCCACCTGAAAATCCATTTGCACCCACTTCAAAATGGGAAAATTCATGAAAAATTGGTATATTTTGACATTTTTTCTGAATTGCGAAAATGAGAGTTTTGCACCCACCTGAGAAAAAATCCTGGGAAGATCACTGAAATATGTCTATAATTTCACTGATTTTGGTACATTTCGAAAGTTTGCAGTATAACAAACATATTGACACTCTCATACATATGCATTAGACCTATTTAATGAAACACATCTGAAAGGGGAACACTAACATTAGTGGAACATTTCTAAATGTCACTCTTCTCCTTTATGTAATGTTAAGTAACCATGTAAGTGGAACACCTCCAGTAGAACACTTTTAGAGGTACCAATAGGACCAATGGTGTTCCACTTATACAGGTTTTACTGTATTTAGATTTAACTTACCATCATGGCAGTTTTCTGGAGCGGAGACTGTTTCTAAACTCTCAAGACATTCTGAAAACATAAAATAAATAAAATCTTTTTACTTACTTTATCAAACTGGTACATACGACTTTTGGTTGAATTCAATTTTGTTTTGAATTCTATGGCCTTAGCCAAACATGAAGCAGTGCAGGTGGGGCAATTGCACATGAACAAGGCACAGACGTGAACAATATCATACCTAAAACACAGCATTGTAGAAAGCAAGATGGCCGCAGAAAAGTTAATCAGCTCTAGAACTTATCACTGTGTAACATATGTAAAAATTTGAACGGTTTGGCTGGAAACCTGTAGACAAGCCTCGATAGACAAGATTTTAGGACGGAAAATCTAAAATGGCAGCCTTAACATTTACCCAGAATGCCCAAAAACTAATCAGTTCTTGACGTAGATATGTAGAAACATCCCTGAAAATTTCAGATGAATCCCTCAAATGGTTTGCCTGAAAACCTGTAGACAAGTCTTGAAAGTGAAGATTCTAGGACGGAAAATCCAAAATGGCCACCTTAAAATTTACCCAGAATGCCCAAAAACTAATCAGTTCTTGACGTTGATATGTAGAAACATCCCTGAAAATTTCAGATGAATCCCTTAAATGGTTTGGCTGGAAACCTGTAGACAAGCCTTGAAAGTGAAGATTTTAGGACGGAAAATCGAAAATGGCCGCCATAACATTTACCCAGAATGCCCAAAAACTAATCAGTTCTTGACGTTAATATGTAGAAACATCCCTGAAAATTTCAGATGAATCCCTCAAATGGTTTGGCTGAAAACCTGTAGACAAGTCTTAAAAGTGAAGATTTTAGGACAGAAAATCCAAAATGGCCACCTTAAAATTTACCCAGAATGCCCAAAAACTAATTAGTTCTTGACGTTGATATGTAGAAACATCCCTGAAAATTTCAGATGAATCGCTCAAATGGTTTGGCTTGAAACCTGTAGACAAGTCTTGAAAGTGAAGATTTTAGGACGGAAAATCCAAAATGGCCACCTTAAGATTTACCCAGAATGCCCAAAAACTAATCAGTTAACTTTGATATGTAATAAAAAAAAATCCCTGACAATTTCAGATGAATCCCTGAAATGTTTTGGCTGGAAACCTGTAGACAAGCTGAAAAGTGAGACGCCGCCTGCCGCCCGCCGCCCGTCAAGCTGACTACAATATCGTACCTCTTGTTAGGTACGATAAAAACAAATACAGTACTTCTACTTAATCTGGCTGATCCGCCAAATTGTTAAAGACCACCAAATTAAGTAGCCACCAATTTCCCTGGTAATGTTACCACCTTGTAATTGGACCCATTTGTGCATTGTAATAAGTCCGCCAAATTTTCAAAACAGCAAATCTACCAAAATGAGTAGCTCCAAATTAAGTAGAAGTACAGTATTTGACCTACTTCATTAGATGGAACTGATTTCTAACTGTAGCATTACATCTATACTTTATCCTCTTGATATTTAATTTCCCTGTCTTTTAAGTTCTTTGCCTAATTTTAGGCTGCTGGAGGAAGAGAAAAATAAAATGCAATGTTGATGGTGGCTACCACTTCATTATGGGCCTTTAACCCTTTCCCAACGTGAATATAAGAGGAAAATGTTGGCCCTGGTGACGGATAAGTAAGAGCAGTTTTTAGGGGAAAACTGAAAATTTACTATGCCCAGGGACCTATACCTTGAATTTTATCACTGAAATACATTTTTTAGTAAGGACTATCGTATTAGAACAACTTGTTAAAATTTGGTGTAAAAATACTGAATAGAACTGGAGGTATTATCATTTCATCGATGTATATAAATAAAAATTATGGTGCCAAAAGGAGCCTATCGTCCTGAAAGGTATTACATAAAGGGTTAATAATATAATAATATTTAATAACTCCAAATTAAGTAGAAGTGCAGTATATTTAACTGAAACTGATGTCTGTAGCATTACATTCTCTTAGCATTTAATTTCCTTGCCTTCTAAAATTCCCGCCTTATTTTAGTTTACACCCTGGCTAGTGGAGGAAGGGAAAAATGTTATGTTGATTGTACCCTCCACTTCATGGCACCACCACTAATTTTTGGCGCATAATTGGTCAGATGAAGTGACAGCTTCACTCAAGACTAACATCAAATTTATGATTAAGAGAATCATTTGACAGAAAGGGTTTTAAGGTTAAAGGCCCACTCTGCGTATTTTCAATGTTTTTGGGCAAAATAAAGACTTTTATATGAATTCTATTGAATGTCCAATGTACAGTAAAACCTGCGTATAGTGAACAATTTTTTGCCAAGAAAAAATGTTCACTGTTGGTAGGTGTTCACTACAGCAATGATTTGATTTCGCGGCATTTTGCCATATTATATAAAGAGACCAGCTATTAAAAGAGAGGAGGGAATATTTATATATTTATTTATTAATTATTTATTTATTTAGATATACACTCTTTTAACAGTGGCTCTCTTACATTAAGGTGAATGTAATCGAAAAATATCCACAATTCCATGTTGGTTAAAACAGCACATTTTATCAAACTAAAATGAGTCTTAAAAAGAATTAAAACATATTCATATTTGAATAATAAATTTAAATAGTATTTTCTACCCATATTAACCCACGACACTCAAGCGTTAAGTATTTAATTTGTTGTAATGCTATATACAAACTGACTTATTTTAGACTGACTGTCATCTGAATGGTTCATCCTTTTATTGTCAAATTTTTATCTCTATATAATTCTTTTTATCTCATCAAGATGGTCCTTTAAATAGTGGAATTTTTGAGACATTTGAGTCAGTTAAAGGACTTTACTGAATTAGTTAAAGGACATGATAGATGCAGTTAATAGTGAAATGGTCATGAATTATAATTTTGATCCAATCGTTTTTTTAAATTTACGGGATGAGAAAAAAGATTAAGTTGGGACTTAGCAGATAGAGGTAATAATAGTTAGCCAGATTATCTCCAAGCAATCAATCCCAGACGCATATCCTTTGTAACAAAAACAAAGCTTATTAAGAATTATAATTAGTCACACCTGTTTCAATAGAAGAGATCAAGATCTCAAATTGACCTTTTAATTATTTTTGGCAGGTAATATAAACATAAACTGCTTAACTCTGATAAGGCAGTTGCAGAAAATCTGCGAGAAATCTTATATCTGATTCAATGTTCACTAGAGACAGGATAATTCAATTGATTTTGCCAGGGTTTAGTGTTCACTGTTCATAGTTGGTAGGTGTTCACTATAGGATTGCACTTTAACATGGGAGTCAATGGGAGAAAAAGGTTTTGCCGAATAAAAACGTTCACTGTTAATAGGTGTTCACTAGAGAGATGTGTTCACTAACTCAGGTTTTACTGTATTGAAAAGAACCCTATCTTTCATTTGACACCAACAACAGCTCAAACGGACCACATCAAAGCTTACAATAATTAATCAAGAAATATTTTCGATCTGTCGAGCTTTATTAATCAAGTTTTTATCACTGTCATTGAAAGGTGGCAAAGTTGTTTGTACTACATGATACATTCATTTCTATAGAAGTAACGCCATCTTTTAAATCAAAAGTAATTAAAAACATGCACTTTGTTTAGCATGTGCATGCATGTCTAATGATCTCTGAACTTCAAATGGATTTTTCTTTGTTAGTTTTTTTCCTTGGTTCAATATTAAAGCAAATCAAACTTTGTGTCATATTTGAGCGAGGGTAAGAGTAATATGTTTCAATGATACTTTTTTAGCTATTTTTCAGTCACATTTTCAAAGGCCCGAAAAGGTTATTTAATCATGGTTATGGTCATTCTGACCATGCACATTATGATCCTGGTCATGTAAATGATATGTGGAAATAGTTTAATTGACTGGAGGTCAAAACACAACTCTGTTATCTTTGTTAAAAAATGTCTAAAAATGCATAATTTTTTGTCACTTCCTGTTTCGTCATTTCCTGTAAGTATCATTTTTGGACCATGCAAATTGTCAATTGTACCCCATGGAATTTTTCAAAAAGTGAACCCCCCTTGGCAAATCCTGGCTACGGGCCTGATGTAGGTATGTGAGGGTACTTCATGTGTAATGACACGAGGTGTCATCAGGGAGCATACTAAATTCAATGCCCTGTGAGGAACCATAGTCTAATCCTCTACTGCTGAGCCAGCTGAGCTGTACATGTATGTTTCTGTACACATTGTGTTATCCAAATCCCAAGGATAATGATGGGAGGACTTTGATTTCACTTTTTTCACAAAATTCATTTTCAGATTATTCACTGAAATTGAGTTAGGGATGGATAACCCTTCCTAAAACCATTGCTGTTTGGTAATATGCACTTTCATGCTTGACTCAATATCATGTTTTATTTTAGTTTACACATAAAAATAACACAAACGTTGAAATATCAAAAAAAATAAAATAAGATGAATATTTCATTTTACCTGGCCTCGTTTTGAATTTCCAATTAGTGAAATTTACGACAATGAACCAAGGAGGAATGGCTCCCAGGGTGCACCACCGATATTCTGTCCCATATATGGGTATGTCGTAATACAAAATTCGAATTCAAACGGCCGCCATTTTGTTCACTTCAACATTTAAATCGTGAATTTTGGTCTTATTTCCAAACGAAAAATTCCAAAACTCACAAGAAATGATCGAGATATTGGTTCGAATCTTTTGAACTGTTTATTTTGAATTTATAGTCGGTTTTAATTTCAGAAAATAACGACATTTCGACGTTTTCATTGTTGGAAAATATCGAGTTTCGATCCTGGGAGCCAATGGCCAAAATGCCCTAATACGTCACTTCCGCTGAATAGAAAAAAGTAGTATTCAAAAATAAATGTAGTCCCAACACAATTGTGATCATGACGAGTCAGTAAGCTAGTATGTAGGCACAGTTGTAATCTTTTTGCAATGGCAACATGCCATTTCTTCTAAAAATGCGTTTATTTGGGTTATCTGAAGGAAAATTTCGAGTCAAGTGGCGTATTAATTTTGCCTTCATTTTTGTGAATTTCAATTTGTGTCTGCAGAGAGAGGGGGTAGTGTCACAATTGACCAATTATTTCAAAAAGTAGATGATTGGCCCCTATTGAGTTTAGTGTCAAGATGTAGCTTAGACATAGCTTTAGAACCTCAGATAGGCCAGTGAGGCCACATAAATCCATAACTCGAGATAAAAAGTCAGGCGTTTGCCCTTTTGCCCATTGACTAGTATGGTGACGTGAATTAGGGCAGTTTTGCCTATTAGTCACATGTAAAAGTGACCAAAATTTTTTAAAACTACTCAGAATCGCCCAGAATTGAAGTTTATTAGTGTGAAACATATTTTGGACGGAGGCAAAAAGGGGAATTTTCATGAACAAATTTAATGTTTTTGCGGAATCAGCAGTTTTCGCTTTTTACCCCAAAAACCACTGATTTTGACGATATTTGGCTACAATTTTGTCCTTAGTGACCCCTAAATGTCATTTGTTGTCGTAAATGGGGAAGCCAACGAGTTGCTATTCATCATAAAGATTGAATTTTCCATCTTATGGTTTCCAGTATAGAAAGAAGGTACATATCGGGGGTGCAGTCAGAAATTGGTGAGTTAAGTGTCAATTTTTGATGTATTTGTTCACTCTGAATGACTACATTCGAGCTAAAAAATATCTCAAAAGTCCCAATTCTCTAGGCCAGAGTCAAAACTGATCAAATTTGTCATCATTTTTCAAACCAGGAGGTTGTTGAATGGAATAAAGTATGAAAAAGTGATGATTTTAGTAAGATTTTGCTAAAAAGTGGGCCAAATTTGTCAAATTTTCTGGTTCACGGTTCAGTGATTTTGGCTAAAAATCGCAATATGCAATAAAATACTCAATTTCTTGACACGATACTGAAAAATGTCACCATCAGGCAGTGGATTTCATGATGTAAATGAAAAACTAGTCAAATTTAAAGGAAAACCATTGGGTTCTTGGAAAAATGACCCCGGGGGTAATGAAGTAGCCATATTTTTCATAATTGCTGTCAGAATATTCTTTAACTGCACAAAACTACTTGAAAAACTCTAGTGAATTGGAAAAACGCAATTTAAAGCCAGAAATCATCCAACCATGTGGCTATTAGGCCAAAATGCCCTAATACGTCACTTCCGCTGAATAGAAAAAAGTAGTATTCAAAAATAAATGTAGTCCCAACACAATTGTGATCATGACGAGTCAGTAAGCTAGTATGTAGGCACAGTTGTAATCTTTTTGCAATGGCAACATGCCATTTCTTCTAAAAATGCGTTTATTTGGGTTATCTGAAGGAAAATTTCGAGTCAAGTGGCGTATTAATTTTGCCTTCATTTTTGTGAATTTCAATTTGTGTCTGCAGAGAGAGGGGGTAGTGTCACAATTGACCAATTATTTCAAAAAGTAGATGATTGGCCCCTATTGAGTTTAGTGTCAAGATGTAGCTTAGACATAGCTTTAGAACCTCAGATAGGCCAGTGAGGCCACATAAATCCATAACTCGAGATAAAAAGTCAGGCGTTTGCCCTTTTGCCCATTGACTAGTATGGTGACGTGAATTAGGGCAGTTTTGCCTATTAGTCACATGTAAAAGTGACCAAAATTTTTTAAAACTACTCAGAATCGCCCAGAATTGAAGTTTATTAGTGTGAAACATATTTTGGACGGAGGCAAAAAGGGGAATTTTCATGAACAAATTTAATGTTTTTGCGGAATCAGCAGTTTTCGCTTTTTACCCCAAAAACCACTGATTTTGACGATATTTGGCTACAATTTTGTCCTTAGTGACCCCTAAATGTCATTTGTTGTCGTAAATGGGGAAGCCAACGAGTTGCTATTCATCATAAAGATTGAATTTTCCATCTTATGGTTTCCAGTATAGAAAGAAGGTACATATCGGGGGTGCAGTCAGAAATTGGTGAGTTAAGTGTCAATTTTTGATGTATTTGTTCACTCTGAATGACTACATTCGAGCTAAAAAATATCTCAAAAGTCCCAATTCTCTAGGCCAGAGTCAAAACTGATCAAATTTGTCATCATTTTTCAAACCAGGAGGTTGTTGAATGGAATAAAGTATGAAAAAGTGATGATTTTAGTAAGATTTTGCTAAAAAGTGGGCCAAATTTGTCAAATTTTCTGGTTCACGGTTCAGTGATTTTGGCTAAAAATCGCAATATGCAATAAAATACTCAATTTCTTGACACGATACTGAAAAATGTCACCATCAGGCAGTGGATTTCATGATGTAAATGAAAAACTAGTCAAATTTAAAGGAAAACCATTGGGTTCTTGGAAAAATGACCCCGGGGGTAATGAAGTAGCCATATTTTTCATAATTGCTGTCAGAATATTCTTTAACTGCACAAAACTACTTGAAAAACTCTAGTGAATTGGAAAAACGCAATTTAAAGCCAGAAATCATCCAACCATGTGGCTATTAGGCCAAAATGCCCTAATACGTCACTTCCGCTGAATAGAAAAAAGTAGTATTCAAAAATAAATGTAGTCCCAACACAATTGTGATCATGACGAGTCAGTAAGCTAGTATGTAGGCACAGTTGTAATCTTTTTGCAATGGCAACATGCCATTTCTTCTAAAAATGCGTTTATTTGGGTTATCTGAAGGAAAATTTCGAGTCAAGTGGCGTATTAATTTTGCCTTCATTTTTGTGAATTTCAATTTGTGTCTGCAGAGAGAGGGGGTAGTGTCACAATTGACCAATTATTTCAAAAAGTAGATGATTGGCCCCTATTGAGTTTAGTGTCAAGATGTAGCTTAGACATAGCTTTAGAACCTCAGATAGGCCAGTGAGGCCACATAAATCCATAACTCGAGATAAAAAGTCAGGCGTTTGCCCTTTTGCCCATTGACTAGTATGGTGACGTGAATTAGGGCAGTTTTGCCTATTAGTCACATGTAAAAGTGACCAAAATTTTTTAAAACTACTCAGAATCGCCCAGAATTGAAGTTTATTAGTGTGAAACATATTTTGGACGGAGGCAAAAAGGGGAATTTTCATGAACAAATTTAATGTTTTTGCGGAATCAGCAGTTTTCGCTTTTTACCCCAAAAACCACTGATTTTGACGATATTTGGCTACAATTTTGTCCTTAGTGACCCCTAAATGTCATTTGTTGTCGTAAATGGGGAAGCCAACGAGTTGCTATTCATCATAAAGATTGAATTTTCCATCTTATGGTTTCCAGTATAGAAAGAAGGTACATATCGGGGGTGCAGTCAGAAATTGGTGAGTTAAGTGTCAATTTTTGATGTATTTGTTCACTCTGAATGACTACATTCGAGCTAAAAAATATCTCAAAAGTCCCAATTCTCTAGGCCAGAGTCAAAACTGATCAAATTTGTCATCATTTTTCAAACCAGGAGGTTGTTGAATGGAATAAAGTATGAAAAAGTGATGATTTTAGTAAGATTTTGCTAAAAAGTGGGCCAAATTTGTCAAATTTTCTGGTTCACGGTTCAGTGATTTTGGCTAAAAATCGCAATATGCAATAAAATACTCAATTTCTTGACACGATACTGAAAAATGTCACCATCAGGCAGTGGATTTCATGATGTAAATGAAAAACTAGTCAAATTTAAAGGAAAACCATTGGGTTCTTGGAAAAATGACCCCGGGGGTAATGAAGTAGCCATATTTTTCATAATTGCTGTCAGAATATTCTTTAACTGCACAAAACTACTTGAAAAACTCTAGTGAATTGGAAAAACGCAATTTAAAGCCAGAAATCATCCAACCATGTGGCTATTAGGCCAAAATGCCCTAATACGTCACTTCCGCTGAATAGAAAAAAGTAGTATTCAAAAATAAATGTAGTCCCAACACAATTGTGATCATGACGAGTCAGTAAGCTAGTATGTAGGCACAGTTGTAATCTTTTTGCAATGGCAACATGCCATTTCTTCTAAAAATGCGTTTATTTGGGTTATCTGAAGGAAAATTTCGAGTCAAGTGGCGTATTAATTTTGCCTTCATTTTTGTGAATTTCAATTTGTGTCTGCAGAGAGAGGGGGTAGTGTCACAATTGACCAATTATTTCAAAAAGTAGATGATTGGCCCCTATTGAGTTTAGTGTCAAGATGTAGCTTAGACATAGCTTTAGAACCTCAGATAGGCCAGTGAGGCCACATAAATCCATAACTCGAGATAAAAAGTCAGGCGTTTGCCCTTTTGCCCATTGACTAGTATGGTGACGTGAATTAGGGCAGTTTTGCCAATCCTCCTTGGTTTTTGTGATTGATTTTTCTCAAGGTCATTTGCGGCCAACAGTGAGACGTTTCAAAAAAATTACAAAAATCTCACATGTTTTCATAATTCCTTTGAAATTGATAATATTCTTTATATAAAACTGCGTGAAATAATGTACATATAGAGTAGACGATGGTGCGGTTATATTTTGCCAAGACTTTGGCAACAAAATTCCTATTTGCTGAGAAATGGAGCCTAAAGGTAAAAAAAGATTCTAGAATTCATCAATCATGATCATCAGATCATCAAGTTCAAAAATTTTGGCAATTGGATTGACCCCATAAACTAGGACCATATTCAAAATTACTACATTAAAAATTGTTACTTTGTAGTTTCAAAACAACACTTACATAAACTTATGTAATGTTTCACACAGCGAGGACTCTTCTCGTCTTACATGTGTAATGACCCTTGTGCACATCCGTTGGGAAGTTGTAGTGTACCTCGCCAGATACTACACTCGAAAGAGAGTGTGCTAAATTCAATGCCAAGTGTGAGAATCAAACCCAGGACCTTCCGCTGTCCACTCAGATGCTCTACCCGCGAGCCGGAAGGGCTAGCCACTACAGCTGAGACTGCTATCAAAGGTCATCACACATGTATATCTCCATTTAAAAAGCAATTATCTCAGCAGGAATTCTCGTCACAAATAGAAAGGTGTGACACGTCACAATATCAACAAAATATCGAGCCTCGATATTTGTTTGTTGTGGGACGAAGAAAATATACGGTTCTCGCCAAGAATAATTGATAAGTCGATATTTGGCATATTTTCTTTAATTCTAACATTTAATGTCCCAAACTTTCCCTAACTGCAGAAAAGTATATCCCGTAAATCATATTTTCCAAAATTAGTGTCTCCACAGCTTCATACCAGGGTATGCATGATGCATTTGTCAGGAGTTTGAGCTCACATTTCACTAAAATGAAGTAGGGGTAATCTCCACCAAATTTGTTTATTGTGGTTAGATTTTATATTGGAAAGTGCTCAGGAGCAAATTATTCATTCTCTAATTGGCTTTTAACTATGCTGGAAACTGCACCATTTTAAAAGACCACATCTATTTCAGGTTAAGGTAAATCTGAGTCCAATTTGATTGAGAAACTTTGATTCATAAATTATTAAAGTAGATTTCCCAGACTTTCCCTGAAGAAACTTAGTGACCATATATGGCTTCTGAAATAAACACATTGATGTTAACAACCACACAAATGTACTTTCTGAATGGTTATACATATATAAGCCAACCGGAAAACATGTGGACCTGTGAGAGACTTACCTTCTGGATATGTAGTATATTTCTCAGATAAACAAGTCAGCAATGGGCGATTATAAATTATTTTGAAAATAGCAACCATACACACCCAGGTACCTGCCAATAATAACATGTAAAATTTGATTTTTATGCCCAGCTGGCATTGCCACGTTTAAATATTTTTGAATATCATAAGCTATTCATTTCATCTTCTTGAATTTGTTTTACAGATTCCTCCTGTACTGAAGGCATCATATGCAAGAAAGACTTTAAATGTAAGTCAAAGGCCACACTCAAGGTTCTCTCAATTTCATTTAATGTACTATATGATAATAAATATTGTTTTAAGAATCACAAGAATTGGAAATTTTGCGACCATCGCCAAAATATCAGTTTCTAAATCAATTGTTATATCCATTGAAATCATGATTTCTAAGTAAGATAACTAACAAAGAACTTGGTAATTCCTATTTTTATTAAAAACTTTCGTGATGGCCATTGTTGATTTATAAATAGACATTGTTGCACTCATTTTAATTGTTTTGCATTTCAAAACTGTATATTTTGACATTGCAAAAAAACACAATTTTTTAGGAGTTCCGAGATGTAAAAGACATCCGCAACATCGGCATTTCAGCTCATATAGACTCTGGGAAGACAACAGTGACAGAAAGAATCCTCTATTACTCTGGGAGGATCAGTTCTATGCATGAGGTAATATTTTCAGCACTAGTTTACTCCTGGAATATTTTAACACCATTTTATTCCTGGATAAATATAGTTACAAAAGAATCCTAAAAACCTGTTTAAATATTCAGTTCTCTTACAAATCTACTTTTAGCTCCTTTCTGAAAATTACAAAAATGTGAATAATTTGTTTGGTGTTCAATGTTTGGTCTTAGTAGTCAATGTCTGTATAAAATGGCAGGTTGTGACATTTTGCATGTTATTGCCTTGTTACATTATAGTTCAGATTTGTCATAACAGAAAAATGCATCAGACAAAAAAATATTTTTTCCACAGTGAAGTGATAAAGTGTTAGGCTATATATTTTCAAAATTACATGTTTTCTCGGTACATAGGTGAAAGGTAAAGATGAAGTTGGCGCAACTATGGACTTTATGGAACTTGAACGGCAACGAGGAATCACCATACAGAGTGCTGCCACCTATACTGACTGGAAAGGAACAAATATCAACATTATCGATACACCAGGTATACTGTAGTCAACATAACTTTCGATATTATTGTGGTATAGAGAGGGTGATAGGAAATATTTGACACCACAAGATTGTTAAATGCATATCTACATGTATTTCTATTTCAAACTTATTTTTAAGGTAAGCCATGTCGAATGATAACCCATCTTTTTTATTTGGATCTTTTGTAGAAACAATCCTGAGACCTCTTTTATCTTACCTTAAAAATGAATGAAAATTGTATGTACTGTATGTTCAGAGAATCAATCCTGAGACCTCTTTTATCTTACCTTAGAAGTGAATGAATATTTTATGTACTGTATGTTCAGAGAAACAATCCTGAGACCTCTTTTATCTTACCTTAAAAATGAATGAATATTGTATGTACTGTATGTTCAGAGAATCAATCCTGAGACCTCTTTTATCTTACCTTAAAAATGAATGAATATTGTATGTACTGTATGTTCAGAGAATCAATCCTGAGACCTCTTTTATCTTACCTTAAAAATGAATGAATATTGTTAATGTATGTACTGTATGTTCAGAGAATCAATCCTGAGACCTCTTTTATCTTACCTTAAAAATGAATGAATATTGTATGTACTGTATGTTCAGAGAATCAATCCTGAGACCTCTTTTATCTTACCTTAAAAATGAATGAATATTGTTAATGTATGTACTGTATGTTCAGAGAATCAATCCTGAGACCTCTTTTATCTTACCTTAAAAATGAATGAATATTGTTAATGTATGTACTGTATGTTCAGAGAATCAATCCTGAGACCTCTTTTATCTTACCTTAAAAATGAATGAATATTGTTAATGTATGTACTGTATGTTCAGAGAATCAATCCTGAGACCTCTTTTATCTTACCTTAGAAATGAATGAATATTTTATGTACTGTATGTTCAGGGAAACAATCCTGAGACCTCTTTTATCTTACCTTAGAAATGAATGAATATTGTAGACTGTTGAGCATTGAGGGAGTGGACTTCTTCCAGAAAAGTCTATTACCAGAAAAGCTATCACATTATAATTCAGTAATTCTTATCTGTTTGATGGATTACCATTTAAAATCCTTGTAGATTTTTGATATTATGCAAAAAAGTTCTAACCCATATGAATTATTAATCGATATGCCAATTTGTATATTCCAGGTCATGTTGACTTCACAGTTGAGGTAGAAAGAGCCTTACGTGTGTTAGATGGCGCTGTGCTAGTCCTCTGCTCCGTAGGGGGCGTTCAAAGCCAAACATTGACAGTTAACCGCCAGATGAAACGCTATAATGTGCCATGTATTGCATTTATTAATAAGTTAGATAGGACTGGAGCAAATCCAAACAGAGTTTTAGGACAATTAAGGTAACTGTCAACCAACCATAAAATCTCATATTGACATATATATAAAAGTTATTTTGATCCACAGCATCTTTGATGAACCACTATTGTTTTGACTCTAGTTCTTGACTCTACTGATCAGTAATCATTAAAGTAAAGGACATAATGTAGTTTAAACTTCTAATATACAATTATGATTCATTTTCACAATATACAGTAGTATTTATTATCCCATCGAACGAAGTTCGGAGGGATATAGGGAACGCCTCCGTCCGTCCGTACGTACGTCTGTCCGTCCGTACGTACGTACGTCTGTCCGTCCGTCTGTCTGTCTGTCTGTCCGGGCAATAACTCAAATACCGTCTGCCCGATTTTGTTCATATTTTGTACACATATACCCTATGGGGCTAGAAGTTCTGCTTGAAAGCCGATTTTCAAAATGGCCGCTCATTTAAAAATGGCGGCCATTTTAGTGCCGATTTTACAGTAATTTAGGTGCAATATGTAAAACTGTAATAGCAATATGTTTTAAATGTAAAAAAATTATATAGGACTTTGATAAAGCTAAAAATGTAGATATTAAAGAAGCACATGGCAGCCATCTTGAAAAATGGCGGCCTTTACTCGTTATTTTACGATTTTTGCTGTAACTCAAGAAGTAGTGGATCGATTTTGTTCATATTTGGTATGTGAATACTATAAGCATGACTCACTGTCTAATGACATTTTTGGTAGGAGGCGGCCATTTTTCACCATTTTAACATATTTTACTATAACTCAAAAAGTAGTGGAGCGATTTTGTTCATATTTGGTATGTGAATACTATAAGCATGGCACACTGTCTAATGACACTTTTGGTAAGAAGGCAGCCATTTTGAAAAATGGTCGCCATTTTAACTTATTTTCCTATAACTCGAAAAGTAGTGGAGCGATTTTGTTCATATTTGGTATGTGAATACTATAAGCATGGTACACTGTCTAATGACACTTTTGGTAGAAGGTGGCCATTTTGAAAAATGGCCACCATTTTGAAGTATTTTACCATTACTCGAAAAGTAGTGGAGCGATTTTGTTCATATTTGGTATGTGAATACTATAAAAAAAACATATTACTTCTTCTGATGACAACTTGGCTAGTGAGCAACCATTTTGAAAATGGTGGCCTTTCTTATGCGTGTTATTTTATGATATTTGCTATATATTTTGTTTGTAAAAATGCCAGTCACTTCTGTTCGATTGGATTCGCTACGCTTTGGCGTTGCCGTTGTTCTGGTTTGAAAATTACCAGGATTCAAGTAACCTCCTGATACACTCCACTAAAACAAGAGAACCAAACAGAATCATACTCCACCTTGCATTGAACCAAACTGAAGTTTAACTCAAAATATCATGTTAACTTTTTACCATATGACAACACAACAAACATTTGTTTATCATATCTTCCCTTTGTAAATGTAATGTCAATTAATTGTTACACTGGAGGAAATAAAGTCATATGAAAAAAGGATTCAAGTATGCTTCATCAGCATCTTTGTCTGCATTTGAACAGAAATATGTAAATTGTACCTTATTTTATACTTTAAATATCGAATACACCAAAATGCTGATTATTATACTATTGCAGGTCTAAACTTTACCACAATGCAGCCTATGTACAGTTACCTATAGGGCTAGAGAAAGATCTAGAGGGAATAGTGGACATAATACATAGGAAAGCTTTATATTTTGAAGAACCTAATGGGTTAGTATGAAAAAGTTTTCCACATTGTATCCAGATAAATGTGTATGCAGTCTTGACAGTTTCATTTGATTTATAATGCCTGTGTTCTACCAGTTTTAAACAATATGTGAATTTGATTGTTTCACCAGCAGACCGAGGGGAAAATTATAGGCAAAGAGTCACCTTCAGACTACAAAGAGTTAAAGTTCCGTGGAGCAATGAGTGAAAACCAATATTATTGAACAAGTTAAACAATGGATGTTGTTCAGAAAGACTGTTCCCGATCTCTGATTTTCTTTTGTTTATAACATGGATTTGAAGTTTCTTCAAATTATTTTAATTAATAGACTAAAATTAACCACATTATGATTTGATGATCATTTACAATTGAGCAAAAGAACTGATTAATATTTGGGTTCATTTTTCTTAACTTTTGCATTATAGATGATACTGCCTGAGTAAATTATCACAGATGTTAATATTTAGCCATCGGTTTGAAGCAGATATTAACAATAGCTAAGGAGAAGATGAATCAAATTGTTCCTTTGATTCCATAATATTTTTTTTATTGTAGGTTAAATATTGTTGAAAAGGAGGTACCTGCAAATATGGTTGAAGAAGTGGAAGAGAAGAGAGCTGAACTCATAGGTAAGGTTAATTAAGGATTTAAGCCCTGGACTTAGTGCAGTGTGACGTGTCAATGGTGGAGTTCCTGCCATAAAAGCTGTCCTTGACCTTGAACCACATTTAAGATATAATTGAATTCTGAGAAAAGTTAAGGAAAAGTCAGCGTAATTTAAGTAAATGAAAAGAAAAAGATAAATACTACATACTAAAATCATATATATGCAGACAGTGAAGATGTAAATTATCTGATTTATTTCAAATTTTGTTAATAAAAAACTGTGAATTTGGAAGGAATTTCATGCTTGAACCAGGGAAATGTGATTGATTTTAGAATGTTATAATAGCCCTTAAACACCATTTAATACTTGTAATGCAAAATTATGCTTTAAGTCAAAATATGCTTTCGGGTTATATAAAAATTGATTTTGAATTTCACAGAGGCTGTAGCTAATGCTGATGATGCAATTGGTGAAATGTTCCTTGAGGAGAAGACACCAAATGAAGAAGAACTAATGGCTGCAATACGACGTGCATGTATCAAACGAGCTTTTACTCCAGTGTTTGTTGGGAGTGCACTGAAAAATAAGGTTTGTTTGAAACATTTTTTGACATAATTTCTGGAAAATGTAGTTTCTTTCAAAGAGGGGAGTATCTAGGTTTTATTGAGTTACATTTCAATTTGGTGGAATTTGTACTGTAAGAATAAAGGAGAAATTGATGTGGAAAAATTGAGGAGACAATTAAAGGATTTAACCGCAGGACTCAATGATTTGTAGGCTGATTTAAACCACATACATATGTCTTGTTTCCGGATTTTAGATGAGTGTAGCAGCACAAATTCAAAGTCTAAGAATTGTAAGCCATGAGTGGATTAAATCTCCCACAATTCATGGATTTATGTGCTTATATTCTTTTCACATATTGCATTCTTTTCACACATTGCATTCTTTTCACACATTGCATTAAATTGTCAAAATTGATCATTTGACATTTTACCTGCATAAGTATCTGTCTTGGTATTCCTTTTGGTACCATTTATAGTTTTTCACTCAACTGCCAGCTTGAAATTTTGATAGTGAATGAGGGAATTAATTTCACTGAATCTAAAAATAGCGATGCTTGTAATTTTAAAGATGCAGATTATTTGAAATACTTTGTTTGATTGGCTTGAATTTGATGTATTATGCCTAATGGCCTAGTCACATAGCCCGGCCGATGTCGGGCATCGGTAGAGCTCGGTGGATTTTTTTGGTGCCACCGAGCAGGTAACAGGACACCGTGCGATCGCCAGCCGGGTTGTTAACGGGCTTTGAACAGTGACCGGCCGATGCTCTGTCCCACATCGGCCGGAGCTCGGTCGGAGCTCGGCCGCTGTCTGTTAAAAAACCTCGTCCTCTGGTTGTCTCAGATGCACGGGACACCGGCCGATACCCGGCCGTGCACGGATGTGGTTACGATGGGGCTGCGATGACATGATGAGGGAGCTCGGTGAGAGCCCGGTGAAATTTAACTTCGAAGTTAAAATTTCACCGAGCTACCACCGATGCGGTTTTAAGCAACAAACGCCACGGATGTCCGGCCGGTGTCCGGGCGGTGTTCGGCCGAGTTCGGTGAAAATTGCATCGCTGGCTCATCGTAACCTCATCGGCCGGGCTATGTGACTAGGCCATAAGCTATGTATGAATTGTCATCAAATATTTACAGTGTTTTCCTCTTTTATTTATTTATTTCTGTCTTGCATTAACAGGGTAGCCAGCATCTAATTTTTGTAATTGTGTATTTTCAGGGTGTCCAGCCTCTGTTAGATGGTGCAGTAGATTTTTTGCCTAACCCAAGTGAAGTAGAAAATTTTGCATTAGACGAATCAGGGTATGTCATTCCTTCAATTCAATTCAATTCAATTCAATTTCAATTTCAATTCAATCTGCAATTCAAGATGATAAATGATTTTATCAAAGATTTAAGACTGTATTTTTCTTTGTTTTTGATATATTATGTATTTCTTTATTTTTAGGGAGAAACCACGTAAGATTATTTTAAATCCAGATCGTGATGACACCCACCCATTTGTAGCCCTGGCTTTCAAATTAGAGGTAAATAATTTCAGTTATTTCTATGGTTTCACCAAAATTGGTGACATGTTGTTATAGTCTCCAACTTTTTGTGGATGGGTCACCAACAAGAACTGGTGACAAAGTGTTACAGCCATGTTTTTTGTGACTTATAATTTGAGTCAGTACTTGGAGTTTGGCATTTGTAACAAATTGTCAAAGTTTTGTAACAATTTGAAACATCTAATCTGGTTGTGACATTTTTCAGCCTAGGTTGTTTCATTTTTACAATTTTTTCCGATTAAGCTGCTCTCCATATCATATGATCTATGATTGACCATTGCGCACAAGCAATTGCTCACAATAAAAGCGTATCGATACTCAACTTGCATATAGGTTATAATTCTGTATCGTTTTTAACCTAATATTTTTTAAAATAAAAATATTTGTTGCACTGTTACATTGCTCGTATCGTTTATATCGTATCGTGAGGTAAATATCGTTTGCTCTTATCAAAATGTGGGACCCCTAGTTGTTACCCTGTCTTGAATTATCCAGTTGTGTCAATAACACATCTTTTTTACATAATATTGTAAAAAACTGTTTTTCAGGCTGGGCGTTTTGGACAGCTAACTTATATGAGAATCTACCAAGGATGCCTAGAGAAAGGGTCGACAATAATCAATGTAAGAACTGGCAAGAAAGTCCGTGTTCCACGTTTGGTGAGAATGAATGCTCAGGAAATGGAGGATGTCTCAAACGTGTATGCTGGGGATATTTGCGCCTTATTTGGTGTAGACTGCGCTAGTGGAGACACGTTTGTTCTAAAGTCAGGAGAACAGATTTCAATGGTGGGTGGTTCTCTTTGTTTTTAAAATCAATCCATTGACAACTTTAAAAAGGCTTATCATGCTACAGCACTCTAAGTTGACAGTCAGCGTGATTAGAAAGTGTGTCTGTGATTATTGGTAAATATGTTCAATGAAAGGAATGTTAAATCAGCTACTTAAGTACTTTTAGAGCCACAATTTGTAGTTAAATGAGTGATAATATCAGCTCTGAGCATGGCATGGTTCACTCCATTGACAAATCACCTGATTCATTGTAAATTTGGGATTTATTAATTAGTTGCTTAATGAATATACAATGTATGTAATTATCAATTTCACAAATCCATTGCATTTTCATTACATGATAACCATTGTAGAGCCTGCAAGCTCAATTTATTACGTCAGCATCACAAGTGGTGGCATATTGTTATAGTTTCCAACTTTTTTTGTGGACTGTGTTCAGCGGTTTGCAGTTGGCATGTGGGATCTGTAACAAATAGTGGGGGTGACATTTTGTATGTGAATGCCTTGTCTTCAGATGTATTTGTTCTCAAAAATGCATATTTGAAATATTCCAGGAGTCTATTTATGTTGCTGAACCTGTAATATCAATGTCGATAAAGCCAGTGAACAAAGGAGACACGGATAACTTTGCTAAAGGGATTGCTAGATTCGTTCGTGAAGATCCCACATTCCGGGTGAAATACGACCCTGAGTCAAAAGAAAGTATAGCATCTGGTATGGGAGAACTGCATCTTGATGTCTACGCTCAGGTATTTGTAATTCCATATCTCATTCACTGAATTTTCTTATTTTCACATATTTCATTATAAAGTATTATTAATGGAGAACTTCTGAAAGATTTTAACAAAATGGTTACGTACAGTACTTTTTGGGCAAGATTGATCATCTTGTACCATTCAAGCATTATGTCACCATATGATACCATTTGATATATGAAACAGATCTGTATAATGATTAAGCATTTTTTATGATTTACAATTTTAGCGTCTTGAGAGAGAATATGGCACCAAGTGCATTCTGGGTAAGCCAAATGTTGCATTCCGGGAGACTCTATCAAGCAGCTGTGATTTCGACTATTTGCATAAGAAACAGAGTGGCGGTCAAGGACAGTTTGGCCGCGTGGAAGGCTTTATTGAGGTAAAATTCTTTTAATGTTTTAATAATACCTGAAAAATGTATAATACAATGTATAAAATGTATAATTAAATGTATGAAAATGTATAATTAGCTTGATGTGTCAGGTGGCATCTTGTTTTTATTGATACACATTTCTGGTTCTAAACTGTTTGGCAGATCGGTTTTAGATATTCAAGAATATTTCTTGATTTGAAAATCTAGAGCCTATTATTCCACTTAAGACTAGTAGGTACATAGTGAGGCTGTATGTCTATTTTTCCTTTCCTTTCCTCTAGAAAGTGTTCCACTTACACAGGTTTTCTGTACCATAATCGCCATATTCAGGACCCACCCTCTAATAAGCGCCAACATCACTTTAAATTCAAGAAATATTGACCAATATTAGTGAATAATGAATATATAAGAAACATGTGGCACCCGTTAGCACACCCCCACAATACATGTGGCACCCATTAGCACACCCCCACAATACATGTGGCACCCGTAAGCACACCCCCACAATACATGTGGCACCCGTAAGCACACCCCCGCAATACATGTGGCACCCGTAAGCACACCCCAACAATACATGTGGCACCTGTAAGCACACCCCCACAATACATGTGGCATCCGTGAGCACACCCCCACAATACATGTGGCACCCGTGAGAACACCCCCACAATACATGTGGCACCCGTAAGAACACCCCACAATACATGTGGCACTCGTAAGAACACCCCCCAATACATGTGGCACCCGTAAGAACACCCCCACACCTGTCCATTACCACAAGACAACAATATAGCACTTTCTAAGCACAAAAATATTAAAATAAATCTGAAAGTAGGGAAATATTCTTGTTTTGAGAACATGTAATATGATTGCATCATATCTGTATTGATTCTTTTTGTTTTGATAATTTATACTGCAATTTGGCATTGGCTTTCATGAGAAGGGCAACACTAATTGCAGTGCTTTGTATGAGAAATCAGTAAAGGGATTGTTATTTTTATTTTTTTCCATTTAATACTTAGCTAGTTGAGGATTGTAAATTACTCTCTGATTTATGCTTGTCGTTACTTGTCATGGATGTTAAAAATCTAAAAGCCAAACAATTAAGTGATAGTACAAAATTATTACCGTATCAATTTTTAATTGAGACATATCATGTTTTAATCAGATAATGTCAGCAAAATAATTTACTGGTGGATAATGATAACAAATTGTCTTAGGGACTGCTTCAAAAATCAATGTTTGATACCTGTGGGATGACATCCAATTATCAACACTTGTGGAATAACAAGTTTTGTTAGAGGGGGGGGGGTAAATGATGGTCTCATTAGCGAAGATGTTGATTTTGAAATGTTCAAGTGAAAGCCAAATCATCATTTTCGTTAGATGAGAGGAGGTGGTCAAACCGTAACAAAATTAACTTACACTCTACTATACCTAACCCCTAGAAATGCATAAGATACTCTGTCTAATTGTATTGTTTAGTATATTTTGAAAGTACCTTATTAACATCTAATGTCATCCAATAAACCATTCATAAGGAACAGACACATAAAAACAAATAACATAATCATTACTAATAAGCCAAAAGGGTTGCTCATGAACACCAAATGCAAGGTATAGTAGAGTGCTTAGTTTGTCCATGACTGTTGATGATTTGACACCATCCCTAACTGTGTTTCATTAGCAAGAGGAGGTGTATGTGTAGAAACTACTTAAGCCCTGATGACAATATAAATGAGATGATAGAAAATATAAATAAGATAATGCTAATCTGGATATTTCAACATTTATCAATAATGTCAAAGCAGGAACTGGTCGTTAATTGATTCGCTTCCTGGTCATCTCAACCCCAAGTCAACTCAACCCAGTAAAACTCAACCCCAAGTCAACTCAACCCCAAGTCAACTCAACCCCAGTAAAACTCAACCCCAGTAAAACTCAACCCCAAGTCAACTCAAACCTGTAAAACTCAACCCCAGTAAAACTCAACCCCTATATTTCTATATTGATAAACTTATATTCCACGTGATATGAAAGTTTATTTCACAAATATAGGTCTGATAATTCTGATCGAGTCAGTTTGTGATTTTCATTCTTAGACCACTGCCTTTTTAGATAGTTAATAATGAGTTTATCTCTGTCAACATGGTACTAATAGGATTAAAATATGGGTCATTTTATTAATCTTGCTAATACATTTGTTTTGTTGTAATCCCGTCTGAGGTTGACACTCGTGATTATTTGGAAAACTGGAACATAACCATTGCCTTCTAGCGTCATGGCCAGCTTTCAGTCAGGGGGGGGTGTGATCGCCAAAAATATTCGATTTTCAGTCAGGGGGTGCCGATCGTAGCATAAGCGAGTCCTACTGGCTCTACTGGCTACGTCTATGCTTTCAGTCTATTAATTAGTAAATTTTAATGATTTTATAAATGCACGTAAATATAAATAAAGAGTTGTATTACATTCTAAATTATCTAAAATTTGATTTCAAAAGATGTCTTAAATCAAATAATAGTGAAAACTTGATGAATTATCCTTGAGCTTAATTGTTTTTGAATACTCTTACAACTTTATATTCAAAGTATCATGCAAAATGCTAGAATTTCAGAAATGAATGACTTAAATTACTCATCATGAAATTAAATTAGACATTGCACAAATAAATAGGGTTGAGTTTTACTGGGGTTGAGTTTTACAGGGTTGAGTTGACTTGGGGTTGAGTTTTACTGGGGTTGACTTGGCTTGGGGTTGAGTTGACTTGGGGTTGAGTTGGACTGGGTTGAGATGACTTGGGGTTGAGATGACCTGTCACCATTGATTCTAGTCAGTTATCATTGGGTATACAAACACAAATGGATTGCAATATTTTGAGTAAGGAATTAAAGCAGAACAAATGGTTGGCCCTGTGTTCATCTCAATATGTAGCTTTATGTGTAATTGAGGCACTAAAAATAAAACTTTTTAAAGAATATATTAGGTTAAGTGATTATATGGAAAAGAATAATATCAATTGACCCACTTTGTAGTTGATGGAGATAGCCATTTTGCATCAAGAACCTAAAGATTCAGATTGCTTACTGACCTCAAGTGCCTACTTTACTTTCTTCCCGACTGTACAAATTTCAATCAATCTTTAATTGAGTATAATTTATACAAAAACCTTAAAATATATTTTTAAAATTCTATACAACTTTGATGCCTCATTTAAAGATTTACATGAGACAACTTTATGCAGGGGTGTCAGGATAATAATATCCCGGGGGTGAGAATTTGACAATGAATAATGGGGTACCTTGTCCTGCGAGTAGGGATTTTAGAATTTCTGATAACCTTTGACGAGCAATCATTGCATCAAGGGAGGGATGGATTTACTAGGTTACTCCTAGGAAAGGGAATTTGACCAACTATTTTTGTCAAAATCCTCACCTCTTCCTGCGACCCGCATGGGGAACCTTACTCAAAGCTTTTAATGGTACATTACTATCTTTGAATCAGGGTAGTGAACCATTTTGTGTACGAGGTCCTAACATATTACCTGTCTTGTCTGTTTAGTGCTGATTGGTTGGTAAGGTCATCACAATTTGTTTTAATGATTCTTTTTGCACAATGAGCAGAAGAAAAAGTAGTCTCACATTGTCATTTTATAAGAAAAAATTTTGCTAAACAGATAGCATAATAAGGGCCTAGGACATTATAAATGTGTTATTATATCCTCATCATTTAAGATTATCTGTTCATCAAGGTTGACATGACCATTGTCAATGTGAAATATTTTGCTGTCATGTCCATGTGCTTTGTCATTATGGTTCTTGTCATTATGAAGTTTTTGGCTCTTATTTTTTTTCTTGTCACTGAGATACACTTTGCCATTAGAGCACCTGTCACTTTGCAATATTTTAATATGAGCACTTCTGTCACTATGAAACATTCTGTTTGTTTTCTTGTCACTATCATACACTTTATGAATAGTCTTTCCATCATTTTTTGTGTTTTTCTCACTGTGACATATGTGTGACATATTGTCTGTCTTGTCACTACGTGATATGGCACTGTTACATTTTGTCTCTTTATTTTTTTCTGACTTATCCGTGAGGTTACTCTTAATTGTAGACCTAGGCCTCAGTGAATGATCGTTGAGTATTGCCTCGTCTGATTGAGTACGAGACAGTGACTTATTTCCAGACCAAGTTCCATTTCCAACTAAATCCAGATCAGTCTCCCCGCACGAGAACAATTGTTTGATCTCATTCTTAAAAACATTATAACTGATGACATATATGAATGGGTTGATGCAACAATTCGCAAATTTGACGACAACTGTGCATTGGTATAATGTACTTGTAAAATTACTCCCTGCGTAGCCAATGTTGTACAAGAGGAAATTAATGCTGTTCCATACCCAGCATAGAAAGAAACATATCGAGACGAGGAGTAACGTTTTTATGACGTTAGTTCGGGCTTTTCGCATGTTTCGATTCCTCAACCCAGTGGCATTCATATTTGATTCTTTGTTTATGACATAAGCGATGCGACCGTAGCAACAAGCCATAAGACAAATCGGAATGATGAACTCAATGAATATGTTGATGCTGCCAAAAACACGTTGAAAGTTCAAGCTTGGCCATTTCGTCCATACAGAACACACTGTCCCTTTCATTTCTGTACTCCAGATTTCAAAGCTTTTGTAACCCATTCCTGTATTTGAGGAATAAAAATGAAATTTATTAATCTCAATTAATCTCAATCTCAATTAATCTCATAGGCATTGCAAAATGATAACCTTGGTAGATCAACTCAAATGTTAACTTTAGATTCAGATGATTGAGTCAATACTTACAAACAAATGTTCTATTTCTACTGCATGGAATACTTCTCATAAAAAATTGCAAGACCCCTCCCCTTTTAAATGTAATATCAATTTGAGGTGCTTTAACTACTCAAATCTAAGAAAATATTTCTGACCTGTTATCCATACGGTTGCCATGGCAATCCTTGCTGCTGTTCTGGTAAAGAATCTCTTGTATGTCATTGGATGAATTATCGCTATATATCGCTCTAATGTAAGCACAACTAAATTGAACGTTGACACCACCATCATTCCCCATATGAAATATTGTGATATCCACACTCTGCAGAAAATAGTCGCAAATAGTCCAGTTTCTGAAATCCAACTCATATCATCAAAGTACTTGTTCAAACCAATGAAAATTGATGCTGTTAGATCAATGACACTCTGATTTAGAATTAGAATGTTTGTGATTTTACGTCGCTGAGTCTTTGATGCCATGAAAACGTAAATCACAAGAGAGTTCCCAACAACTCCTATCATCCCAATGATGCAGAATATCACTTTCTCGTAAAAGAGAGTGCTTACTGTTGCACTTAATGGTACATTTGTTTTGTGCATCTTTGTAATGTTATCTTCCATAGCAGAATATTATAACCCCCTTGTCCTTAGGCTATGACAGCACATTGATTGACTCGTATGTTGTAAATGTTGTCTTGTACTGGTATATTATATTTTCACTGAACCCATGCATCTGATTGGCAAGTTTCAGTCATGTGTCTGTCCCCGATGAAGCAATCTGAGATAGGCCATCTCAAACAAAAGTCTTAATTGTTTTTTCATAAGAATGTCACCAGGCTCATTTGAAGTGAAATTGTGCATATATGTTATTTTTGGCTCATACAGTGAAAAATTTCCAATTTCAATTTTATTTATCTCAACCATCAACTCTCAAGGAATCCCTCATTCTCATTTTAATTCATGTTATTTGTGACATCATAATTCTGAATGTTGGTTCTCATTGTTATAGTTGATATGTGATTCACAAATTCTTATGTTTAATGCTTTATTCTCTAACTCTATAAACTATTATTTTTGCTGATTGTTAATTGATTGATCAATTCAAGTCTTACTTTTTATTACCTCACACATTTTGCAGTCATCTGAAGATTGGATAATCAATTTAATTTAATTGGGATCTGTACTATTTATGATCCCTTTCCTGCAGATGTTTTAGATAACACCTGCATCTTGAACAATCTTATTCAATATAAGTAATTAAGTAATTATTAGGTCATTCTAGATCATCCTTGATTATACAGTTAAACCTGTCTAAGTGGAACACCTTTGGTACCTCTAAAAGTGTTTCACTTGGAAGGTGTTCCATTAAAGAGGTTTATTTAACATTAAATCAGTTGGTCTTTAGACTCTGTAAAGTGTTCCATTATAGAAGTTTTCCACTTCTAGATTTTATACAAGAATTTGCTTGGAGAGAGACATCTGCACTCTGACTTGAATGTGTAAAGGTTAAAACTTTTATTATGTTAGCATGAACTTTTATTTCTTTGGAATACCTTTGTATTTTTGGCATAATCTTTCATTACTCCAGCTTTTGGAGTGTATGTTGAACTTGAAATTCTGAATGCAGCATTTCTATCTCCATCTATAGTTTGCAAAACATAATTAAGTGCCTCAAATGTTAGCTTTTACAAAGGATGGGTATTGATATGGTGACCTTTTTGAACACATGTTTCTCTTAACCAGTCATCAAAAAATTCTGAAATTTTTACACAAGGGTAACAATATAATTTGAAATAAATATATATACTTTTCTCTATATTGTTTTAGAAAACACATCAGACACTTCTTTTGTTTTTGGTATCATATGTTCGGAATGAAATAAAACATCTGTCCGAACCTCATTGGAACAAAATGACATGAACACAATGTGTTTAGTTCTCTCAAAATTGTAATTGTACAAAGGAAAGTTTGGTTGATTTAAAAAAAAGTATCTTGTTAATGAAATAAAAGGTTTATCGTAATTTTTATCCAGTTTGGGGTTTTTTGTTTTAATTTTTTGAATACTTTTTGTTAAGTCAACCAAAATATCCTTTGTACAACTATAATATTGAGAGGTCTAAGAAAATGTTGTATATGCTCTTTTGTTCCAATAAGCTTCAGAAAGATTTTTTATTTCATTCTCAAGAATTGGTAAAAAAGAACAAAAAAATAATTGCACTAAAAAAACAAAAAATGTTAACAAAAACAGTTATATGATATATACATAAATAATTTTCGCATTAAATTGTTGTCAATCAGTCAAAATTACATAAAGGACCATGTTTTTTACAGAATGTTTTCAATAATTGGTTTAAGAGAAAAACATTGTTGAATTCAGTTCACCATATCGATACCAATCCTTCTCTGATATAACATTGATTGCTTTTTATCGTACCTAACAAGAGATACGATATTGTAAACAAGAGGTACGATATTGTAGTCGGCTTGACGGGCGGCGGGCGGGCGGCGTCTCACTTTTCAGCTTGTCTACAGGTTTCCAGCTAAACCATTTGAGGGATTCATCTGAAATTTTCAGGGATGTTTCTACATATCAAGGTCAAGAACTGATTAGTGTTTGGGCATTCTGGGTAAATTTTAAGGTGGCCATTTTGGATTTTCCGTCCTAAAATCTTCACTTTCAAGACTTGTCTACAGGTTTCCAGCCAAACCATTTGAGGGATTCATCTGCCATTTTAGATTTTCCGTCCTAAAATCTTGTCTATCGAGGCTTGTCTACAGGTTTCCAGCCAAACCATTCAAATTTTTACATATGTTACACAGTGATAAGTTGTAGAGCTGATTAACTTTTCTGCGGCCATCTTGCTTTCTTGGTCAACAAGACCACAATGCTGTGTTTTAGGTACAATATTGTTCACGTCTGTGCCTTGTTTTATAACCCCCCTATCACACCAAACTAGTTCTTACCCGTTCTTGCCAGTCCTACGAAAATGTCGTAAAACGGGCTCAATCTGGCTGTGGTCGGGAAATATGTCTAAAATAATTAGCTTCTTCGTTCATAAACAGTCTTCAATACGTCCATCTCATTCGCAGTTCGTCCAGGTCGGTGTGCAACGTCGTATAACGCGTCCTTTAGTCTAGAAAGTCATTATGACCTGATTACAGAACGGTATGGTCGCCATCGAATTTTGAATCGATTCAAAATTCTAAAACCACCTTCCCGTCTGAGAACGTTCATGAAGTTCGTAAATAGACCTTAGAAAGTTGCAGCTACGTTCATTCCGTTCGCACACAGTTTAAAACCAGTTTTGAAGAACGCAGTGGCAACTTGTTTGGTGTGATAGCTATATTTTTGCTCACTCGTTCATAAGCAGTCTAAACTACGTTCTTAATCAGTTTAAACCCGTTTGCAATTAGTTCTACCTCGTTCTCAATACGTCCTCAGACAGTTCAACTCGTTGTTAAAACGTCCCTAGTAGGATTGAAGTACGATGGTTCCGTTCGTAGTACGTTCAGCTCGTCGTTAGTACGTTGTCACTCGTTTTAATTGTAGAACGTATCGACCACGAGAACATTTGAGCATGTTCTAAGTTCTAGAGGACCTACCCGTTCGAGTACGTTCGATATAGTTTGTAAATCGACCCCAAACGGTTCTAAGTACGTCCAGTCCGTTCGTACACAGTGGAAGCCCGTTTTCGAGAACGTAGTGAAAATTAGTTTGGTGTGATAGTAGGGTAATGTGTTTTGTTGCAAATTTAGTTTCTTTAGACCTTAGCTTGTGTTTTCACTACATTGATCAAGGAAGTTCAGATTTTAGCATGAGAACTTTTGTCTTTCTTTTGAATTAAAGAGTTGTGTGAGCTAGTCTGTCATTTTCCCTAACGACAATACCTTGTTAATTTATCATCCGTTTATATTTAGCCATTTTCTGCACTTATGTTTGATTGAAGTTTCTTATTTATTGCATGATAGTTATTTATTTCAAAAGAGATAAGTTGAATATTATCAAAATGATTGTACTTTTTCACAACTTCACGACACCTTCCTAACTAATTCATTAAATCTCATGTTTTCACTGCAAATTGTTCTTCTGTATGTTCTCCCATCTTGGTTTCTTACTATTTGATACTCAATGTCTGACAGAATTAGTTTGTAGAGGATCAGCTTATTTGCTACACCTATTCTTTGTGTCATTTGGCTGTCATGTATGCAGTAGAGGTACTGTAAAATGGTTTATTTGGTCGCATGGTTTATTTAAGTCGCATTTTCACCAGCTTATATTGCTACACACACATCCTCGATCAAATTTGGTTGTCATGCGTGCAGTATACTCTTACTGTAAAATAGGTTAATGGTCATTTCGAAGGACAATATATGTTGAAATAAGGGCCGAAATAGCAAGAACGGAATGCAACTGAACCAAAATTAAACGCAATGAAATATATCTCGTTTCCCAGGGAACATTATTGGCTGAAATATCCATGTTGGCCCACCACTATGGCCCGCCACTGTGACGTCACATATTGCTCAGGTCAATATAGTAAAATAGAAGACTTCTAGACTAGTACTTATACCTCTAGAACAGACCTGGCAAGGTGGTAATAATCACTGGCGGATCTGGGGGGGCCCTTGAAAAATTTTGTGCCAAAAAAGGCCTTTAGGCCTCAAAAATTTGGGCTCACTTTTAGGGGCCCAAAGTTTTTTTTTGCGCAATCGCGGACAATTTTTTCTTTGACAAGAATTTGCCCCCCCCCCTTGTTGGTTCCTAGATCCGCCCCTGATAATACTATGTTATGTATCATGATGGATCTAATGTCAATCTCTAGAATGACCTTACTGTACTGAACATAGAACTACATTTTCTGTTCCTATATCTAATTATAGTTGCTTTTCTAATTATAGCTTATTTCTAATTAAAGTATTATCTTGTTCAAATACAATTGCCCAGGCTTTGGATATCCCTTAGCATAATTAACATGTGTTTACCTTTGTAAATTTGAGAGATTTGTTTCAAAGAAGAATGAAACTCATACATGTGTCTCTTATACCTCATTATTAATGTTGTTTTAATTGTGAGATTCCTAATTAGTTCACTATATTCCTCTTATGTGTCATTTTTTGTGAGAATGCCAATTTGAAAAATGAGTTTCGCGAATGTTGATGGGTTATCTGTAGTTGGTATCAGGCTGCAAATCCTCTTTCATTATTGCTATCAATATAAGCAAATCAGTGGAAAACTAAGTCAGAAGATTAAAGAGTTATTCTAAGAAGGGTAAGACAGAACCATCATACCTTGGCTCTTTCTTGGAAAATGTTTTGATTGGATTGTTTTGAATTTGTTGACCAAAGTCTCCACTTTGTTCGATATAAGAATTTCAAATGGACATACATGTACGTTTATAGATATCATAGGTCAAAATATGCCACCATACTATGTGGCACATTAGGCAATAGTGTTAAATTTCTACATAAGAACAATTACGTTTGTCACATGTTGTTATTATGGTAACTGTGGATTGTGGGATAGACTGTACCTCTCTTCCATTATTTGTTGTCCTAGATTGGGTTGTGATGAGGCAATAATGTGATGTCACACAGGTACATAGTGAGGCTCTTAAGACAAATGAGGCCAGATTGAATAGATGAGGCAACATTTTGCATGTTTATGCCTTGTTTTCAGTTATTTTCAAAATATATTATGCAATTTTATGTCTGCTTTTAGAGATTAAAAGCAATGTGACATATGTTCAGATCCCAAAAAGATGATGTAAACAATCACATTATTAAATAATTATGTTTTATAGTGTATCAGAAAAAAACATTCAGCATTTGCAAATGGGATGACTGATTATTTAAATAAAGGAGAGACTTGAAGTCATCTGATGATGTAAAACTCTTTATCTTACTCCACTAAAGTAGAGTTGAAAAAAAGTTGAAAAGTTGAAAAATACGGCACAAAAAATAACAATGTTTACAATCGGATAGAGATACTTATCTCAAACATTGGAAGAAAACTTAGAAATAATATCACAATTTGCAAAGGGGCAATTGGCAATATATAAATGACCTTAAAAATACTTATTTTTAACTATAAACTTGATTAGGGTTTACATGATACGAGTAATAGACTTATTGGTGATCAGTTTTAAATCTTGATTACAAATTGTAGTATATATAGACAGGCTTCCAATAAACTATAGTTGACATATTAACTTGGATAAAAGTTAATAGCAAACGTAGTAGTTTCGTCTCTTCATTAAGATCAGCTCCCTATAAAGCCTACTGGACATACTTACTCAAGGGTTTAGTTGTATTAACTACAGAAAAGCCTCTTTATTTAAGCTCAATTCATCCAAGGAACGGACCATATGGTTATGAGAGGATCACATTTTCTTCAGAAGTAATAGTTTGCCATTATGTTTCTTGTCATGGTCATTATTTTTGTCATTATGATTCTTGTCACTTGCAATGATGTTTTTTCTTGATTTGAACGTATATTGAAGAAATGAAATACAGGCACACAAAAAATGCCACCCACATTATGTTGCATAACTTTTTTGTTTGCATGATCATTTTTCCTTTGGCACATTAAAAATATATACAATGGAGCAACACCATATGAAGTTTCAGATGTCTAAGTAGCTGAACTAGATACACTTTAATGAGTGTTACAAGATGTGCTATAATATTGTCCATTCCTTTGCAGTCACACTTCTGGATGCTAGTAGCAAAACTATTGATAACATTCACCTGACTTGAACCCTTCAGACTTCTCTGGGGATACTTTAAAGGATCATTTGTATGAAGCAAGCCCCCGATCCAAAGAAGACCTGAAGAGAGAGATCACCAGAAAGATCAGGGCCATTTCTGTGGGGAATATCAAAAATTTTGCCTGTAGAATCAAGGTGTGTCTGACATTTAGAGCACATCTTGTAATGCTCACAAAAGGGCATCTGGTTGAGTTAGTCACTTTTTGTGTCACCCTGTATTTTGGTTTTGTGTTTTATAAGATCAGCGTAGTCTATTTTTTTAACTTTAAAACATGATTTATTTGTTTGAACCAAATTTAAGGTTTCAACAGAACTTTCACACTTTCAAAGGGACAAATTGTGTCAGTTTTCAAATAATTGGTGTGGAACATTTTCTGGTCCACCAAATATACTGGCCTTGTTTTCTCCCAGAAGTTCTGCACTAAGCTACCCATATTTCTTATGATTAGTATTTTTTGGAATTGATACAGTGGTAAGCTTAATTAACAATATTGGCAGAAAAGTTTATAGAAAATCCATTCACAACAAGTACTGATGACTCGAAGAAATGTAATTATGAGAATATCTTCTTTGGTATTGGTGATTTCACAATCAAATTAATACAAATTAAATTCTATTTGATATAGAGTCTCTCTGTTATCCGTAATTCCTCAAATCTTGGCTAATTTGAAAAATCTCACAGTTGATTACGTTTTCAAAAATATCATTTGTAAGAGCTCAACTAGATTTGAGATATATCATTTGTTATAATCAGAGGTTTGTGACTATGGTAAGGACACAGGGTATTTGAAAGATGACCATTTTATTATGTCACCTCCACAAGTGGTGACATATTTATGTCACCTCCACAAGTGATGACATATTTGTTATAGTCTCCAACCTTTTTGCGGACAGTGTTGGGGGTTGGCATTTGGTGGTTGGGGTTTGGTGTCTATAACAAATGTCAGGTGGTGATATTTTGCATGTAAATGCCTAAGTGTTACTGGTTTGATTTGGCCAGAGACTTATGATAACATGTTTTTAAAAAATGATAGCAAAACATGTTATTGTAAGTCATGTAGACTGGTTTTAGTTGGCTTTATTTTAGTAATTTTGCCTCTTTCAGAATATTGCAGGCTGATTTCAGATTTCATTTGTGAGTTTTTTTAAAAAATATCAAAATATCCTTTAGGATTCCAACATAATATTTATAGGTTATTGATTGTGGTTTAAATTATTGCCAATCTTATTCAGAATTTAGTGAATTGCCAAATTCAAAAAGGTTCTAGAGTAATTTTAAAGTAATTTACAGTAACATATTAGGACCTATTCAGTTGAGGTGCTTGAATTACACAAATGAGTAAGCTGACTTTAGTTTCATCACAAATCATTTTTTATCATGCAGCCTCAGATCCTATTTTCCCTCCAATAATTGATTTTTTTTTCTAAAGAAGAATTTGGATACTGTAAATTGATTTAATTTGGCACATTGGGCGAATTTTGAAATGTTGCTGCTACGATATTTTTGGCGGATTGACCATCATGAATCGTATGAATCACTTCACAACTCGCCACCAATAATCCAATTTTATCTTTCTTGGTATCAGATTGTTCTATCTAAACCAGTGAGGACTCTGTAGATCCTTGGAAATGCTTGCAGTTCAAAATTGACATTTTATCCATGTTTCAATGAAGATTTTCTTTAAAGTTTTATCATGCAAGGAAACACAAGAAAACGGCACTTGATGAAAATCCCTGGGAAATTCACTTTCAAACATTGGCAGAGACTTAATTTGGTGTTTTTTATCAGTCTGCCAAATCTGCTAAATTGAAACAGCCGTCAAATTAAAGCAATTTACAGTATATGATGTTTGATTAATAACATACTATTAACTACATACAGCCTGATATCCATTATAGTCTACTTTTCCCAGGATTATTGATGTGTTTGTTTTATAAGATACTTATGTGACTCATCAAGCCTGTACATAATCTCCAAAGACAACCACATGTTAATTGTTTGCCTCAAAGGATTTTTTCCAAAATACCCATTGATTAAACTTTTTCATTTTTTGTGATGTGACCACCAAAAGTAGTAGCTTTACATTTTTTTTCTGCAAATTTCCAGACAATGGTAAACTTTTCAAGGCACTGGTACCTGTTATTGAAAGGTTAATTAAGTTAAAGCTTGACAGTCTTATAAATGCTTAATTTATACACTCCATATTGCACTATATATCAATTCGTATTGTACTATATATGCCATCTATTATTTCATGTTGTATTACCATTTCTTATATGACTAACCAAGATATAGCTTGGCTTGCCATCTTTACCCCATGCTAGATATTGCCATCTTTCATCAGAAAAAGTCACATGTGCAAGATGAGTTTACTTGTGACATCGCAACATCAACATGGCAATGTAAAACCTTTGCGCTTTAGCTCATCAAGAATAGACAATCTTGCACAGGTACTCATACACAAACCTCTATGTATTGTATTGTAATGTATTGTATTGTATTGTATTGTTTTGTATTACTGGTATATTGTGTTGTATTGCACTGTATGACTTCACATGAACTATATCCAATAATTACATTGCATTGTTCTGTATGGCTTTCCATTGCACTGTGAAACATTGTATAATAATGCACTTTATAAAATATTGTTTGTTATCACAAAAAATGGTGACATAAATGACTTTTTGTGTGGACTGATGGTTGGTATTCGGTGGTCAGCATCTGTAACAAATAGCATGTGGTGACATTTTGCATGTTGATGCCTTGTATGTATTTATATTGCACCATATTACATATTGCATTGCATTCTATTCAAGCCACTACCAGCTGATGAGTATACCAAGCTAGAATTTGTAGATGAAACAACAGGAACCAACATACCAAAGACTTATATACCATCTATTAAAAAGGTACTTTTAGAATATGTTTTAAAGTTAATGCACTGAATTATGAAATGCTGATTGGCTGAGACACGTTTGGCATATTTAAATCATAAACAAATGATTAAAAATTTATTCTTATTTAAGAGTCCATTAAAGGAAATTAGAATGAAGATATAAGCTGCAGAGATGCTCAATATATAGAGGTTCAGTTACACCTAATGTGTGTCAATACATTGTTCCAAATTGCAATTTACATACAGTGATAAAACTTGATGAGAAAATTGGAGATTGGTCAAACCATTCAAATTGTGTGAAATCGAGTGAACTATGAATCAAAGACAGAAATGGTAATCTACTTATATTACAGGGGTTTCTGAGTGCTTGTGAAAAAGGTATTCTAGCAGGACAAAGGATAACAGGACTTAAGTTTGTTCTAAAAGATGGCGCTAGTCATGCTGTTGACTCGTCTGATTGGTCCTTCCAACAGGCTGCAGAGGGCGCTGTAAAGCAAGGTATTAAATTCAACTCATATTCAGGCTATTTATTTCCAGTTAAATTTACCATGATTTTACCATGACCTGAAAAAGATTCATGATCAGAGGATGATAACAGAGACTATATTTGGAAATATAGTCATATAACAGGGCAGTATATGTTCAGCCAAAGTATGTAAGAAAAAGTAAAACAAATGAAGTTTGACAATCAGGGCTATCAGTATAGCTTAGATCAGGGACAAGAAAAGAAGAAAGCTTTTCAATCTAACATGATAATAGTTATCAATACACCAAACATTAATATGTACAAAAGAGATCATTTAATCTGAGACGTTTGTAATTACATTGTAATTATTGATGCTATTCATGTATTCATATAAGTGTCGGCATAGGCTAGAGGTTCTTGATGTATTTAATGTTGTATTTAAATTATTGTATATGTATGAACCTGTGACACTATGATAAATTATAAAACTAGATGGATTATTGCTACAATATTGTTTTTTGTGTTGCAGTTTTAAGTAATGGAATGTGGCAACTGTTGGAGCCTATAATGTCTGTAGAGGTCACGACCCCTACAGAATTCCAGGGAGCTGTCATGATTGGTCTAAATAAACGGCATGCTCTTATCACGGGAACTGATGCAAATGAGGGGTTTGCAAGTATATTTTGTGAGGTAAGTTTTTCTATGTCGAACTCCTCCATCCAAATATTCTTCTATGAGTTCCATTCTTGTACATTAAACATGATATGAGCCATTCCTTGATGAACAGTTTTGAACAAGTATATATTTCAGATTTGTTATTTTATGGCTTGTCATCACAATAATTGGTGACACATTGTTAAAGTCTCCACCTTTTTCGGTGGCAGGGTAGTTGGTGTTCGATGTTTGGTATTCATAATTCAGTATTCAGTATGTGCACCATATTGGCATTCAATCCAATAAGAAACCAAGTCTTGTTTCCACCTTCATCCTGAACTAAAGTATTGTCTCTAAACCCTCTGCAATTTGTATGCTTTCAGATCCCCCTCAATGACATGTTTGGTTACTCCACAGAGCTCCGTTCATCCACTCAAGGCAAAGGAGAATACACAATGGAGTACTGCAAATATTGTATAGCAATACCAAGCACACATGAGGCCCTTATATCAGAATATGAGGAAGAACTGAACAAGCAAAATCCACAATCTCAGAAAAAGAAAAGGCGGAACTGATATTAAATCAATTTAGGCAATTTATTTATATTTAAATACAGTGTAGCGAATTGTTCAGTCATTCGGATGAGAAGTTGTATCATGGAGATAAGAGTGGAGTCAGCAATGAATAAAAGTAAAATACTTGTAACATGTACAGTTAAACCTGTGAATAGGAACACCTCTGTAAGTGGAATACAGTTCAGAGTCTTGTTAACTGATTACTATAAGGTGAAATACATAAGTTGAAAACCAACCAAGTGGAACAGTAAGCATGTTTCCTTACTGGCTGTGTCATTAGACATGAATAGGCAATGAATTTTTGCATTGATATTATATGGCATGACCATACAAAAAAAATCAATATTGTTTACCTCCCTCATCTCATTGGAGTGAATTCACCAGTTTTTTGGACTATGCTGGACCTATATTTAAGTTTCCAATGTCCATATTTAAAAATACAAATTGAAAGAGTTCATAAATGCTCAAATATGAAGTGAATTTAAGCTAATAAGAGGTGTATGATCCCTGTATAATTACTTCACTTGTTAGCAATTCAGCAGATTTCCTTTTGTATTTGCGTGAAATAGAATACTGCTATACGAAAGACTATGCAAACTGAAAAATTTGATAACAAAAAAAGTAAAATATACAGTTCTGGGTGAAATATGAGGGTTTGATGAAGTATTGGATATAAGGTTTTAGAATATGAAAATATTTATCTCCCCTTCATTCCCAGACATACTTTAGTGAGAGAAGTAAATTCATTTCTGGATTATACCCATATCCAAACCCAATCATTATCACCCACATAGTTTTGTCTGATTTTCTTAACATGCATTTCAATGATTGAAGTCAAAATAGACAAAATTGTAAAATTTTCAAATTTCTTTCTAGAATGTATTAAGACCATTGGCTCATGCAGCTCTGTCTCATTTTAACCAGACTTTTACCAATATTGGTAAACCTTCGGTTCGTGCTTTGTACAACATTCTGTCCAACTCGTGCTGAATTTCACCATATTGAATGGCCTATCATTATTTATTCCGATTCAAACATAAAAATTAGTAAAAGCCGTGTCTGTGGAACGGGCATGAAGGAACAGCTATCCCCGGACAGAGCCCCAGATGTGCAGCTGAGATGTGACGTCACTCAAAACAATGCAAATTGCAGATTGAATAGAGCATGGTCGTGCATCTATGGAGAATTAAAAAACGTTCTATATTGGCTATGCTGCATTCTGATTGGTTGAGAAATTCGAATAGAGCACGGTCATGTTTGAATTCTATTTTCTACACACTGTCTGGTGTTATACATACATTGTACATTGTATATGGCGTGTTATCATACATTGAAATAAATTATTAGAAAATATATTCTGTTAGAAAGTCCCTGGTATAAAGTACAATATAAATTATAGGGAACTCAACAAAAACACAAAACAAACATCCCACGTCAAGATATAAAGCATCCATTTGCTCATACCGGCGCCCGCCCGTAGTTTGTTCAAAATTGAATACAATTTTGAACAAAAAGAAAAGGAGGAGGGAAGTTAGTGCATAACAGCAACAACATGACGTGTTTGACTCCATTGACAAATGATATGATTCATTAGTTGTTCTCCAAGACTGTGTACACCCCCCCCCCCCCCCTATGAATACCAGCAAGCTTTGTTCTTCACCAGTATCACGGTATTTTTATGTCACCACCACAAGTGGGACCTGGAGGTTCCAACTTTTTTGTAGATGATGTTTGGAACATTTTGCATGTAAATGCCTTGTCTACAGATGTAATTGTATTTGTTCTCAAAAATATATATTTAGCAGTTATGTCCCTATCATTGAATATGCCTGATGTCTGTCATCAATACAGCCCGAGCTTGCGAAGGCATATATTCAATAATACAGACATAATTGTTGTATTATTGTATTACATACCTTTATTTTCATGGTTACGTTATATCAACGACATCACACATCTGTTTGCGAGTGAAATTTGGACGAAGTGAAACATGAATTCAAAAGATTGTCATGGTAAAAAACTTTGGCAGCTATACAGGAATAAATAGCCGACCTTCGGCTCCATTGACTTCCATACAAATGCTTCGCGAGGTATTTCATACTTTTAAATATTTCAGGATCGTCTATTTATGTTGCTGAACCTGTAATATCAATGTCAATAAAGCCTGCAGTGAACAAAGGAGACACAGATAACTTTGCTAAAGGGATTGCTAGATTCTTTCGTGAAGATCCCACATTCCGTGTGAAATATGACCCTGAGTCAAAATAAAGTATAGCATCTGGTATGGGAGAACTGCATCTTGATGTCTACGCACAGGTATTTACATTTCCAGATCTCATCCACTGAATTTTTTATTTTCACATATATTTATTTCATTATAAAGTATTGGAAAATAAATCTTTTCAGTCGTCTGAAAGCATAATAGAAGAGTAGAATAAAATATTAAAATTTTTAACATGATTAATATGGACCAAAACATTGTTAATTTGGTTACCATGGCAATTGTAAATTGTTAAGTAGTAGACAAATGTATAATATTTATATAGTAAGTCATATTTATGTAGAACTTCTGAAAGATTTTAACAAAATGGTTACATACAGTACTTTTTGGGCTAGATTGATCATCTTGTACCACCCTAGCATTATGGTACCACATGATGCTATTTGAGATATGATACTGAACAAATATTTCACTCTATTGAGGTGAATACCTGTACATCCTCACCCAAAGGGCAAGTGGAATATCACCTTGTGAAATTGCTACAGGTATTCACCGAAAATAGAGTGAAATATTTGTTTTATTATATCACTGTCTAGCTAAACATCCCTAATATTATTAAGTCATAGGTTAACATTGAAATACATACGAATCTACCCGGTTCATCTGCCATTTTGACTTACACTTAACTCAATTATTTACACTGAACGAAAACAAATTCTTTGAAAATTCCCGGGAGCGTGGGATATCGCTAGATATCTCACGGTTGTCTTATCTGATTAGCATTGCCATTGAATATCGCCAGATATCCCACGACATGTGACCCGGTGTTGACCAATCATACTGTCGCTAGCTAGATAGTGATATAATAAAGAGCTTTTTCACATACCATGTAGAAATCAAGTGATTTGATTGGTTGCTTTCCATGACGTATTTCCCGTATCACATAAATTTTATATGATACAAGCACACGTACCACACGTTGTCTATGGTTACGAAATGACGTCATACAACTTCATTCTATTCTTTCCTAATTCAAAATGACGTCACACATAGGCTATGTTACTATTTCTTAGAAATGGTGAATTCGTCATTTGAGGAACTAGAAGTTAGAACGACACAGAAAGCTACCAAAATTAATCAAATCACTCGATTTCTACAAAGTATGTGATAAAATCATCATCACACGTTTCAGCGTATGTGATGCGCTTTCGTGGTGATACAATTTTTACTTTCGTGGAATATTTCCCGTATCACATGCTGAACCGTGTAATAACTGATAGTACAGTATAATGATTTAGCATTATTTACCATGTACAATTTTAGCGTCTTGAGAGAGAATATGGCACCAAATGCATTCTGGGTAAGCCAAAGGTTGCATTCCGGGAGACTCTATCAAGCAGCTGTGATTTCGACTATTTGCATAAGAAACAGAGTGGGGGTCATGGACAGTTTGGCCGTGTGGAAGGCTGTATTGAGGTAAAACCCTTTTAATGTTTTAATAATACCTGAAAATGTATAATAATGTTTAACTTTTTGATGATCAGCTTGATGGGTCAGGTGACATCTTGTTTTTATTGATACACATTTCTGGTTCTAAACTGCTTGGCAGATCAGTTTTAGATATTCAAAAAGATTTCTTGATTTGAAAATCTAGAGCCTATTATCCCACTAAGAGGGTTCTAGTAGGTACAAAGTGAGGCTGTATCTCTATTTTTCCATCCTTCGAGCTTATGTTTATGTGTTTGGTGAAAAATCAGATTATACCAGTTGGTTCAAATAATGTTATTCAGGTCAGATAACTTTGAGGCTGATGGCCAATGGACATATGAAATTTAACATGTAAGAGCAGACTAAGGCCAAAATCTGATTTTGCTGCAGACATGCTGGTTAAATTACATATATATGTCAGCCATTTTGCTCTTTAAAGTGCAATATTAATCATTGTGTGTCCTTTCTCTGGAAAATGCTCTTGTTGAAAGTAAAAGAAAAAAAAGATTTAAAGTAAAAATAGACAATAATGTATGACTTGTGTAATGAAAACTGACAAATATGTTTTAGTAGTACATCAAATAGATTAGTAGTTCATCTAGTACATTAGGAGTAGATCTAGTACATAAGTAGTACATAGGACATTAGTAGTATATTTAGTACATTAGTAGTATATTTAGTACATTAGTAGTACATCATGAGTAGTACATTAGTAGTACATCTAGTACATTAGTAATACATCTAGTACATAAGTAGTACATCTAGGACATTAGTAGTATATCTAGTACATTAGTACTAGTAGTACATCTAGGACATAAGTTGTACATCTAGTACATTAGTAGTACATCTAGTACATTAGTAGTACATCTAGTGCATTAGTAGTACATCTAGTACATTAGTAGTACACCTAGTACATAAGTAGTTCATCCGAACCACTTTACAAAAATGTTCTTGCAATCAGAAGCATGTACAGTAAAACCTGTTAGTGGAACACCTTTGTAAGTGGAACACCTCCATAAGAACAATTTCCTGTTATGCATCCTATTCACTTATTCTTAAATGGACCTCTTTAAGTGGAACACCTTCCAATTGGAACATCTCCCTTGGGTGCCTCTAGAAAGTATTCCACTTACACAGGTTTTCTGTACCATTATCGCCGTATTCAGCACCCACCCCTTAATAAGTGCCAACATCACTTTAAATTCAAGAAATATTGAGAAATGACCCAATATTAGTGAATAATGAATATATAAGAAACAAAATACATGTGGCACCCGTGAGAACACCCCCACAATACATGTGGCACCCGTTAGAACACCCCCACAATACATGTGGCACTCGTAAGAACACCCCACAATACATGTGGCACCCGTAAGAACACCCCCACACCTGTCCATTACCACAAGACAACAATATAGCACTTTCTAAGCACAAAAATATTAAAATAAATCTGAAAGTAGGGAAATATTCTTGTTTTGAGAACATGTAATATGATTGCATCATATCTGTATTGATTCTTTTTGTTTTGAATAATTTATACTGCGATTTGGCGTTGGCTTTCATGAGAAGGGCAACCCTAATTGAAGTGCTTTGTATGAGAAATCAGTAAATGCATTGTTATTTTTATTATTTTCCATTTATTACCAAGCCAGTTGGGGATTGTAATTACTCTCTGATATGTGCTTGTCATTACTTGTCATTGTTGTTCAAAATCTAAAAGCCAAACAATTAAGTGACAGTACAAAAGTATTACTGTATCAATTTTTAATTTAGACATATCATGTTTTAATCAGATTGCAAAGTTAGTTTTTTTTTTGGGGGGGGTAAATGATGGTCTCATTAGCGAAGATGTTGATTTTAAAATGTTCAAGTGAAAGCCAAATCAGCATTTTCGTGAGATAAGGGGATGTGGTCAAACTTTAAAAACTTAAGTTAGTTTGTCAATGACTGTTGATGATTTGACAGTGGACACCATCCCTAACTGTGTTTCATTAGCAAGAGGAGGTGTATGTGTAGAAACTACTTAAGCCCTGATGACAATATAAATGAGATGATAGAAAATATAAATAAGATAATTGCTAATCTGGATATTTCAACATTTATCAATAATGTCAAAGCAGGAACTGGTCGTTAATTAATTCTAGTCATTTATCATTGGGTATACAAACGTGAATGGGTTGCAATATTTTTTTGATTAAGGATTTAAGTCCTGGACTGTGGCATTGTGGTCTGGTTATTTCTTTAAGGTGTTTTTTCAAACTTTGTACAAGATGTGTAGCATGGAGTGTTAGGTTTAGGAAACAACACATGAGTGGAATGAATCAGCCACAATGCATTGAGTCTTGGGCTTAAATTCTTTTCACACATTACAATATGTTTTCTAGGATATCATCTAAAAGATACGAAATCACTTAAAGAACATATTTTCATTGAAACGTTTTCAAAGGGTCGAAGGGTCAAGTTGGCAAAGTATAAATTTCAATCTGTAGAGTCAAATTGTCACCTTGACAACCATTCAACACTTACCATTTGACTTTCATAACCACGTAGCTTGTTATTCCCTATGATACTATTTATAGGTTTTTACTCATCTATAAAATTGATCAGCTTTAAGTTATAGGTTTCACTAGTTTCACAATGCAAATGACCTTGGGTGGATTGTTGGTTAAATTGGAGAAATTACACACCAGCCATTAGATTCTTTAAACAATTTATTTAATTCAAATCAATTCCTGACTAGTATATGATTTTTTTATATCATAGAATTTTTTCATCACCAACCATAAGAGTGTTGAAGTAATTGAAACAAATATCTACAATAAATTACTTTTTTAAAAAAATTAATTGCCTTAAAATATATACATTTGTGGTGGTCAATCATGCTATATATGCTTCCAAAGGAGCCTGAAGATTCAGACTGTTTACCTACTTCAAGTGCCTACTTTACTTTCTTCCTGACTGTACAAATTTCAATCAATCTTTAGTTGAATATAATTTATACAAAAACCTTAAAATATATTTTTAAAATTCTACACAACATTGATGCCTCTTTTAATGGTTTACAAGAGGCAACTTTATGCAGGAGTGTCAGGACTTTAATATCCCAGGGGGTGAGAATTTGACAATGAATAATGGGGTACCTTTTCCTGGGAGTAGAGATTTTAGAATTTCTGATAACCTTTGACTGGCAATCATTGTATCAAAGGGATGGATTTACTTGGTTACTCCTAGGAAAGGGAATTTGACCAACTATTTTTTGTCCAAATCCTCACCTCTTCCTGCGACCCGCATGGAGAGCCTCACTCAAAGATTTTAATGGTACATTACTATTTTTGAATCGGGGTAGTGTACCATTTCGTGTACGAGGCCCTTACACATTACATGTCTTCTCTGCTTAATGGTGATTGGTTAATAAGGTCATCACAATTTATTTTAATGAGTCTTTTTGCACAAAAGAGCAAAAGAAAAACCACAAAAGTCTCACCTTGTCATTTTATAAGAATAAATTCTGCTAAACAGATAGCATAATAAGGGCCTGGGACATTATAAATATGTTATTATATCTTCATCATTTAAAATTGTCTGTTCATCAAGGTTGACGTGACCATTGTCAATGTGAAATATTTTGCTGTCATGTTCATGTGCTTTGTCATTATGGTCTTTGTCATTATGAAGTTTGCCATTAGAGCACCTGTCACTTTGCAATATTTTAATATGAGAACTTCTCTCACTATGAAACATTCTGTTCGTTTTCTTGTCACTAACTTTATGAATCGTCTTTCCATCATTTTTTGTGTTTTTCTCACTGTGTGACATATTGTCTTTCTTGTCACTATGAGATATGGCACTGTTACTTTTTGTCTCTTTATTTTTTTCTGATTTTTTATGTGAGGTTACTCGTAATTGTAGGCCTAGTTCCATTTCCAACTAGATCCAGATCAGTCTCCCTGCATGAGAACAATCGTTTGATCTCATTCTTAAAAACATCATAACTGATGACATATATGAATGGGTTGATGCAACAATTCACAAATTTGACGACAACTGTGCATTGGTATAATGTACTTGTTAAATTACTCCCTGCGTAGCCAATGTTGTACAAGAGGAAATTAATGCTGTTCCATACCCAGCATAGAAAGAAACATATCGAGACGAGGAGTAACGTTTTAATGGCGTTAGTTCGGGCTTTCCGCATGTTTCGGTTCCTCGACCCAGTGGCATTCATATTTGATTCTTTGTTTATGACATAAGCGATTCGACCGTAGCAACAAGCCATAAGACAAATCGGAATGATGAACTCAATGAATATGTTGATGCTGGCAAAGACACGTTGAAAGTTCAAGCTTGGCCATTTCGTCCCTACAGAACACACTGTCCCTTTCATTTCTGTACTCCAGATTTCAAAGCTTTTGTAACCCATTCCTATATTTGTGGAAGTAAAAAGGAAATTTATTAATCTCATAGGCAATGCAAAATGATAACCTTGGTAGATCAACTCAAATGTTAACTTTAGATTCAGATGATTGAGTCAATACTTACAAACAAATGTGCTTAAAATTCTGTATCGTTTTTAACCTCCCAAAACAGCAAAATAATGTTCGAAAGCATATTAAATAATGTAAGATTGTATCTTACCATTTTTTCCATTTTGTTCCTTGTGTAATCTGAATATACATGTAATGTACATATCCGATTTCATTTAATGAAAAACTTTGGCAAAGATTGTGTAATAAAAATATAAATAATGGATGGACACTGGACACGAGTGGACATTAGATTTAGGAGGACATTCATAGTTAATACTGTTTCACGAGTTCGAAATTCAGGGGTTGGTACATTTGGCATCTTAATGTCTTGTTTTCCCATATATTTTTTTAAAATAAAAATATTTGTTGTGCTATTACATTGCTTGTATCATTTGTATCGTATCGTGAGGTAAATATCATTGCTCGTATCAAAATTAAAGATAATGTAATGTGGGACCCCTAGTTGTTATATCTTGAATTATCCAATTGACCACAATAACATCTTTTTACATAATAATTTAAAAAACCTGTTTTTCAGGCTGGGCGTTTTGGACAGTTAACTTATATGAGAATCTACCAAGGATGCCTTGAGAAGGGGTCGACAATAATCAATGTAAGAACTGGCAAGAAAGTACGCGTTCCACGTTTGGTGAGAATGAATGCACAGGAAATGGAGGATGTCTCAAACGTGTATGCTGGGGATATTTGCGCCTTATTTGGTGTAGACTGCGCTAGTGGAGACACCTTTGTTCTAAAGTCAGGAGAACAGATTTCAATGGTGGGTGGTTCTCTATGGACTTTTTTAAAATCAATCCATTGACAACTTTAAAAAGGCTAAACATGCTACAGCACTCTAAGTTGACAGTCAGCGTGATTAGAAAGTGTTTCTGTGATTATTGGTAAATAGTTCAATGAAAGGAAAATTAAATCAGCTACTAACTTCTTTTAGAGCCACAATATGTAGTCAAATGAGTGATCAGGTCTGAGCATGACATGGTTTACTCCATTGACAAATCACCTGATTCATTGTAAATTTGGGATTTATTAATTAGTTGCTTAACAAATATATAATGTATGTACTGTAATTATCAATTTCAGTTGGGATACCAGCAAGCTTTTTATTTCTTCAGCAATGTCACTGAACAAAATCCATTGCATTTTTTATGCTGCGCAAATTTCAACTTTTCAAGAATCCATATTCTACATGTAACAATAGCCTTGTCAAAAAGCAACAATGTTGTCAATAGAATAAAATTCATCAAAAATGATTACCATTGCAGAGCCTGTTACAAGCTCAATTTATTATGTCACCACCACAAGCGGTGGCATATTGTTATAATTTCCAACTTTTTTGTGGACGGTGTTCAGCAGTTGGCAGTTGGATCTGTAACAAATATTGAGTGGTGACATTTTGCATGTGAATGCCTTGTCTTCAGATGTATTTGTTCTCAAAAATGCATATTTGAAATATTCCAGGAGTCTATTTATGTTGCTGAACCTGTAATATCAATGTCAATAAAGCCAGTGAACAAAGGAGACACAGATAACTTTGCTAAGGCGATTGCTAGATTCGTTCGTGAAGATCCCACATTCCGGGTAAATATGACCCTGAGTCATCTGAAAGCATTACAGAAGAGATAGAATAAAATATTAAAATTTTTAACATGATTGATATGGACCAAAACATTGTCATTTTGGTTACCATAGCAACTGTAAAATGTTAAGTAGTAGACAAATGTATAATATTCGTATAGTAAGTCATATTTATGAAGAACTTCTGAAAGATTTTAACAAAATGGCTACGTACAGTACTTTTTGAGCAAGATCATCTTGTACCATCCAAGCATTATGGTACCACATAATACCATTTGATATATAAAGCAGAGCTGTGTAATGGTTAAGCATTATTTACTATTTACAATTTTAGCGTCTTGAGAGAGAATATGGCACCAAGTGCGTTCTGGGTAAGCCAAAGGTTGCATTCCGGGAGACTCTATCAAGCAGCTGTGATTTCGACTATTTGCATAAGAAACAGAGTGGCGGTCAAGGACAGTTTGGCCACGTGGAAGGTTTTATTGAGGTAAAACTCTTTTAATGTTTTAATAATACCTGGAAATGTATAATAATGTTTAACTTTTGGATGATCAGCTTGATGAATCAGGTGGCATCTCGTTTTTATTGCTACACATTTCTGGTTCTAAACTGCTTGGCGGATCAGTTTTAGATATTCAAGAATATTTTTGATTTGAAAATCTAGAGGCTATTATCTCACTTAAGAGGGTTCTAGTAGGTACATAGTGAGGCTATATGTCCATTTTTCCGTCCTTCAAGCTTATGTTTATGTGTTTGGCGTAAAAATCAGATAATATCAGTAGGTTCAAATAATATTATTCAGGTCAGATAACTTTGAGGCTGATGGCCAATAGACATAGGAAATTTAACATGTAAGAGCAGACTAAGGGCACCATCTGATTTTGCTTCAGACATGCTGGTTAAATTACATGGCAGCCATTTTGCTCTTTAAAGTGTGATATTAATCACCATTTGTCCTTTCTCTGGAAAATGGTCTTGTTGAAGGAAAAAGAAAAAAGTAAAAAAGTAAAAATAGACAATAATGTATGACTTGTGTAATGAAAACTGACAAATATGTTTTAGTAGTACATCAAATACATTAGTAGTTCATCTAGTACATTAGTAGTACATCTAGTACATAAGTAGTACATCTAGGACATTAGTAATATATCTAGTACATTAGAAGTATATTTAGTACATTAGTAGTACATCTAGTACATAAGTACTAGTAGTACATCTAGGACATTAGTAGTACATCTAGGACATTAGTAGTACATCTAGGACATTAGTAGTACATCTAGTACATAAGTAGTACATTTAGGACATTAGTAGTACATCTAGTACATTAGAAGTACATCTAGTACATTATTAATACATCTATGACATTAGTAGTACATCTAGTACATTAGTAGTACATCTAGTACATTGGTAGTTCATCTCGTACAGAAGTTTCTTGCAATCAGAAGCATATACAGTAAAACATCTTTGTAATTGGAACACCTCCATATAAGAAGAACAATTTACTGTTACTGCAGCCTATTCACTTATCTTATAAAATGGAACACCTTCCAATTGGAACACCTACCTTTGGTGCCTCTAGAAAGTGTTCCACTCACACAGGTTTTCTGTACCATAATCGCCGTATTCAGCACCCACCCCCTAATAAGTGCCAACATCACTTTGAATTCAAGAAATATTGAGAAATGACCCAATATTAGTGAATAATGAATATATAAGAAACAAAATACATGTGGCACCCGTAAGCACACCCCACAATACATGTGGCACCCGTAAGAACACCCCCACACCTGTCCATTACCACAAGCCAACAATACTGCACTTTCTAAGCACAAAAATATTAAAATAACCCTGCAAGTAAGGAAATATTCTTGTTTTGAGAACATGTAATATGATTGCATCACATCTGTATTGATTCTTTTTGTTTTGAATAATTTATACTGCGATTTGTCATTGGCTTTTGTGACGGAGTGATTTTCATTTAGAATGCGGGACGCATTCTTTGGAGGAGAAGCAAATGTGACGGAGTGATTTTCATGTTGTATTTTATAATTAATATCTTATACTTTTACTATGTTTTTACTTTGTAAATTAATTAATGGAAACATGATACAAAAAGCATTTAGATAAGCAACAGGTCATGTAGTACACCTGGGATATCTCTGGTCAGTTTCTCACATTAAATATGCAATCATTACAATTGTTCAGAGCATCTTCAGACTTACAAATGTTTCTTTAATTTACATTTAATTTACATTTCTATATCTTGGATTCTAATTAGGATTTGAAGCAGTCTTCCTATTGTTAAACTTTTTACATAACAGATTTGAAGTGATCATGTGATGTCTGGTTTTGAAGAATATACTATATGCCATGTGAGAGATTTGGGTGACTTTCGGCCTAGACTTCAAAAAGACATAACTAGATTTAGCAGTAGCTTAGAAGTGAAAACAAGTGAAATAAATAAAAGATAGAAATTAAAACATCACACTATTGTGCACAATTAATATAAAGAAAGCCCGGTCATATTTTGGTGGAGCTGCCTGAGGTTTAACAACAATGGATTTATCAATATTGGACAAATTCCATGGAAAATCAGAAGAAAACGTTATTATTTGGTTAAACACTATTGACACATTCGCAAATTTAAAGAACTGGAACCAACAAAGAAAATGTAGTTTAATCCCACTTTTAGTCAAAGGAGAAGCAGCAAAATACTTTGAACAATTAGAGGAAAATACAAAGAACGACTGGGAGGAATTGACGGAAGCACTTAAAGAAAGGTTCCCACCCAAACAATCGGAAAGATGGGA